TTTTTTGCACATAAAACGTGTTGTATGAACTTTGAGTCTATTATTCCCTTGTCAAAAGTAAAATGGCATTTTCACTGCCTTATACCAATATTGTCTATACAGTCTCAAGGCTATCTGGTTATAATGAACTATTTATTATTTAGTGACTGGTGTAAAACTGAGCCTTTATAAATGGGAGTGGTACAGTACGGTTCCCCTCATGCGTAATGACGCGCACGGTCCTCCCGGAAACGTGTTACGCGCCTGGCACACGCGGGGCGGCGCCGTTCCGTTGTTCGCCATACTTTCACTGTCACAGGAGCGACTCACGCACTTTCTGCCACAGCGCCTGAAATCACAGCCGCACCAACACACAGGTAGGTGTCTTTAAGATGGGGACATCTGATAGCACCGTATCCAAAGGAGAGGCCCCGTGCCATGGCCTGTAGGATCATTTTCCATCTTTGGATGATGGGGAACTTGATGCTAATGTTAGCCACTGGAAAAGGTTAGCATGATCTGTGCCAAAAAAGAGACTTTGGTTCCCAGTCCCACCCTGCAGCAGTCATTCAGGGTATAAAGTTGATGGCTGTCTTAAAGGTTTTTGTCAATGCGCAATTTTTTACTTCTGTAACTAAACAGGGCTGTTGCTCTCTGCAGACAGTCAGTCTACTTGGATGCCGGTTCTCGGTTAAAATGCAAATTTTGATTCCTTTGTTACCTTGCCTAGGCGACATGGTGGGTTTATCCTTTTTGAAGTATTACATTTCTACCGCATTTTCTTGTCAAACGCATTACAGCCCAAACACCAGCAGCTCTGACCAGATTCTCAGATTTCTAGAATATTCAGTGTCGCTTGGAAGTGATACAATCGTTTTTTTGTATAGGATGACCTAACGCAGTCTCCCGACAATCTGCTGACAGCATCACCGTCTTAGTCATCATCTAATAGTGGAAGAATTGTATAGTCTAAATCTGGGTAAGCAAAACCCATTTAGGCCAATGGTTCTTGCTCTTACATTTGGGTGGGGTGCTCTAGTCTAGACATCTGTGTAGGGTCATGTGTTCATGTTGAGCTTTTGTATTGGACAAATAAAGGTCATCGTTCGTATAGCGTATAGGCAAGAACAACCATTTTAGCCGTTTTGTTTCTGGCTTGGAATAAAACTAGGACAAAGGTCTTAAGAATGACACAAGATCAAATAAGTTGTCTTGGCCTACTCAAGAATGTTAGTATCCTCATATTTTAGCTGTGCAAGTCTATTGTTTGTATGTTTGGAAAGGAAAGAAGGGAAACTACTCATTTGTCATCCCAAAAGGCTAATATAGGTTTTGAAGCCAGCAGTTACATAATACTACTTTTGTGACCTCTCACTCCAAGCGTTATTGTGAAAGCCTATATCTAATTCAATGTTATGTAAATGATGGGCTGTATTTTCAGATCAAATAACTAAAGCCTAAATGAGATGGAAGCTTTCTCAACCGCTGTTTACCTAAATGTGGGTTTTGGAAGGCTTTTCCCTCCAAAGTGACGAAACATCAACCACAGTCCTGGTTCCAGATGTCACAGGTTGAAGCCAATGGAAAACAAAATTTCACTAGTTCCTTGCTCATGCTTGGACATGTTTTTAGACTAAAACATACATTGTCTTAATGCTTTCCTCCTCAATACATTCTTGTGATGTTTCCAGTGTTGGAAAGTCTGAAGATAATCTATTCATAGTGAACTATAAGAGATTAAGTTTGTAGCCAAATATGTTGTATAGTTAGTGTGATAATGATGATTACGGTGGTATAATATAAAGACACTCATGCTTTTCAAATGAAGGTAGGCTTTATTGTTTTCTTAATTTAAAAATTTGTCCTCTGCAATTGGTACATTCATTAATGCCTCTGAGGCAACGTGTCTGGAGCTGTCTTGAGCCAGAAGCAAACAAAGATTAGCAGATTGTGCATGTTTTAGGCTTTAGTTTGATGGAGTAAATAACAAAACAAGCAACTACACACTTTAAGAAGAGGACAGCCAGAAATTTAACCCTCAACCTTCTTAATAAAGTAACTATGTGTTTTTGCTTCACAGTTGTAAATGTACAGTTGCTTTCTGTCTAAGATGTTACTCATAAAATGCATACCTCTATGTATGAGTTCACATCTGTATGCAACACGTCTTTAATCATAGGTTCACCACAGTAAAACCACGACCAAAAGCACTATAGAATTCGCCATGAGATATTTTGCTCTCATAAAACTGATTCTTCTACTATATTTATATAATATTAGTAGTATTAATTCAAACAACATATTTTCATTTCCCTTTTGATTTAATGGCATTAGAAATAATAAATGTATCAGAAGAAAATGTATTGCCAGTCTGTACTTTATAGTAAATCAAAGAACATCAAAACATGATTAAGTTAGGGGTGTGAGTTACAGCAGATAATGTGCAAATTGGTAACATATGGCCAATACAATAGGCACACACAACATGACTTATGTATCTATAACACCATAATATATCATACTAAGAGCAGTGGAGGGACCTCTGTACTATACACAGACTGAAATGGTCCTTCAAAAAACTTAGCACATGCGCCCACTTGTTGACCATATTTCTTGAGAGCTGTGGTCATGAGCAGCAGATGAAGCCTTTAGCGGCAGCTGTGGTTTTCTAATGTGAACTGGAGTCAGGCTAATGACTCAGAGCAGCTAAAATAAGTTTAATGGACAACCTCTTGAGTGTATGCTATCAGTAGTTTCTCCTTTGTCCTGTTCTAGTGGCCTTAAGGTTAAGATTGTAGGGTTTGTAAATGGTCAGTGGTTGCGGTTACAGCACACTCAAAATCATATTATTATTAGATTTTTTTTTTTTTTTTGAGTTTTATTATTATTAAGATTATTCAAATGAAATGTAAACAGCAAAATTGTCAGACTTTTTTCTGATCATCGTCTTTCTGATTACTCACATCAGTGTTTGCGCTTGTTTGTCCGTTAAATATCTTTTAAGGACCAGAAATCAGATAATCAGATTTTGCATGTGAGCAAAGCCAGTGACAGTCCATGTTTTTAGATTTTGCTGTGCTGACTGTTTTGTTTTATGATTATGAAATGTGATGAAATGTGAATAAACGTAAAAAAAAAAAAAAAAAATCATCATCATTATTGTATTCCTGTTAAAATGGATGCATTGTGTTTATGTCATGTTTAAAGTTCATAAAATTTACTTCTAAACTGGATTTGGAAAAAATAATTTACAACAACCATTAAAAAACAAAACAAAAAAAATATATACAATCAACGGTAAATTCCTTTGTATTTTATTGTCTTAATACAGTTAGTCTAAAACTGGATGACCTTGACAACTACATTTAAATTGGTCAGTTATTTATTCACCTCTATCAGCTGACAATACAATAAATCTAACACAGTAATAAAACAGTAAGTTACATTTCCCAAAAGTTAATGCAAATGCAACAGCAAATTCATTATAAGTAAGTATAAGACATAAAATTGTAGTAGTTATGATAAGTTATTTACATGCCCACATCAGACCTGGGGCAGACTGGCATATAGGTGAGGCTGCTAATCTGTGCCATCGGCCCATCTGACCACAACCAACCACACATAATCTCCCCCAAGGACAAACTGGTCAAAATTATATGTATTGTTGGATACTCAGTTGCTATGAAGTAATAGTCTGGGTCAGTATTTGGGATACGAGATCCAATGTTTCTTATTAAACATAAATGTGATGTCGTCTGCATAAACACGGCTCTTCCTGCTTTTGTGTGTCACTTGTTTTTCTCTGTTCACCTCCTCTCATGGAGCGACCCTTCCTCTGGGAAGCACACAGGCTCTGCACAATACAAACACAAGGCCACTCACATTAGCCCTAATTAAAAATGATAATTATGATGTTCAAGTAAATAAGATGTTTCTTTTATCACTGCTGCCGAGGCATCTCCAAGGATACAAATATACTGGCATCTTCTTAGAAGAAAAAATTGGTAACAGGCTAAAATACTTTAAAGATGCACATTATGTAATTTTTATGGAAGTGGGTGTGCAAACTGCTTAGTGTTAGGGAGATATAGTGCACCTTTAAATTATGGATATTGTGAGATCCTACTAATTTATTGTAGCAGTTTCGTCGGTGTTCTGACAGTAATGCAGAGGCATGCCATCAATACATTTGGATCAATATTATTACTGTTGATTTTTTCCATGTATTATCTAATTCAGTGTGTCTGACTTTGAGTTTATTATGCAGTCTAATGCTCTATACAGTCAAATATGCCCTTTTATTAATCTATGCATGTGGGGGCTAGCATTCTTACTGTGAATCAAATTGGGATATTTTGTAATATAGGATAGTTTTTGTTAAACTGCATTAAAATGCGTAATAATTTCATGAAATCTCAAACAGGTAAATGATAAAATCGTTTAGCAAGTGAAACACAATTCAAATAGTGTAATTTTTTTTACATAATTTGTCTACTGATAATGGACCACTAATACCATGTGTTGTCCCCCAGTTATTTTGAATTAGTTTTATAACATGCGTGTTACATAATGAAAGTTAATTAAACTGGAATAATAGTGTTGCTTATGACAGGCAAACCCTCAATTAGTTTGGGTTTAGCACACATGGCTGGAGGCTCATATTTGTCATACCAGAAGCAGCGGCCCATTCTTCTGTCTGACCCAAACAGTGCCTGGGCCGGGACACCCCTCCCTCTCCCCTCCTCCCTCCTCTACCATCCTCCTCCTCCCCCCATCCTTCTCCCTCTCTCCCCCAGATAAAAACATCAGTCGCCCATGTGATGTGCAGTGCCTTATTCACTATTCTCTTTGTGTTCAGGAGACAGGACGAGTCAGTGGTTGTCAAAAGATTTCTAAAATATTGCTTCTTAGTAACAGACACAATAAAATGTGAATACAGTGTAATTAAAGATGAGATATAGAGACTCAACTACTAGCACCAAAAAAACTCAACTTTTTTTCAAAACTGTCTTCACTGCACTGTTTTAGCATGTAGGAATGTTATATTAAATTTTAGTTTTACAATTTTGAGAAAAACCTAATTTTACTATTAGTAACAATTATTGACCAAACACCAGTGACATTATTCCACTTTCATTCAAACTGTTTAGAGGACTAGCATTCTTCTAGTTTGTGACCAGCTTTGCCTCAAACTTTCTGAATATAAAAATGCTATAAATGTGAAGCCAACACTGACATAGTATATAGATTGCCTTTAAAACACTTATTTGGTTTTGAAAATTTTCATGATCATCTCTCAGACCTAATTATACTGTGAAATAAAAAAGCACAGTAATCACACCTCTAGCTGTATCCTTTTGTTTGTTTTATTTTGTTTGTTCCAACTGTAAAGTATTAGAAAAATGCCTGCATCGACTAGGGAAATTACAGTTGTTATTTCAAGGACCCTTAGGACAGTCATAACCTTAAAACTGTTTATCACTTTCTGGACTAACTGTCACTTTCTTTTAGAGAAGCAACAAGTAATAATTATGACTGAAGTAAATATATAAATGTTTTGTTTTTTGTTATTTTTAATTTAATTAGTTTTTTCCAACTGTGACTATTTCAACTCAATAGTGACAGGAACAGCATGAACCAGTGTTGTGAAAGTTGACACATGCAAAACATTTTACACAGTCCTCTCATGCATTTTAAGAGATTTTTGGTAGAGTGTGTTGAAAGTATGTCCAGTAAAATATACAAACAGTTAAGATGTACTTCTTAACTTTTTTGGTTTGGGGGGTCCCTCACCTGCTTGTCTGCATGGAGATATTATTGCGTTTTCAGGAATGGTCCAGAGAGAGAGAGGTACTTTATTGATCCCAAGGGAAATTCAAGAATAAGAAGTTTCACAGTATTACCTACCTATACAACTTACCTATCTCTATGCCAAGTTACATATCAGATCTGGAATGGAGACCTTGCTACGTAATACACAGAACTGAAGGAGCTACTTGATGAAAATACTTGTTGTTTTACAGAAATGGCTGAGGATGATGTGACCCCGGAGCAGTTGGCCGCCATCGCCGCGGAGAATGACGAGCCCGAGTCTGTGAACTACAAACCTCCAGCACAGAAGACGCTGCAGGAGATCCACGAGCTCGACAAGGAGGACGAGAGCCTGCGCAAGTACAAAGAGACGCTGCTTGGGCCCGGGGTCACTACTGTTGGTAAGAGCGCAGGGAAAATACTAGTTCATGGGTGGGCAGTTATTATTTTCCCGAGGGCCACATTTGAATCCAGGCATGCCCAGGTCTGGAGTAGTTGCTCATGAGAAGATAGTTATTTTTCTTATTTATAGGTATGCCTGTGCAATTTTCCATTTAAGGTATTAGATGCATACTGGCAAGATCTGGGGGAAACTGAATAAAGGCTTAGTGTGTGATGAAAATCTTATTATCTTTTTATAATTATTTCAATATTATAGTAAATAGAGTTTTTACCTATTTATTTTACCTGAGTGTTGTATATTTTGTATACTCATATTGTGGTACCTAAGAGATTCAAATTTCTTTTGTCAAGTTGCATTTGTCAAAATACTATGTTGTAGAATCAAAATCATCTAACTGTCTTCATTGTCAAGCTACTGTTTTAAACCTTACTCTCCTTATGTTTTGCCAGTAGAGGCAGGAACCATTGTCCATTCAAACATTTTCCTTGGACATGGCTGAATGGCTTTTTGAATTCATGTACATTATTTTAGTTCATAAAATGATGAACAAAGCATAGTATGTAAACCTGTAAAGCTTCTTGTAAAACCCCAAATAAGTTTTTGCTTGGGAATTCTTGTGATCTTTTAGATGAAGAAAATGTCTTCCAAGAATAGACTGGAGTGTAATTAATGCAGAGCTGTCCTGACTACAGCACAGATGGCCTGGTTCCTTTACTTCTCTGTGGACCTGTGTTTGTCACACTTGAGAAATCACTATCATGTTTTATAAAACAAAAGAGGAATTATCATCCTTAAATGACCTTAAAGACTTTAAGAACAAGAACATTGAGACAAATTAGACTGACATATTTGCTGTGCTCTTTTCTCAGATCCAAATGTTCCAAATGTTGTGGTGACGCGCATGTCTCTAGTCTGTGAAGGAGCTCCCAACCCACTGGTGCTCGACCTCACAGGTAACAGAAAATCTACTGTAAACTAGACATGCACATCATATGTAGTTGAAAAAAGTAAATTAACTTTTGTTGAACTGTTTTATTCGTGTTGTCTGGAGCTCTCATGAAAACTGCCACTGATGTGTGTTGTTTTGTGATTGTGATTTCCTTCAATTAGCTGATTTCCTGCTCTAGTCTAGCTTTAGTCAAACTAAACAATAACAATGACTACATATGGTTCATTACTGTTTGTAACATATTATCTATATTTGTCTTATTGTATTATAGTCTTGTGTATAGTAAAATGCCAAAGCAAAGTACTTACAGTAATTTTTTACATTATAATTCATAAAATATCTGGCTTTCTGGTAACAAATCAGAGTTTAACATTTGGATTTTATGCATGTATGTGAGGTTGAGGATGTCTTGTATATTCTATCCCTTTATAATTTCAGTAGTTTAAAGGGTAAAAATCTAAAGTTATAGAACAGATACACAAAATCAAACACATGCAAAATAGGATAAAAAGCGCAATTAATTTCTGGCTTGTAACATTTGAAACATTGTTCTTTGAGTCAAATTTACCATGACGGACTGACTATACAAAAACTATATTACATCAGCTCTCCTTCAGGGGGGACACCATTCTGCTATGTCTCGTGATTCAGTTCAGACTTATCAAACTCCACGTGAGAGTGAACCAGGTCAAAGCGGCTCTTGATGCATAAAAGAAATGTTATTTTCAGTCTGGACCCCGACTGCTCCTCTCCAGCTGCCCCAGAACACTATGTCCTGTCAAAAATCACAGAGACTGCCCATTTTCCTCTGTCCCATAAAACCATCATGCATTTTTCCATTAAAACTTTGGACACCACAGTAAAATAATCTGCCTAGTTCCTTATGTAATAGCACTGCAGGTAGAAATCACCAGGTTGAGTTTTTATTGCAGTGTTCTGTCATTTTTGCAGCTGTTGTGAATGTTAAATATGTTTTACTCTATCTTCAAAAACACAACTATTGGTACAACCTGTTATAATGTGTGAGTGGGGTACCGTCTTCAGCCTGTAACCTGATTTATCTCTATGGCGATAGACAAGCTTAATGGCATACTGAGGAATATTTCATATATCTCCATGGAGACCAGCAGGTAAGGGTAAAAACAAAATGGATAAATTCATAAAAAGAAATAGTGTCAACAGTCAGATCAAATAGAAATAGGTCTTCTAAATTTAAACATGCCCTTTTCTGGTGGTGTGCCACTTGCTTGTTACTATGGTATTGTTATTGCATTGTGTGGAAGGTTCTACCTTATGTCATTAAATTCATATATTACCATGAAGATAAGTAGGCAACACTTCCAGAAAAGTTATGGGTCAGATTCGTGGAGAGGTGTTAAAACTATGAAATAAATGCAAGACAGATAGGTTTAATGCCATATTGTAAAGCATTCAAAGCAAAGCAACATCTCCATGGAGACAGAGCACCTTTTAATTTATTTGTTACACAGCTTGACACAATATTGTATTATGCAAAGAGACATTGAGGTCAAAGAGGTTTAACATATGGAGAATGTGTGTGTAGGTGAGTCTATTTCCAGTGGGATGTTCTGTGGTGCGCTCACTGACATGTCGAAATCTAATCTGAGCTAATCACAGTGGGTACATTTACATGACCAGAAAAAATCAGATAAGAAGACTAATCACATATTCCAACTACATCAAATTTTTTTTGTGCTTTTACATGCACTTACACTTGTGAAAGTTGATTAGTGGATATTTAGAGTAATTGTTGCATTTTGAAGAAAAAAATACTAGTAATAAAAAAAACATCTTTTTCAATCTTTAGTATTTCTTTTTCATCTTTTCCACATTAGTGCTCCCCTTTTCATAATTTTCCTAGTAAAAACGTGTACAGATGTGAACAGTGAAAAATAAATCAGATTACTCACATAATCTGATGACTCCAGAAATCAGATAACGATCAGATGTTTTGACTACATCAAACGTAACCTGTGTTTCTTTGGGACCCTGTAGGAGACCTGGAGGCCTTCAAGAAGCAGCACTTTGTCCTGAAGGAGGGCGTGGAATACCAGATCAAGATCAGCTTTAAGGTACACACAGTATATGTTTGGTGGATTTCCATGCTTCTTAGGGACATTACACTTAAATCCATTTTATAGAGAACAATCATAACCTTAAGTATAGTTATGACTTGTCTAATCTTAACGTAAACCCTAATTTTAGGCTCTTTTAACCCATATATGAACTTTAAACCATGTTGCGAAGACGGATGCCAGAATAAGCTTTATTGCTCTTCTCACTGAACAATGGTGTCATTTAAAAGTCAGTTGTCAGTGTGTCATGATATCAATTTTGACTGAAGCAGCAAGTTCAAAAGTACTTGATATTTAGGTGTAGTTTCTGAGTATATATTGAAATGACTACATTTACAATTTACAATTATATATATATATATATATATATATATATATATATATATATATATATATATATATTTTTTTTTTTTTTTTTTTTTTTTTAATGAAAATTACGATTATCAGTTAGCCAAATATTCTTGTTGACATCCTTAATCACCTCTAAAAACTGTGTAAAAAAATAGTACACTTTAAACAAAACTCATTCTTTTGGGAGCAATGATTCATCGATTTAATCAATTATTATAGCACAAGAATATACAATTTGTTGCAGAAATTTGGAAAATATTTTTAAATAGTAAATATGAACCCACAATCCATTTTAGTTAAGCCTCTTATGGAAAAAAACGCTGCTAACCAAAATTTAAAATTTCCTCAGATTTCATTCTCTTTGATGTGGCTTTTATTTTGGATATTTAGATGCTTAATCCTTGTTTTGGATACAGACAACAGACAGCAGTAGGGATCACGAACTTTCCACCAGCGGAAAAAAACAAAACAAAACCGTGATGATTACAAGATTATTAAGCATAATTTAGAGTTCACTGTTATGCAGAATTTGTAAAGTTATTTTTTCTACATGCCTAGATGCCTAATGTCCATTAGGCAAATTAGTAACCTATTAGTCAAGTTATGCAAATGCCATTTTTTGTTTGATTTAGGTTGTGGTACTTTAGTGGTCCTCTTAAGACACAGTACCTGACAGAACTAGTTCATTTTAAATGGTTTGCAGTGGTACAGAGTTATTCCTAACTTTCTTAATGCTTTCAGATAATACTCATTTTTCACTGCAATGAGTTTATAAGCACTACTCACCACTCTTAGACGTGCAGACAGCATGCAGTGGAACTATGTTGACCTTAGAAACTTCTTGTACAGTATATCTGTACAGGGGAAAGACACATTTTGTTGAAATACATGAAAAAGGGCCTTAAAGTGTTTATGTGTATTCATACTGTAAACTTGAGGGATTTTTAGTTTAACATTTTATTATAGAGTGACGTGTCCTACAGTGAAGTAAGAATGTTCTTCTAGTGCTGTTTATTCACTCTGAGCATCTGTAACAATATGATCATAGTCACAGATCTGCCACAAGTCACAGATCTTCTACTGTTTTCTATGGACTTAGATGTTACATTACCAGCACGTCAACTGACATTATGAGCTATTCAGTGGTATAACACAAGGGGCAATTAACCAACCCCGGAATGCATTTTGAAAAAAAAAAAAAGGAAGGGAAGATAAGTTTAATTTCAAGCAAAGCAATAACATTTCCATGGCAACAAGCGGGTGTCATACTCCCCACCAACAACACACTATTCATTTGTATTGTTTGCAGGTAAACAAGGAGATTGTGTCAGGTCTCAAGTATGTGCAGCAAACCTTCAGGAAAGCAATCAAAAGTGAGTTAAAATTTTCATTATCATGTCCAAAATTACACCCAAATATAACTTGATGTATAATATGACTCTCTTTCTCTCTTCTTCTTTCACTCCTTTCTGTCTCTGTCTCTTCTCTCAGTTGACAAGTCGGACTACATGGTGGGCAGCTACGGACCCCGCGAAAATGAATATGACTTTCTAACAAAGATAGATGAGACTCCCAAAGGCGTTCTGGCTCGAGGAAACTACAACATCAAATCCAAATTCACCGATGATGACAAACATGACCACCTCTGCTGGGAGTGGAACCTGGTCATCAAGAAGGACTGGACTGACTGAAAACACATGGATTACCCACAAGCCCCTGCAGTGTCGGCCATTTTGCCTTCTTTATTTCTTTCTTGTTGTGCATTATTATACACAGTCATCTGGCCTTATAGTTTTGTGCCTCGCTGTCTCAACTCTCGGCATGGCCCCCTTCTGTCGGTAGCAGCAGCAGTAGCAGTTTTCTACTTTATCCGTCCATTCATGCATTTGCAGGCGCATTACAATGACACAAAATAAGTATTTATTTCAACAGTTAATTTAAAAGGTAAATTATAAAGATTCATCAGAGTGAAACAAAAGATCTGTTTATATAAATAATTACAAGTCACTACATTTCATTTATTGTATTTTAAAATTTTTTGATTTTCTTACAATTTAAATACATTTTTATTTTCACTTGAATAATCTTACCCTGATTTTTAGAAATCTGCTATTAAGTTAAATCAACTACCAAAACAATTGTACAATTTCTTTATTTATCAGAACGTTACTCACTTCCATAATATTCTCTATTGTGACGTGCCTGTAAATTCTTTCACACAGTCCTGCCTTTTCTGTTACCCCTTCACTACTGAGCTGTGCCATCATGTAGCACCTTATGTCATTGTCTCCCATTCACAATTTTATATTTTTATTTTATTGCGGCTTGAAGAGATTAACCCTGCCTTCCAGTGTCTCGCAGAATGGCGTCGTCTTCCTCTCTCCGTATGAAGTACAGTGGAACAAGCAAGTGTACAATCAACTTTTGTTTGCCTTTTTATATAATACGTGTATCAGTGGTTGTATATTGTGACTGTATCCACATTGGCTATTATTGTGCACACCCCACCACAGCCACTTCTCCCTATAATGTTAGTAGGTTGTGTTCAATTGATTCTTAAAATCCTGTAGTTTTAAATTGAGATGGAGGATTGGTAAGGATTTTATTGCAAAAATGTGTGCTTAATAACACAAACCAGGCCCAGACATTTACCATTGATTTCTTTATTACTGGGCCCATCCAAATGAAACACTGTCCCAAAACTAAAGGTCTTTACTCTCAATACCAAAACAAAGGTGCACTATGTAACTTGTTCTGTCAACTGCTTGCCTTCAGTTATTATTACGTTGGTTGGAATATTCCACAGTGCGCCAATGAACGCATATACAGTATCATGCATTTGTTCAATAATAATGGCTTTACTGGAAAATAAATATCCTGCAAAAACATTCATTCTTAGTGTGGCTGGGGATCTGACCTGTAACTTGGTGATGTAACCAGCTTAGATCAGTTTAATGCCATGAAGTGGAACATTAAAAGCAAAGCAATGACAAGCAGTTAGCGGACCCTCCCCCAGAAAAGCTTATATAGTGCATCTTTAGATTATAATGGTGCTATGATTCAAACATATAGTCTTGATTGTTCTAACTAGACTTTCTGAACAAAAACAATTCAAACAAAAAGATATATTCAAGTTCAACATTGTGTGGAATAATAATTACAAAAACTTTCATTATACTTATACACTTCTTGCCCTCCATTGGAATTTTGAACTTTATCAAATTCTATGAAATGAATAGCCTACAACCTACAGAAAAAAGATAGCATTCCTTTGTTACTAATTCCATGCTTCCTTGCCTATTTGCTGGCTGACTTTTGATATAGTCTACCAAAACCTGCCTTGTATACAAGTAAGTCATTCAGAGCTGCTTAATTGCGCCCCCTGCTGTCCCAAAATGTATTCACCCATTTCAGTTCTAATAGGAAATGGGGCCAAAGTTATTTAGGGACTATAACATGTAAGTATAGCGGCCTTAAATGTACCATGTATTTAAATATAGATGGGTGCTCTGCAGAAATACCTTGCCTTGTCATGCACGGGTAGTCAAGTCGGGTGCTGAGGACTGCTGTTCAAAATAGCAACACTTTGAAGAGCCACTTACGTGTATCTATAAGTGACACTACTCGACCTATTTAGGATACATACTTCTGAATGTAGTTAGCTAGCCAAAAGCCAAAATTACCCCTCTTAAAACTTATTCAACCAGGTCACTCTATGCTGAAATAATTGCCAAACCCGATTTAGGGAAGAATGTAGTATTAATGAATCATCACATGTTTATAGATACCTGCAATCAATAAGTCAATAATGCGTATTCTGTTTCTGAAAGGACAGAATATATTAAGTTGATTTTAAAATTTAATCAAACAATAAAATAGTCAAACCGAACCTAGCCTACTGCTAATGGTTGAGTAAAAGAAACACTGTGTTAAAAATATGTACAATATATTATATTTTTGGGGGGACAGGAGCATGAATTGATAGGACAACAGGCTTTTGCACTCCCCTTTAAAAATTAAATATAGTTTGTCTTATCTGTTGGAACTTGGATAGCTTGAGTGAAAAACAAAGTAACAAAATGTAAAAATGTGTGTTTAAAATTTCAAATCCAGTTGTTTGAATCTGAATTGAATATACAAAAAATAGATACTATCCACTAAATTGGAGGTATTATTTTCCTTTAAGCTGCCCCCTCAGCACCTGTCTCCAGCAGCTCTGGTTGTGTGTATGAAAAATGCCATCAAACTGTCTGTAAATAAAGGGCTTAACTTTTGCTCCCAACCAATAAAACCCCATGTAGCCCTGTTGTAGATGAGATAGACTTAACTGAATGATCTGATAGAGCTAAGTGTACACTAGTGCCGCAATCTGAATGTGCTCAATTAGAAAAACGGATTAGGCAAAACCAGTGTTAATATTTTATTTGTGAGGCCTTATTATTTTGGGCAATAATCTTTTAAAATTATTGTTTGTTCCCCTTTGCCTTAAAGCACATAATTTTCCCAAAACAGGTGCAGTTCAGTGAGTTAAAATGTTGTGAAAAAAGTTACATAAGTTTAGTTGTTCAAATTAAAAGGCAATTATCAAAAATGTGAAATATTTTAAGCATTATACAACCTATATACTGTATGGATTCTAAAATATATTCTCGTCTTTAGGGTTATCTCAGACTACCCTTTGTACTGCTAATTTGTTAGACTTTTAAACCAGATGCCCTCCCAACGCAGCCCAAAATTGTGGCTGGAGATATTGGTGCTTCCCTAAAAGTGTATTTTATGCTTTTAGTGTCTTGATAATTGACCTGCAAGGACCTCTAATGTGAAGCAAAATTTCATATTTTTGCATTATTTCTGTCCAGTCAATATAATGAAAATGCTCTAAATATTTCAGTCTTTGTACCAAGTTTATACAAGACTTGTATTTTACTTTGAACTACCAAATCTATGGACTTCACGACATTCTTACTTCGAGGTGCATCTGGATAGCCCTTTTACATTGCTGATTAAAATGAAGGTGGTGTCTTGTAATTGTGAGTTTAAGCACAGAGAGAAAGCACAGGAAGAGACTGAGTTTGACACTATTTGCTGCTTAAGATCTTTATAGTGACTGAAAACTGACCAAGAACATGAAGGAGAGGAGGATTTTAAAACACTAAAAATTGACAAAGTTAAATCATGTACTGTACCCGAACACTTGGATGTAAACTCTTTTGCTGATGTTGTGTTACTGGCTCCATACATTCCTCATGTTGTACAGTTTGTATGAAACGCTGGCATGTCGGTGGGGTTGTGTATTCGGACATCGATTGTGATTGCTCTTATCGGTCAATAAAGATTTTACTCAAGATTGTTCTCATACTTTTCTTGTAAAATGTATTAAAGGTAAAACATATTTAAGTTATACTAAAATAAAATACAAATAACATGAGAGTTTGGTCTCAAACTTTTTTGTATATGAAATGTATTAAAATTATCAATACATGACCACATATATCTGTGATTGCCTATACTCATACAACAATATGGGAGTTTGTTGACAGCTCAGAGACAAAAGGCTTACATATGAATTTTAAAAGCCACAATAAGGTGCTATATTGCTTTGTATCCCAACTTTGGGTCCCTGAACTTTCACAGGGGGCTTCCAGGAGTCCTAAAAAGACATCCAATCTAGACTGCTTAATTTATTTCCTTTAAAGAAATAAATCAGAGTTCAAACATTGTGAAACTTTTTGGGCTGACTATACTACATCCTGGCAACCAGAATATCAGATTGGTGCATCCCTAAAATCTAGTATCTAGCTTTTTATGATGACTCCTGGTCTTAACCATAATTGTCTTCTAATACTTTAGCTTGACAGGTAGGAAGATAAATATCGGGGTTGACAGCATATCCAATGGTAAAATAAGAGTTACTGAGAGAAAAAGGTAAGGAATCACTACTGTAGTGGAAGAACTGTTCATTTTAAAGTATGTAAAGTTCTATAATTAACATGACTGATGCACTGTTCAGACACATTACATTAGATAAATACTTTATTGATCCCAAAGGAAAGTAATGAATGTGAAGGAAGAGGTACCTCTCTGTGTATTTTTACCTCTTTGTTTCTTGTCAGTCAGTTCAGTTATCCATGTAATCATCCAATATGTGTTTGCACCATTGGCGAATAGTTGCAAAAAGAAGAACTCTTAAACTCTTAAAGTAAAAAGTGAAAAGTTAAAAGCCATGGAGCAGGTGTGTTAATTCTATATTTCTCACTTAACAAAACAATGATACTCTTCTAAAGCAAATAGAAAAGTTAGGCCAATACCTACAAATGTTAAAAGGCACAGCATCATAATACAATTTGACATGCAGGGAGTTTTTTGTTACAAGTGTCGTAAACATTCAGAGTTGACCCATATTGGCCACTTGTGTTGTATAACAGTTAGATGAATACTTGTAAAGGGAAAATGCTTTCCGGAGCGGTAATGCAAAAAGTACAGCTACTTACAGTACAAATTATAAACACAAGCATTCTCCATTAAAACATGAGATGATCGTAACAAACCTTTTCAATACAATTCCCTTAGCACCCACGGCTGTCCATTCACAACTTAAAGGTGCACCATGTAACTGTTCTGGTGTAGGGTTGGCCACCAGGTGGTCTGCATGTTTTGACTTTACCTGAAATGTCCCACACTATGGCCTTAACCTTATCTCCATGGAGACAAGCAGGTGAGACCAACAGGCCAAGTTACAGGTCAGAACTGTGCCATTTGCGTTTTTTTTTTTTTTTAAGCAATATAAACATCTGTAATTGAATAAATGCAAGATTGATAAATTTGTTGTCATATTGCGGAACATTTCAGGTCAAGTAGGTTGTGTAATCCGTAACAGGAAAAGTTACATAGTGCACCTTTAATAACCTTTACATTTGGACAGATGTTTTTGTACATAAATACAATACAATTTAAATAAACATTTGAAGCACTGGGGAGAATAGCATGCAGCTTTTGGTCCATGGTTAACAGTCGGCTAAATTCAGACACAGATCTAGTCCTGAGAAGCAATACTGACCACTTAAAAGTTTTTCCCAAAGGACTCCCAAAAACAGAAGGTATTTTTGGCACATAAGCCTGTCTCTTATAGCCACCAAAGGCCTGTTGCTGGAAGATAGTTCCAGATATATTAGTATAAAGGCAACTGACATATTATAATCTAATTAATTCTGCTTTCCCACATGTTTTGTCCACATGTCTTACCAAAAATAAGAAACTAAAAATAACGATCTTTACTATACTTAGAATGAGATTGCTCATAAAAAGATACAATATTTACATCAAAAATATGGTAATAACCAAATCTTTTGATCAATGTTACAAATTTTAAACATTTAACTATGTTGGAAAAACATAATAATTACTTTTCCAAAACATAAAATGCATTTAAATGGTCTAAGGTTGTCAGTAAATATAAATTGGAACAACTTTTAATTATTTACTGTCAATTATAAAGATGGATAGTACTGAAATTTGTCCTGTGTTCTGTGTATTATTTTACTATATTCAAACAATCTATTTACCTTAAGTTGGAAAATTCTAAAATCTTTATATTTTGTTCTCCAGCAACAGGCCATGATCTAACCGACCAACACATGCATGGCTTTAAAATTTCTTAACACAGATTCTATACACACTGTGGCAACTAAAGCACATTAAAACATCCCATTTAAAAATACAATAAAAATATAAAAGTGGATGTTATTATGAACATCTCGTCAGTCCACAGCAGGTCCAGTGGAGCTTGTATTACAGTAGTTCTGCCAAAACACATTGCAAGTTTACAGAGGCCCAAATGCAGGACAAAACCCTGATAGATTCCAGTTGTGTTATTTGGATGTGCTCTCGACACCAGCTCTGGTCTTGTTGTCTGTATTCTGTTACATACTGTTACATATGGTCACATACTGTCAATGATTCATCTTGAAAGTTTGCTGATCACTCGAATAAGAGCAGCGTTTTCATCTTTGAGTCTCTGGTTGTCGGCTTTCAGGTCTCCCAAAATCTGAAGGAAAAATAATGTGTGGAAAAATACTGAGAAATCTGAGTATTATTTCTTGTATTATAGTTAGAGTTAGTGATTTAGGTCTCTCAAATTACAGTAACCCTTGGCATATAATTCTTACAGTCATTTTATACTAGATGCTTATTATTCTAACCAATCCTTTACTGGCAAATCTGATCCCTGACAACTCAAGCTGTGGAAAAAATAGAGTATTGCCCACTCAAACATATTGCCAATATAAGTAATCGATAGCTTTCTTTTTCTGCTAACATCAGTGTGTATATGGATGGCTAATAATAGATTTACTCCGAAAACCCTAAAACAAAGCTTCAGCTGGACCAGAGAGCCTTTCCTGTGATGTGAGCTGTTACTACAGTGCATTATTGACTGAGCTGCAGGGGCCATTAGACTGCGGATCAATTATAGAAGATACAATTAGTGTGTTTGTTCACTGGTCTAAAGCTCAACAAACACACAGCCATTGCAAGTCTGGAGTATCACACATTTGTCAAACAAACGCATTATTTATTTATTATTATTTATTATTACCTTGAGTTCATCCTCCATTTCCACTGCTCTCCGCTGTAGAGTCAGTTTCTCCTGTAACACAAAATGTAGAAATGCAGCTACAATTTTTGTGTAATATGTTCTAATATGTTCAGATTATTTTTTGGACACAAGGTATAATCAATCAACATATCTTAGCATTCAACAAACAAAAACACCTCCGATACATATTCTTGTTCCTATTTTATGCAATAACGTGGACATGTAGCTGCTGTGTATATATTATAACATAACGTTTCTAACTTACGAATCTCTCCAGCTCTAGCAGTGCCGGCCGGTCAGTAGTTCCCTCTTGACTCTGCCACAAAGAAAACAAACATTGAGCCTAAAGTAAAGATTGTAAAATACGTGAGATTGATATATTGTACTTAAATAACGAATAACCACTTGAATATAATAAGACTTTGCTTTTCCATTACAAAACAGGTTATGTTAGAAGTAAGCGTGTCAGTGCTAAAGATAATCAGATCAATTTCAAGCAAATGTGCACAAAAGTTGACAGAAAAGAGAAGACAAGAAAAATGAATTTAAGGTTTTAAGGTTTTAAATACACATACAGGAATATAAGGTAATTCAGTAACAATTACAACACATAGAAAGCAGCTCAACTAGTTCTTAGTACAGTGCCTTTTGTAGTTTATATACAAAAGAAATTTAAAAAAAATTGTAGCAGCTTGCATTGAATAAGGCTATTAGAAGATTTGTAGTGAATGCAATATGAGTTATAAAATGATATGAACAAGTTTGGTGAAAGTGTGAGACTTTAAAAACTGCATGACAAGAACAAGAACGCAGGACTGCGTAAATGCAAGAGAAACAAAAATAAATTGGAGCTGTTTTGGTGAAGGAAAATCTTTAAAACATGACTCAAAGCTAGGTTGGCTATAGCATAATATGTGACCTCTAAACTTGTGTTCAAATGCACAGCTAGCTCCTCTGCTCATGAAAGTTACAAAGGCTAAAGCTAAAGGTTAAAACAGCATCAAACCAGCCTAACCTGTCGCAGTCTCTCCAGCTCCACTTTGTTCTGACTCAGCAGCAGCTCTGTCTCCTGCAGCCGGTCCTTTAAAGACAGATTCTCCTGCAGCACCTTGAAGTACAGCTAGAGGGCGACACAAACACACGCAAGTTGCATAAGAGTATGGGAGTGTGGGAAATGAACTCGATGACATGTGGTTTGGTTGCCATTCTAGTATGTAAAGATGTATCAAATTTCTTTCATAATAATGTCAGTGCTACATACCGTCCTATAGTCAGCAGATGAATCGTCAAATTTATTCCCTCTGAAAAAATACAAAACTTTTTAATACAAAGCAGTATTTTACCAGGTTATTGTACTCCCAATATAATTGCAACTACTAATTAAAATGGGAGTTGACAAGTCAGCAATTATTTTTCTGACAAGTCAACTAGTCAAACCATATTTTTTTAATAGTGCCTTGGAGCAAAAATGATGTTTATTAATAGAGGATATTTAAATTAGGCTTAATTTTATTTTAGTTTTTAGTATCAGTGAAGTCTTTGTTGTGTACGTTATATTTCCCAGCAAATGGTATGAGTCAAATGTCTGTTTATACTCAAGATAACGATGAAGAACAGCATTAAAATAGTCAATAAATATTTCAGTTGCCAATTAGTTACGATTATTTCGATTGATAGATAGATACTTTATTGATCCTGAGTCAAAGTCCAGCTGCAGCAAAATTTACATTGCGCTTCTCAGTGCTGTAGCCCTGTTGTACATTTAAACTTCCACATTTTTTTAGTATAAAAATCCTATGCGTTTTTATGCAGGTATTTTTAATCATCTTCACCCCACAGGCCATACAATGATACAGGCTGTGTCTTGCTTTAAATGTGCATATTATTAAATTGAATAGACTCACTGTATTGTGCTGTCCCCATTGGTTTCCTCTGGTTGAGCATCCTCTTCATCATTCTGGAAACGTAATAGTTCAAAAGGTCAGGTAAACATTACAAGCATGTAATTTTAATAAAAATTGGTTAATGTATTATTTTAATTGTTTTATTTGGTTCGAGTTTGCTACATATTACAATTGATGTGCCAAGACTGTTTTCAAACAGTGGTACTCCCAAGTAATCTATGGACTGGCTTCTTTGGGTACGCTGTTAAAGTCATGGTTTAGTTTTTGACCTGGTTCAGCCCTAGTTTTTGGTTTAAAAACAAGACATACAAATACAAAAAGCCTCAAATTGGATAGCTCAAAATGTATTTTTGTATTGCTTGCACCACAATGTGACATTTCAGACATCTGCCCTTCATCAGACTCTGGTTTGGGCCTGGTATAGTCCTGTTATAGATTTGGTTTTCATCTGGTGATACCTAGCAAAGCCAAATATACTGAGGTCTATCTACCCCTGCTTTTCAGTTAGTTCTGTTGTTATACAGACTTTTTTGGAGAGCTTCTGGATATATTTCAAAATCTAAATTTATTAAATATGTATAGGCTTAGTCTTGGTTTAGAAAAGCTCTTCTTATGACCCTCTTAAAACTGACTTAAGCCCATAAAGAAATAGCTCAAACTGGTTAAAAACTGGTTTAGCAGCCTTTCTGAAACTCCTCTACTTTTAAATGGTAAATGCTGTTTTTCCCTCTCTGGCTATGAGCTGAATAATTGTGTATTCCTTCTAAAATCCAGTGTTGACTTGTCGTACCTCTCCTCCCGTCTGGACGATCCCTGTGGAGCGCCTCTCTCTCCTCCCTCTCCTCCGGTCTCGAACGCCCAGCTTCTTCTCCACTTCAGGCTCCTCCTGCTTCACTGGGTCAGTGTCTGAAACCAGAGGAAATTTGGTTTCATCACAAAATTGCATGTATATTATAAAAAGCAGTAATGGAAAATGATTAATGATAGTTAAGTGTGTCAAGGTCTTGTTGTGTATATGTGATTTATGAAACTGGCTTTTGGCAGTAATAAGGAATATGGCAGCAACAGTTAATTTGATTAATTGTGACTGGTCAATTATTTAAATAATCAATACCTAATCATCAATAATAATTATCTGGACTACACATTAGCACTTTTTTCACATAAATAGCTAGTTACCGATTCAAAATTGAACAGTACATTTTCTAAGTTTCCAAGTAAATAGCATATTTCTCTTAATTTGGTTAAACTGGGTTAAAACACAGAGAACAGAAAGGTAAGCCCTACACAAGAACAATGACTTTATTTAGAAAATAGATTAATTCCTTTTAAAAGGTAATACAATAATGCAAAGTGTGAAGTTCATTTAGTACCTATAAATAAAACCCAGGAAACTGAACTCTTCTGAATGGCTATAGTAATTTTACAGATATGGGCTGATTTGTAACAGAAATAATCTTTGAGCAATACAGGAAGCTCTTATCTGAAACTCAGTTCAGTTGGCAGCATGTCGGGGCTTGAGAGCAACAGGCTACGCTACTTCTATTTTCAGGCTTACAACAAAGCAGTGAGAATACACATGTAGACTAACGGTTCAAACTGTGGTCAAAGGGTATGCACACACTTGACCTGGTTTGGTCCTAGTTCAAGCCCAGTTCAGTCCTGATTTGAACTTGATTTGGCCCAGTTCTAGTCCAGTTCTAGTCCAGTTCTAGTCCAGTTCTAGTCCAGTTCTAGTCCAGTTCTAGTCCAGTTCTAGTCCAGTTCTAGTCCAGTTCTAGTCCAGTTCTAGTCCAGTTCTAGTCCAGTTCTAGTCCCAATTGGATAGGGTGTGTGAACCCAATTCTTCTGCAAATTATATCTTGAAAGTAATACATTAGCCATTATTCAAGATTTTGTAAAATACTTAACATTAACATTGGCTATATCACTTAAAATATTAATAGTATACAAAACTACCACAGTTGCCAGCAATGCAAGGAGAAAAAAAATGAAAACCTGCATCTTATATATATATATATATATGCAATGAGTTTAGTACTACTTTGGACAGTAAAACCTATTTGCTGTAGAGCACACTGGCTGTTTTAATCTACCAGTACTAACTTGTAAAACCATGCTGTTGCATAGTCAATGCATTCAGCATAAAAGTGTGCAAAAAAAAATTAAGGGAGCATATTTAGTTACTGAAATTAAAAACTGAAGCACATTTTAGTGTTACTAATTGAGACCAAAGTGGGAAACCATGTTTCCTTTATGTATATAGACTATGTTGAAGATAACTCCACCAAAGCTTTAGCTGTAAAATAGAAGCCTTCATTGTGATAATATTGTTTAAAAAGGGGACATATTGTGTATGATAAACTTAGATGAGCATTCAGCCATGTCAACAATGTTGTAACAGTGTTCCATCCTTCTTATATTACTCAGAGTTTTTTTCATGCAAATTTGACAATTTCTGTATTGTTCTGTATTTGATGCTTGAGTGCTCAGAAGAGTTCTATTTTCATCTACCCCCCGTCTCCGCCCACTTCACTGTACTTGCAGTTATTAACGAAATATGTACTCCGAGTCATACAGATAGGATTTTAAAATGTCACACAACTGTTTTTCAAAAATAAAAACAAGTAATTTAAAATCTGCTGCTTGCTATGATTAAATACCCCCATGAACAGCTGCAGTTTTGAACAGGAAGGACCCATTTCTGTTACTGGGAAGTTTAAAATCAGAAGTTTAGTTTACACTGCACAAAATGTAAAATAATGAGACATACATGTTATATTTTTATGCTAAATAAAATAGAAAACAAGATGTAATGGCAAATAAGCTAATGATGAAAACTCTCATCATCTAGTAGTATTTCTTACCTCTTTCTGCGGGGGTCAGAGTGATGATGGGGCTCACTGGTTGGACAGTCCGAGCAGGAGTCTGCTCAGCTGCTTTGGAAACATTCTTCTCTGCTTCTTTAAGATCTGTGAGGGTCACCCCCTGGAATCATATAATTATTATTTAATTTGACATTAATTTTTTTAGATAATAGAATGTTCTCTGCAAAGAACAATAATATCCTGTCTTATTCATACTTAGTTTATATTTCAGTCTTCTCTTCGATGTTAATGCTCCTGGAGTTGTTCTCTGAGCAAAATCCTACTTCTTAAACATATGTTGCAAATCTAATTGCAATTGCAATACTAGTTCATTTTGGCTGTGTGTCAAGGTCGCTTTTTGACACAATTACATTCTATCGAAGTAAGTTTGCATTAAATGAGTTGTAACAATAATGTGTTCTGACAAGTCCCACTGAGAACAGAATTTGATACCACTGAAACTGTGACTCTGGCTTACAAAGTCAAAATTCAGGTTGTTGTGCTTGCTGACAATGAAATAAAAAGATGTTTAATTTCACAGGAAGCAATACAAGAATAGAAACACAGCCAGCCTCCATTATTTATTATTAGCTTTCATCACTCGCCAACAACCATACACGTCATCTTAATGCAATACAGGAAGGTGAAGAGTCAACACAATACAATGGAAATATGACATGCTGGTACTGAATAGACAATTATCTAGTTAGTCTAACCAACTATAAATAAATGCCTACTTTCTATTTATTACAGAAATTTGATCTACACTGTTATATTTGACAAATTGCATGTGTATAAAGACAAAAGAGTAGAGTTGGACATAATAATTTACAAATCTTATGACAACATCTACAACATCTTCTACAACATTACTTCAATTTGTAATCCTTGTATAATAAAATCTCAAGATTGGTAATGACAAATGTCAGTTATCAGCTGCAAGAAAAATACTGGATATCGGTACTTCTAACTGAAGAAATCAATATTCCACCACCTAAATAAAAGTACTTAACACACACTACAAACTGGGTGAAGGTGAAATTTTGCCAGTTTCTCAAAATGTACTAATATGAGATAATATAGATACTTTACTAGCTGTATGTAGCGTGCTTTCTATGTATACCACAGAAATTCCTTCCAACACTGTACTGTTGCATTAAACCAATAATAAACTACAAGAGAAAGAGGAGTAACTGTAAAATATGATTTATTTATATTTTACCTGTGTGGAGCGGCGTGTCTGACGCAGCAGCCGAGAGCGAGCTTTTCTCTGGGACTCAGACTCTTCGTCTCTGACTGGAGCCTGGAACCTGCACACAGTTATATTACATTGCACTGAAAAATAAAACCCAAGTAAAGGCAGGCTTACAGATATTAAGACAATTCTCCAAACAATAATCAAAGAACTATATAAATAATTTCAAATGAATAAGATTTTTATTGAACATTAATAAAACTAAATTGAAACTGAGGGATAACCAAAATATTTCATTCACATTGATCACAATAATTGACATGATTTACATGTTGCTTATAGAATTATTTACAAGTATTATGTGATTTGAATGGAATTGTAGGTCATCTGAAGCCAAAAGATAATACAGGATTTTATTTAGTACATCAACACTATGGGTCAATAATATTTAATATAGATTGGGTAATCTAAAATGAATAAAGTTATTTATATATTTCAGTAGTTATATAGTTATTTTATAATTGCCAGTTTCTGTGGTGTAATAGCAATTTTATAGGGTCTTGCCAAGAGCAGATATAATTGACTCAAATTCTTTTCAGATATTACTTAAGAAAATATCATGTAACAAATACATGCTGTCTATTTTTAAAAGTTCTAGGTGGATCCTATATAGAAAATAAAGGTTGACTGATTGAATGATTGAATGGGGAAAACTGGCTCTTATTTACCCCCCCATCTGGTAGTGTAATATAACATTCTAGATCTGAAAACAACAATTTCTACAAATGAACCTCACTTTCTGCGATCAGAGCTGGGAGTGTTGGGGCTATCGGCAGGGGAGTCTTTTGTTTGTGGAGTGGGTTGGACTCGTGCTGTGCGGTTTGCCTTGTCGTCCTGCTCCTTCTCCTCGTCATCGTTCTCTTCTGGGGTCTGGATGCAAGAATATGGAACAATAACATTTTCTGACATTTTATATTTTTAGTATAATAATATTTTAAAACAAATTCAGCTCCTCTTTCACTATCCACAAATCTCTACTTGGTTTTGGTCTCCTGTCTGACGACTTTAACCTCAGCGTCCTTAAATCAATATATTCACTAACGTCAGACTTAGAGTGCATTCATCATCAAAATCGGGATTTGCCTGGGCCTAATTGGACTAATCCCTGAGCTAAACCTGGACTAGAGCAGCACTAAACCAGGACAAGTGTGGACACAACATTATTGATTCACACAAGCATTTACTTGTACAAAGTACAAGTACACAGCCCTTTTACTGCCAAATATTTCTAAACAATCTCAAACTGAAGAACAGTTTCTCTGGTGAATTTGCTTTTGACCCCATCCATTCCTATCATAAACTAATAAAAATTATGTAATTCATGTCTTACCTTGTCAGCAGGACTAATAGTAGAAGTGGTCATGCTCTCTGTGTCTGGACTTGAAACTGCAGAGCTTTCTAAAACAAAGAAAACCAAATGGCATGAATGCAAGGTATTGCAATTGCATTTAGTTTGGAATCTGTGTTTTAAAAAGTATCATTCACTTCAGAGTGCACATTGTAAAGAACTTCAGGAGAGGTGACATTTGAGAGAAAATATGAAGTATGAACTGAAAAAATAATTCAAGAATCCTGAACTGATGAATTTCAGAACATGTTCACATTCTCTGCAGGGGAGATTCTAGTATCTAAATAATTGCAGCCTTTAGTCTAATTGTTATCCACAATTTAAACATTAAATAAATACTGACCAGGACTGCTCTCTTTCTCCTCACTAAACTCGTCTCCAGACACACCCCTTTCTTTAGACTGGTCCTGTACATTCATCTTGTCTTTGCTGCTCATCCTGCAGACAGAGCTCCTATAGGAACAAAATAGAGAAATGTCAACACGTGCGGCTTAAATTCAATGAAGCAAAAGATAAAATAATGTTGATACTAAAAGGAAAAATCTGAACTATTATTCTTACTCACCTCCGCCGTTTGTTTTGTGCGTTTGCAGTGGTGGAGCCTTGCTGGTTTTGTCTGTCCAATATGGACTGTTCCTTACGCCACTGCAATAACACCGAGATATCAGCCACAATCCAGAAATACTTTGAATTCTACTTGAAATCTCTTTCTTTTGGATTTTCCCTTCTGGTGTTGCCACAGTAAAAAATCTGCCTCTTTAAGTCTAGTGATTTGCATTTGAATTTGCTGTAAGTTTTATGTCAAATGCCTTCCCCAGAATGCTCTTTTCCTGGTATCCACACTTGAGACAGGCACAAAGACTATGCTCATTATTTTTTATTATATACATATTTTTTATTTTATTTATGGTGTAACCAGATCCAAAATCTTATTCAATCTGAGGTCTTAATAATATTATTTTTAACACAGATTTTAACTTTCTTATAGAAAGTCAGCAAATATATAAAAAGTTAGAATGAAATTTCATATTGACCACTATTCAGTCCTGAACTTGTGCAGTATATGTAAACTATTTTCTTCTATGACCTATCCATCTTTCTATATTCAAGCAATATTTTGTACTTACATTCCTGTAACAACTGAAAAACAACTATATACATTTTTGGTGCTATAGAGTAAAGGGTATTTAAGGCTTACATTGGCTTGTTTCTGTGATAACTCCTCAAGGAGCTCTTCGACGCTTTCATCTGCAACGTCAAATGGTGTTTGGCCCTGCACATTTCAAAACAAAACATGATCAAAATCAGAATAATTTTAACTGAATAGTAAACCTGCACTATTGATGGGTCTTACAGAGTTGCTGCGTGCCTCCATGTTACACAGTTGTTCAGCCAAAATGTGACAGGCCTCTCCCTGACCCCAGTGTGCCGCTGCGTGGAGAGGTGTCCAACCATCGTTGTCTTTGGCCGAAACATCCAGTCCACACTGACACAGTATTCTGCAAAAGACCAAGGGATAGATGAGTCATTCTTAAAGTTTAACACCAAGTATTACTTAAGGAAATAGTTCATTTACAACAACAGATATGTGCCATTTTCATCAGAGTCTAGCATTTTACTTTTTGTATAGTAAGAACTTGACCAAGACTTAAAGTGCACGTGACAAGCCATTTCACAAAAATATAGTTAACATGATTATATTCAAGATTTTACTAAAAATCTAGTTCTGTCAGGTTTTTACATTGTGGAAAAGTTTATCATTTTGCTTCCAGGTTGAATGTTGGGAGCAGATATGACATACACAGAGATAATTACATAGAAAAAACAAAATTATTAATTGCAGAATAGTTATGATTATTATGACTATGTAAAATAATGAATCTTTAAACAGTCAGAATGATGTGTTCTTTGTGTGTAGATTGTATCTGCATTTTGGAAGGAATTTGGATGAATGTTGTTGATGACATAGAGGTGGTCTGTTTTAGATTTCACCACTACTTCCTGTATTTTTATAGTTTTCTTTTCAACTTTTTTCCACAAACTACCACTTAGCTTAGTATGATAAATATTTACCACAGGTACTATCAAATCAAACCATGTAATAATTAGAAAAACATGAAAACTTGTCATATGCACTTTAAGTAGATCTAAAATAGCTTAAACCTGTTTTGAACATGAAGAAAGCTTTGTAAAAAGCTGTAAAAGGTAAAGAACAAATCTGAGCTTTACTTGAGAGCCTCTAGATAGCCTTTAGCGGCAGCCACATGCAGGGGGGTGGCTCCTGTTTTGGGGTGTCGTACATCGACTGGGGGCCCCTCTGTGAGCCAGGCCCGAGCATCCGTCATGATCTGCTCCTCCTCCATCCGTTTGGCAGCCTCCAAGTCCACACCTGATCATTAAAGCGTAATTAGCCTGGGTTATATGAGAAAATAACATTCACTGGCAACAAATAGAGCTGAATGAATAATTAAGCACCTTTTAGCTTTACCTAAAATATAGAAGATAGAGAGAGGGAGCAAGCAATATTTTGGGGGGTTTTGAGTGCTGAGATTTTAACCTCTGAGTTTTAACCATAGACCATAGGTGGAAGAGCCTGCATGTAAACTTCCTATTTGGAACGAGGCTGCTAGCACGTTAGCTATGTCCATTTATATATACCGTCTATAGTTTTAACTTAAGTTAACTTGGTTGTTAAATGGTTCAAAATTACTCAAAAGCAAAAATATGGGTGTTTACAGAGTGAAATAGATTCACACTAAAATGCTTTAAAAAAAGGCATTTATTATTATAACATGCTTATTACCATATTACATTATATTCTAATAAACATTTTTTGTACAATTTGTTTAGGACTAAGTGCTGCACTGACAGTAAAATACATGGCATTTTCATATTCAACCCATTAGCCTACTAAATAAATTATCTTGTGTAAAGGTTTAACTTTTTTCCGGTATGTCTGCTACCTTCTTGTTGCTGTGGAAATGCCTGGAATGTCCCAAGGTATCACAAATATATTGCATATTAAAAAAATTTGGATTTATTCATTATAATAAATGCAATATTTATAATAACATTATAATAATTATTGCTCAAAAATACCATGAAAACATGCATTTTTTTTGTGGGTGACCTTTTTCCACAGATATGACCTATCACAATGGAGACAGACAAGCTAAATGCCATACTGGTGAATATTCAAGGTTTGCTTTTAAAGTGGACATATTATGCATAATTTACTTTTTAGAGCTTTTAACCATTGCTAGAACTGTTTCCCCTTATCATTTACCTTCTGGAACTTGTATATAGCGTTTGAGTCATCTTTATACTCCCGTCTTCAATACATCATTGCTCTACCCCATGTAATTCTGGACTTACTTACTAGATATGTTACATAGTGCACATTTAAACACACTACAGATACAACCTCACCTTGTTTAACTGTGAATTTCTGAATGAGTGATTCTGTGGTTTCATCCAGTGCAATGTCCAAAGGAACATCACCATCACAGTTCACCGCAGACAGACAGGCATCATGCTGCAGAAGGTACCTGCAACAACAACAACACCAATAAATAAACAATATGAAGCTTTGTATTTTTATACAGAGGTATATCAGCCTGGTCACCACTTGCTCCTTAAGTCAGGCTCAAACATGACTTGTTTATGACAGGTTTATTTCAGTGATGCATATGAAATGAAGGATCTCATTGGTCACCTATCATTTTGAACAAAATCAAAATCTCTCTCATCTCAGATTAACAGTTTAGTGCTTCACTTATTGATTCTGCAGCAAACCTTGATCTTTTTCAGTCCTCTGACACACATTTGATTCAGACGGACTTTGCGTGTCCCTAATCCTCATCCAGCTGTCAATCAAGTCCATCCAAACTCGAGGAGAACTACTGGTGGTCAGACTCACATCATCATAAAGTATGTATTCCAAACAAAATAATGGCTTACCACATTACCACACTTTAAATAGGACTCACCTTCTACCACTACAATGCTGCTTTCCCTAACAATACCATCCAAAAATGTACACCAATTCTTTAAATCAACTGCCTTACATGCATTACTGTGCCAAGTTAGCCTACTCTTAGCTTAGTTGTTGTCCTTCCAAATGCGACAACAATGTTAGCATTGTTAAATGCAGAAATACCCTGGCACCCACACAGTATTGTGACGTCCCCACAGAGGCAATGGCCTCTTTATTAGGCAGCTGTTGTGCTACTCAAATACAAGAGGCTATAGTGTGTGGACTATAGGCTTCATATTAAGACTCGACAAGTCAGGGCAGCATGGGAACGAACTGTACGAGACCAAAACACACGACCAAAACAAAACAAAGAATCAAGAATATTGTGGAGAGTCATAAAGACAGCCTAATTATGAACAGTTGTTGAAGAAGGAAAGAAATGGTATATTAGCTAGAATAAATCTATTTATTTGAGTTAGTGTTGCCTGGTTGCATTTGGAAGTATTTACATTTTCCCCATGCAAAAACAACAATTAGAAAAGGAATGGGAGTGCACATTTAGGCCAATGATAAAGAATGTTTTCAAAATTTTTACTTGAAAATGAAAACAAATGAACATTGCAGCTCTTTTACAACCACATTTCTGATGAAATGAGTATGTGTTAAATTTACATAGTGTCAAATGCATATTACCATGACAAGACTATGCCATCAGTGGAACACAAGCAGTCCTTGAATGTTTAGCCTATGGAAGTATGATGCTTTTGTGCTGAATTTGCTTTTACAAAATGTTACGAAATATTAAAATAATTATGCAGGACAAATCAGTTAGTCAAGCAAGCAGCAGACAGAGTGACAACAGCTCATCTTGGCATTGAGTTTTAATCTGGACTCCAACCGTTTGCCAAATGTCTGTCCCTGCTGTCCTCCCTAATTTTCTGTCACTATTCCACTAACTTAGAGGCCAATAAATCTCTCCACACTTAAACAGAAATAACAATAGATAGATAAATAAACAAAGATATGTAGGAATTATTATAAGCGAAGGTTAGTACGTACTCTGCTATCTCTGAATATCCGCAGGAGGCAGCCACATGCAGCGGAGTCCATCCCTCGCTGTCCACCTGGTTCACACCGGCACCATTTTCCAACAGGAACATCACCATCTCTAAACTGCCATCTATACAGGCCTTTGAAAGGATAGAAATGTGTCATTGTCTTCACTAAATTATACATGTAATTACTACAGTTACTCTCAAAATGTAGTGTGAGTTTCACTTGTATTAGCATGTTTGCTCAGTTTATGTCATGATCTATTTCTGTTTCAGTTGAGGCCTGCCCTATTTTAGCAGGCCTAGTGTAGTCATAGCCTTGCCTTTATATTCCCTATAGACAAATTTATTCTTTACATTTGACATATTCAGTGCCACATGGAGCAACAAGAAACCATGAGCGACAATAGTGCAGCTCCTGGGACCCTTATCCAGATGTTATGCCAAGTCACGTTACCTGGTTGGGTAGACTATAACCCAGTACAAACTGGAAGTAAACTGGGACTAAACCCAGGAACAAAACCGGGACTAAATCAGGACTATATAAGAACCAAAGCTGGTCCTTACCAAGACTAAACTGTAGCAAAACCATAACAAGTGGGAACACAGCATTAAGATGATAGTGTACCGTCTGTCGCAGATTCTTTTGGTCCTAGTTCAAAGCTTGTTTGTTTCAGTGGTTTAGTCCTTGCTGTTTAAATTGTTACATCTTGTTTTAAACCTGGCAGAATCCTAATTTAGTCCCATAGTTCAACCATTCTTCATCTCAAATACAATAGCTTGACTTTCATATACTGAGTTATGTGATGTGGCAGTGCTTTACCTGGTGAAGAGCAGTTATCCCGTCTGCATTTGAACAGTTGATGATGTCTGGACCATCTTCTCTGTTTGTCAGTCGAGCTTCGGTCAGCATTGCCCGGGCCTCGTCTGTGTCTCCACTCGCACATGTCGCCAAGAACTCAGCCGCACGATCGAACCTCACACTTTTCCTAAAAATATACAAGTTTTTGTGTACTAATAATACCAATTGATGCAAAATATTAATGCTACAGCTATCACAATCTATCCATTATAATCACTGACTTAACTCTGAATTACAGTTGTCGAACTGAAATATTCAGTTTTTATTTACAGTTCACAATTTTGACCAAAGGTCTACATCAGGACTAAACAGGGCTAAAACCAGGATCAACCATAGCAAGTGAGTATGCACCCTTGATCCTGACATCAGTTCCTATTGTTTGTGAGCAAACAAAAATGTTATTATCTTTTAACATTTTACCCACCAACGAAATATACACCTCTAAATATTTTTTATTTAAACTCTAATTGATCATTGTTTGGACATACTAAGAAACAAACGCATAGGCTAAAGCGGTGCTAATAATGTACAAACCTTTATATAGGCCAACAATAAATCTGTTACTATATTAGACTTGGATGTACAGTGAACAGTGGCCAATGAGCTATTTATCTTTGCTGTAATGTTATTATAAAACTATGCCATGTTAATAAGAGTCATCAGCTACAGTAATAACATTGTCATTTTCACAAGATGTTGAGGCATTCCTGGATGACTTACAATGACAGCCTTATGACAAAATGTCACACTGTAACATAATATAGGTATACTTAATCTCTCTGTTACATTTGACACATTTTCCAGGATGAGGAAGTTATGAAACGACCAAAGCTTCAAAAATAGAGCTAGTGTCAGGGCCTCTATTCTGGTTTGTGACAATAGCACTTGACAGTTGTATGAGTGCTTGTTATTCCGCCGGTGGGCTGCTGCTGATCTGTCCCTGCTAGTTACTACACAGTTGCTGCCTACACGCTCTACAAACCCACGCACAATGTTCATTTTTAGCTTGTTACCAAATACCATCGACTGTTGGTGAATAGATTGATAGACTGTATTGCTAGAAAACAATTCAAAAACGATTTATCCTACCGTCTCTTGATAAGAGGACTTATATGCTCTCCTTCCCCGGACTCTGGTTGGTTAGTTGGCTGCTCACAGAGCTTGGCCTCCGGGTTTAGTGGAACGCTCTCCTCGGCGTCGCCCCTCCACCTCCTCCTGGGCACCGCCGAGGCTTTGTCCGTGCAGGAGCCGGCCCAACGCTTGAGCTGCTCTCGCCGCTTGGACCTGGCCGAGTCCCCCATGACTTTAAGCGCGGAGGAGGACTGCGATTTTAAAAATAAAACACGCAGCGCTGGGAGGGAAGGACACACCCTCCATGTGTACACTTTCACTTCCTGGTTCTGTGGATGTTCAAAAGAAGTGGAGGCTGCGGCGCGTGCCCGGGGAGGTCGGGAGCGCGCGCTGCAGTGACGTCAGTGCGTGTGTTTGGAGGAAACTCGAGTGGGCAAGTAACCTGTGCTCTTCCTGTCATTGTGCTCCTGTGTTTGACTTCATGGTTCATCTGTAAAAATACAATGAGAAATGGCCCAGAGAAATACTTAAGTGTATTTTAGTGAAGGCCTGGTTGGCTATAAACGCGTATCACCAATAAACAATAAGATGCATTGTGCAAGTGTATAGGCCCTAAACATGTTCCTTATGCCACTACTGTATATAATCTATACTCTCTGCTATAATCCTTCTATTCTACTTTCACTGCATTTAAGAACAACATTCTTATGCTCATAAAGTAGTAAATATTTAGTATAGGCAAGTCACGAGTGACTTTACAGGTGTTGGGTTCACTACCTGCTTGTCTTCATGTGTTATTGCTTTGCCTGGAATGTTCATGATTTGGCCTTAATCTTATCCTATGTATCACCATGAGAAACAGAGTTAAAGGTCAGATCTGTGGAGAGGTGAGCCGCTCATAAACATGGATGCCTTAAAATGTTAAACTCCAGTAATTTCCTAAATGCAAGTTTAATGCCATACTGTGGAACATTCCAGACCAGACAAGGCAGCAACATCTCCATGGAAACGTAGGTGTGCGAGATTTTATGTGTGTGTGTGTGTGTGTGTGTGTGTGTGTGTGTGTGTATGTGTGTGTGTGTGTGGATTTGCTTCTTATTTAGTGAGAAAAAAAATTGTAGCTCATAACATACTAGTATAGGCATATAGAAAAATGCCTCCTGCTCCATCTGCTGGTGTCTGTCATCATTGCACATTTTGAAACAGAAATATCCCATAGACAGGGGTGTCCAAACTTTTTTCATAAAGGGCCAATATCAAAAACACAGATGAAGCAGAGGGCCGATAGGGCCGTAGACTGGTGCCAGTACAGTGAATAATTGAAATATGTGCATGTTTAACATGAATAGCAGGAATAAATACTGATGGCTCATGCTAAGTCCTTAAAACCACACACTAAATATTAAATATTCGCTTTATCAAGGTAGAATTTCAAAACTTGAGTAAGAAGTACATTTTTAAATGATGTAGGTAATTTGAGCCAAGTCACCTGGAAGCCTGAGGGCCAAGAAAAAATTGTCTGAGGGCCGCATTTGGCCCACGGGCCATAGTTTGGACATGCCTGCCATAGACAAAAAGAAGAACTAACCCCACAGCCGTAATGACATTGTATATTATCAAAACAGATACTTGTAGTTTTATGTGTGTATGAGTCACACTGTATGTCCAAAGATTACTCAGATTTATAGGCCTAAAAACAATCATCATCACAAATTCATATTCTGCTCATAGGACAATGTACTCTTGAAGTAATCTGTTGAATAGGTCAAAGTTGAAAGCAGCAGCGCAGAGTTGAGCAATGCATAACCTACACTACCAGAGCAAACATATGTAACAGCTGCTTGGTCTCTGTTTACTGCTGGTGTTGAAACCACTTCCCTATGGTTAACATACTGCATCTGGTCACACCCAAATTAGTCTAAAACTAACCTAAAGACACACATCATACAGTATATGGTGTCACTGAGGTGTGGGATCATCAGGCTCTCACAAGGGCATTTCTAAGGATTATTATACCAGTTATATACATTTAAATTAAACATTCAAAGCAAGAATGTGTAAAATATAAGAAATGCATCACTAATCCAAGAGTGTGTGTTTATTAAAGGTGAACTATGTAACTTTTCTGGCGGATGATCTGACACCATGTCATTATGGAAATGTTATTGCCAGGTAATCCAAGTTACTGGTCAAATCTATGGAGAGGTGAACTCACATAGTACAATGCATCTTATACTATGTTAGCTCTCTTTTGAGATGTATTACCCTCCCCCCGACCCCCCTGATCCCCCTAAACAGCACACAAACTAGGGGTCAAACTTCACTCGTTTTCTTGTTGTTGTGCCATGTTGTGGACTGCACTACAGCAAATGAGGTAAGTCAGGCCTAAAATAGCTTTTTTCTATTAATCCCTACTTAGTATAGGGATGTAGTTAGCTATAGATTGTTTTATAAGTGCAGTTTTATATTGTGTGTTAAAATATGGATCCAAGCTTCTTCTATTTCTTCCTTCGTAGCTAAAGTATATTATTTTGGATAGTAACCTAATTGGAGTTTATCAACCACTGACAATTAAGAGAAAATATTAATACTAAGTCTGAAAAGTCAGACTTGTTCTATCATTTTTTGTGTGATAATTTCTTGAAATTTGTCTTTCCTCGCAGTATTACAAATTTTCAACAATACTGCCACCTAGTGTTCAGAAATTATAGCCTACTAAACGAAATGCTCGTGGTCCTAGGGGCAATTTGTGGTCAAAGTCTTTAGCTGCTGCAGCATAAACATACGTCCTGTAGGAAATATTCAAATAAGGTGTATATTTTATAGAGAGTTTATGTAGCCATGTGGATAATTTCAGAAAGTTAAATTAGGCTATGCATTACCTTCTGTGTGTAATTCAAAGTATGCTTCAATTTGTACTGTCAATAGCCCATAACATGAGGGTTCTTGACTAAATTTGCTGTGATTCTTTGTACTGATTTAATATTTTAGCATTTATTTTTGCTTACTTTACATCTAATAAAAAAAAATAAAAATTGAGTTATCCCCTTAACAAAGACACATTAAAACGTTTACCAACCAACAATGATTGCACTGATTTTTCTTTCTAATCTCAGAATGTTTTCCTCAAGCCCATCTCTGGCACACTCCTTGCCCCCTCTCAGCCTCACTCGTCTGGCCCAGGAGTGGCTGGCAGAGGACACCCCACATTTGGACCCTGCTGGAGTGTGCGTGGGGAACAAAGAAGTGGAGGCAAGACTTCTTTGTAAGAGCCCAAACAGTGTTCTGGCTGGCAGCCCTTTCTTCACTGCAGTGTTCAGTGAGGTGGGCTGCTCTGTGCAGTGGAGATACCAGGATGGAGAGCAAATCGGTGAGCATATTTAGGTCTATCATATGAAAACCCCAAGCATAATAGTAAAGGATTTATACTATATCAGTCAAGCATTTGCACACGTGTTGCAGGAAATATTTTTTTTAATGACAATAATACATCGGTTTTATATAGTAGTTTTCATGGTAACTCAAAGATGTTTTCCAATAGTTTATTATAAAACAAGGACAAGACAAACAAAAACAAGTAATGATTTGTGTTCTAAGCAGTTTTTTTAAGGTGTTTATTTTATAATTTTTTTATGTTTACTACTTTGCAACTACACTTTATATACATACATAAGACATAAAATATATGAAGCAACATATAAAGAATTATGTTAGAAATAAAAGTTAAATAACTCAGCATTTTTATATTTAATTTGAAATGCTCAAAGTAGCAATTCTTTGCTTTGTTGACAGTGCTGCAAAACCTTGGCCTTCAGGATGAAATCACCTGAAATGGTTTTCACTTCACAGGTGGGTTAAGAAAAGAGTGCAAAGCAGTGATTAAAGCAAAGGGTGGCTACTTTTAAAAATCTAAAACAGACTTTTGAATTATTTTGAGTTTTATACTTGTTATTACATTCCATATGTGACCATTATGTAATGTAACTCATATCATAATGTAAGTAATCATGGAAATAAAAATGAAGCATAAATAAAAAGTGTGTCCAGATGTTTGACTGGTAGTCTAAAATATGTCAGTGGAGATATAATGATTGCTATAAAATCTCACAATAGACTTATTTAGTCAAATAGGGAAAAAAATCAGTCAATCAAAGTGAATTTATAGAGCACTGTAAAACAACACAGAAAAGACCAAAGTACAGGAATAAAAAAAGAAACAATGAAATACTGAAACACTTAGTAGGGGGTAGACAGCATGCTGAAAAATTTATATCATGATTTTCAGATCCAGATCACAATATAGATTTTATCACAAGCCTTGTTCTTTTATACATGGTGAAAAGTTTCTGTTTTTGACCATAGAGCTGCATTACACAAAAAAGCAGGGAATCACTATATGGCAATTTTACCAAAATAGCATATGGCAGGGCTGCAGAGCTATTTGCAATCAAATCTATATCGCAGTTTGAGTTACCGCAGTTGTCAAATCTCAAAGCCTTGAGATAATAACAGTTTATCAGTTCATATTTGTGCAACTGTAATTGCTTCTGGAGCTGTTTACAATAAGCACTCTGAACAGAATGCTACATTTTAAACATATATTGAGTTGTGTAAATATTCATCCCTTACTCTTTGCAGGTGCAGATGCTGTCACACTGACTGCTATAGTGAAAGGCCCAGCAAACTGCCTTCTTTTGGGGGAGAGGCCTGCTCTGAACTGCCTGGCCCGTGCTTCAGGTATAGCCACGCGCTGCTCAGAGCTCCGGGCCTTAGCAGCTGCAGTAGGGTGGGGCGGAGAAGTGGCCGGGACTCGAAAAACCACCCCCGGCTTCCGTCTGGTGGAGAAGTATGCAATGTTGGTGGGAGGGGCATCCACGCACAGACACGACCTGAGTGGGATGGTGATGCTGAAAGACAATCATGTGTGGGCCTCAGGGAGTATCACAGAGGTAAAAACCAGCAAAAATCTAAAACATTAATCAAGAGAACATCAACCTTTTGTAAAATAAATAAAATACCTAAGAGACTGAAAAGTCAGATTGTCAGTTGTAACACCAGTAATCCATTTTATAGCTCTTAGAAAATTCAATAAAAATTACATTTTAGAACAGAACTATTTGTAGTCTAGCACATCTCACCTACATACCATTAATGCCAGGTCAAAATAAAATATAAAATACAATGTTGTATTATAGCTAATAAGGCAGCTTAACTCTCTGGGTGATGTATGAATGCTCAATGCAAAATGTTAATCTAGAGAAGGAATAGACTTAATAATAATGAATTTCCCAACCATAATATAGAAATGATATGTTATTAGTATTATGATGCATTCAAGTCATTCTGGCCATGGAGGATTTAAGTGAAGTTAATTCCAACACTGATGCCTTTCTTTCTACAGTGGTTGTTATTATGTGACTATAAATACTGTATATTCTTCAGGCAGTGAGGGCAGCCAGAGCTGTGTGTGGTTTCAGCAGTAAAGTGGAAGTTGAATGTCGTTCTGTGGAGGAGGGCTCAGAGGCGGCCGCTGCTGGAGCTGATATAGTGATGCTGGACAACTTCCAACCACAGGTACCTCTTTTTGGTTTCCTCCCTAATATGACCCCTATTATGTTATGAATGAGATGTATACAGAAATAAAATGACTGGTCATTTGGTTTGTGGAAGAAAAAAACAACAATGTGTGGCAACTTGTGACTTGTAATTGTCACTACAAAAAAATGACACATTAAAAATATCCCCATGCAATAGACATTCATTGCAACACATTGACACTGTGACAAAGATAAAATTATTATGGATAGTGCTGTATAAATAAAATTAATTTAATTTCCAGGAGCTTCATACAGCTGCTCAGAGACTCAAAAAGGACTTCCCGTCTGTTCTGATTGAGGCCAGTGGAGGAGTGAGCCCTGAGACCCTGCAGCAAATGTGTTCACCCCACATCGACATCATCTCTCTGGGCTGCATCACCCAGGGCTGTCCTGTGGTGGACTTCTCACTGAAGGTCATTCACTGAGATATAACTTTATTGTAAAGATAAAACAAATAAAATATTATAATATTTTTTAGAAATTGTCAAGATTAATTTAATGTCTTTAATTTTATCAAATTAGTGAGCAGACCTGAAACTGGGGACAGAGTAAATGGAAGGTGAGAAACTGTCCTCTTCTCAAGACAGAGATCACCATAGTCACACAAGTAGGCCAGGAAAGGCAGTTTGATATTGCACAAAGCTGTTATGGATTTGCACATGATTATTAACTGATTCATTCATAATTATATAAAATAAAAAATACTTTCTATTTTTGTAACTTTCTAGCTCTTTTGTATAAAAAGCATCTTCTTTCAGCTCATCAAATGTTGCAGCTACAAAACATCCATCCATCCATCCATCCATTTTCGTCCGCTTATCTGGGGCTGGGTCGCGGGGGGAGCAGCCTAAGCAGGGACTCCCAGACTTCCTTCACCCCAGACACGTCCTCCAGCTCCTCCGGGGGGACCCTGAGGCGTTCCCAGGCCAGCCGAGAGACATAGTCCCTCCAGCGTGTCCTGGGTCTTCCCCGGGGCCTCCTCCCGGCGGGACATGCCCGGAACACCTCCCGAGGGAGGCGCCCAGGAGGCATCCGGAACAGATGCCCGAGCCACCTCAACTGGTTCCTCTCGACGTGGAGGAGCAGCGGCTCTACTCCGAGCTCCTCCCGTGTGACTGAGCTCCTCACCCTATCTCTAAGGGAGCGCCCAGCCACCCTGCGGAGGAAACTCATTTCGAGCGCTTGTATCCGCGATCTCGTCCTTTCGGTCACTACCCAGAGCTCATGACCATAGGTGAGAGTAGGAACGAAGACTGACCGGTAAATCGAGAGCTTCGCCTTTCGACTCAGCTCCCTCTTCACCACAACGGTCCGATACAGCGACCGCATCACTGCCGAAGCTGCACCGATCCGCCTGTCAATCTCACGTTCCGTCCTTCCCTCACTCGTGAACAAGACCCCGAGATACTTGAACTCCTCCACTTGAGGCAAAGACTCCCCACCCACTCGGAGAGGGTAAGCCACCTTTTTCCGGTCGAGAACCATGGCCTCGGACTTGGAAGAGCTGATCTTCATCCCAGCCGCTTCACACTCGGCTGCAAACCGCCCCAGTGCACACTGCAGGTCCTGGCTCGATGAAGCCAACAGAACAACATCGTCCGCAAACAGCAGAGATGAAATCCTGTGGTCCCCGAACCGGACCCCCTCCGGCCCCTGACTGCGCCTAGAAATTCTGTCCATAAATACAATGAACAGAACCGGTGACAAAGGGCAGCCCTGGCGGAGTCCAACATGCACCGGGAACAGGTCTGACTTACTGCCGGCAATGCGAACACAGCTCCTGCTCCGGTCATACAGGGACCGGACAGCCCTTAGCAAAGGGCCCCGGACCCCATACTCCCAGAGCACCCCCCACAGGACACCACGAGGGACACGGTCAAATGCCTTCTCCAGATCCACAAAACACATGTGGACTGGTTGGGCAAACTCCCATGAACCCTCGAGCACCCTATGGAGAGTGTAGAGCTGGTCCAGTGTTCCACGGCCAGGACGAAAACCACACTGCTCCTCCTGAATCCGAGGTTCGACTATCGGCCGGATTCTCCTCTCCAGTACCCTGGCATAGACCTTACCGGGAAGGCTGAGAAGTGTGATCCCCCTATAGTTGGAACACACCCTCCGGTCCCCCTTCTTATACAGAGGGACCACCACCCCGGTTTGCCAGTCCAGAGGTACTGTCCCCGACCGCCACGCGATGTTGAAGAGGCGTGTCAGCCAAGACAGCCCCACAACATCCAGAGACTTCAGGTACTCAGGACGGATCTCATCCAACCCCGGAGCCTTGCCACCAAGGAGCTTGCCAACCACCTCAGTGACTTTGGCCAGGGTGATGGATGAGTCCGCCTCCGAGTCCCCAGCCTCGGCCTCCTCCTCGGAGGACGTGACGGTGGGATTGAGGAGATCCTCAAAGTATTCCTTCCACCACCGGACAACGTCCCCAGTCGAGGTCAGCAGCTCTCCCCCCGCACTGTAAACAGTGTTGGTGAAGAACTGCTTTCCCCTCCTGAGGCGCCGGACGGTTTGCCAGAATCTCTTTGAGGCCGTCCGATAGTCCTTCTCCATGGCCTCCCCGAACTCCTCCCAGCTCCGAGTTTTTGCCTCCGCGACCACACGGGCTGCAGCACACTTGGCCCGCCGGTACCCGTCAGCTGCCTCAGGAGTCCCCCGAGCCAGCAAGGCCCGATAGGACTCCTTCTTCAGCTTGACAGCACCCCTTACTTCCGGTGTCCACCACCGGGTTCTGGGGTTGCCGCCGCGACAGGCACCACAGACCTTACGCCCACAGCTCCGAGCAGCTGCATTGACAATAGAGGCCGAGAATGAAGCCCACTCGGACTCCATATCTCCGGCCTCCCCCGGAATCCGGGAGAAGTCCTCCCGGAGGTGCGAGTTGAAGGTCCCTCTGACAGAGGGCTCCGCCAGACGTTCCCAACAGACCCTCACTACACGCTTGGGCCTGCCAGGTCTTTCCGGCTTCCTCCTCCGCCAGCGAACCCAACTCACAACCAGGTGGTGATCAGTTGACAGCTCAGCCCCTCTCTTCACCCGAGTGTCCAAGACACGCGGCCGAAGATCAGATGACACGACGACAAAGTCGATCATCGACCTCCGGCCTAGGGTGTCCTGGTGCCATGTGCACTTATGGACACCCTTGTGCTCGAACATGGTGTTCGTTATGGACAAACTGTGACTAGCACAGAAGTCCAATAACAAAACACCGCTTGGGTTCAGATCAGGGAGGCCGTTCCTCCCAATCACCCCTCTCCAAGTGTCACTGTCGTTGCCCACGTGGGCGTTGAAGTCCCCCAGGAGAACAACGGAGTCCCCGGTCGGTGCACTGTCTAGTACCCCTCCCAAGGACTCCAAGAAGGCCGGGTACTCTGCACTGCTGTTCGGCCCGTAGGCCGACACCACAGTGAGAGACCTGTCCCCGACCCGAAGGCGCAGGGACGCGACCCTCTCGTTCACCGGGGTGAACTCCAACACACAGCGACTGAGCTGTGGGGCAATGAGCAGGCCCACACCAGCCCGCCGCCGCTCCCCGCAGCCAACGCCAGAGAAATGGAGAGTCCAGCCCCTCTCAAGGAGTTGGGTTCCAGAGCCCAAACTGTGCGTGGAGGTGAGGCCGACTATATCTAGTCGGTAACGCTCAACCTCCCGCACAAGCTCAGGCTCCTTCCCCCCCAGCGAGGTGACATTCCATGTCCCCAGAGCTAGTCTCCATGTCCGGAGATCTGGTCGCCGAGGCCCCCGCCGTCGACTGCTGCCCAGATCTCTCTGCACCGGCCCCATATGGATCCTCCTGCGGGTGGTGGGCCCACGTGAGGACGGCCCCACGTCGCTCCTTCGGGCTGAGCCCGGCCGGGCCCCGTGGGGGGAGGCTCGGCCACCAGGCGCTCGCTGGCGAGCACCCACCCCAGGCCTGGCTCCAGGGTGAGGCCCCGGTGACGCCAATCCGGGCGACGTAACTGGCCTTGTTGGTGTACTCATCATAGGGGCTTCTGAACCATTCTTCGTCTGACCCGTCCCCCCGGACCTGTTTGCCTTGGGTGACCCTACCAGGGGCATGAAGCCCCCGACAACATAGCTCCTGGGATCATTCGGGCACTCAAACCCCTCCACCACGATAAGGTGACGGTTCAAGGAGGAGCTACAAAACACAAAATATTCTATTACTACATCCATTATCATTTAATAGAATGAGTTGTTGCAGCCCTAGTAAAGTTCTGAAAAGTAAATGTTCAATATGAATTTATAAATACATGAAAGCTGCATTCGAATAACATGGTGGTACATTGTTCTTTTTCCTTTAATTAATTTAACTGAACTGCTTAGACCAGTTAAATTAATCACAAATCTTTCAAGGAGATACAACACAACTCTGATTACATGTTGCCTCAATAATTACCTAATTGTAGTGGCCGTTTAACTCCAGAGTTGGCCACTTTAGCTGTGAGGGCTGTGTGGCTTTAGCTTGACTCCTGTGTCTAAGATGAAAACCGAAAGATTCAATGTCCAAACTTACAGACTATTGATTATGAGGTTTAATTGTAGATGCAGATTCCATATCTAAATATTACACAATATTTCCAGTCCACACGGTCAAAAAACTGTATGGCGTCAACCCCTACAGCTTCCACACAAAGAATAATCAGGTCACAAAGGCCACCTGGCTATGAGCCACTAGGCTTCACCCCTAAGACTCCACCCCAAACACTTTGAACCAATGTGGGACAAAAATGGCCGTAACACTCCCGGCCCCTAATTATAATGCAGGAGCACTTATAATTACCAAAACAGAAAATTTTCAATTTGTCTTTACATCTATAAGTTATCAATTTACCAATAACCTTCTTTTCTACTTTCTACTAAATGTTACTCAATTTGCTTTTAGCTATTACATCTAGTTTAATGTAAACTCTATCAATAATATCCCCACAATTACAAGTCATTATTTCAATCAAAATCATTGAAATTATTGTTTCAAAAGATGTTAAATCACTGTCTTTTTACAACTTTTATTACAACATTATATTGACACATTTTTAAAAAGATGTCTATGTTTTCAAGCTTTTAACCATTTGTTTCCCCTGGAGTTGTATTTGGAGTGATTAGTGCATGTTTAAGCAATCATTAATCAGCTATTTTTAAGACGGCATATTGCTGATCAACCCCCATTTTCACCTTTACTGACTTCATTTTTTAAATTGGTGATACGTGTAGGATTCGGCAGCAGCTATATCTATATGTAGGCTATTTGATTTAACCACATAAAAACTCATAAACTGTTGTATTTAAAGATATTACAGCAGCTTATTGTGCAGCTTTTACCCTGGACCCTGAAGGAACAAATGAAAACAAAGGAACAAAGGGACAAAAAAGTTTTTTAATTGTTCTTAGCTTCTCAGAAGTTTTGGGGAAGTTTGCAATACACCCTTTAATTTGTATAGTCAAGACAGGAAATTTAAAAAAGAATTCCTCACAATTTACTCAGAAATTGGCAACATGTTTGGTGAATAATAACATGTTTTTAGTATATTTCTTCCAAATAAAAACATTACTGCTGTAGTCGACATAAGTTCTTGGTTGATTAAAGATATGTTCTGTGCATTGATTTCTTGTCTAAAAGGGGGCATGGCATAGCACTGTCAATACAAAAAAGTATTAGGATCTCTTGCAGCCAAAAATAAATAAATAAATAAAATAAAAATAAAGCAGCATGTACAAATGTGAAAAGACTATTTAAATTGTCTGGTCACTCCTAAAGCTCCTACAACTCCACTCAAACAGTGAGAGATATAGGACTACATTCAGACCGTACATACGCCGTCCAGATAACAGATAAGCTTGTGTTTCTGTCATGTCCTCCTATGACCTCTTGCATAAAGCTGAGATTTTTTATTAGTTATTTTTCTATTTTATTTTGTCCTGTACATATACATTTATGTAATTATTTCTTATTTGACACCTGTCTCTTGCTATCTTTTTTGCTACTTATTTAGAATTTATTATTACCATTTATATTTCTTACTGTTTGTTATTTGTTATTATTTTATATTGTTATGTGTGAGCTACTGTGTCCAAATAATTTCTCTTGTGGATCAATAAAGTTTGTCTAAGTCTAAGTCTAACCTACATGATCAACTTAAGATGACCTGGGATGTATTCCAAAAAGTGTGCAATAAAGTTAATCTACAAAGGAAAGGGTGTAGGCATTTTCAGAAATCATGGTACCAGAAAAGGAACAGGATGGCTCAACTCAGGACTCCGGACATCCCCCTTAATTGTTCTTAATAAGAGCATTTAAAGAATTCAAACGGCCAAAGGTAGAGAACAAGCAATGCGAGTCACTCATGTTTAAACCAGCTACAGAAAAGCACAGCTGCCTCAAATATGCACGAAAATCACTTCTTCATTCTTCTATATGTGTGCACAACTGGTAAGAGCTATTTAGATTTACTAGCATTTGTAGACAATTTATTTTTTCATATTATCTTAGATTTTCTAATTCAGACACTACAGGAAATTCTCAAATGAAGAGCATTGAGTACTTTTTTAATATGGGAACTTATTAGCTAGTTTTGTTTTGTTTGTTTTTTTCTTTAAATTTTCTGTTTAAATATGAGTTATTCTTTGTCTTACTTTTAGTAATATCATGTCTATTAAATAGGAAAAAGGATATTATGTAAAATTGACCATGTGAATGGCATGCCCTCATCATTAGCTCACTCATAGTTGTTTTGATGGGTTGATTCGTGCAGTTATCCTGCCTTGTACCATAATCAAGGCTTGAACTATATCTTTATCTTTATTTCTATTCAATCTTAGAGGATGCTAATATGATGTCTTGAACAGACTGCAGTCATGAAAAGGGATTTTAGTTTAATTCCACAATGCAATCAACAACCCTGCAGCCACCTAAACATTTAGCACTGACTGACTAGCTGTTAAAATGCTGAAATCATTCATCATTACCAGTCTGAGTTCATCTACATGCCTCCTCGATGTGTTTGTAAGTCTGTGCTGAGCACCAATTGCTCACATAGTTAACATGTCGATTCAATCTGGAACATTCCCATGGTACTGGTGCCACGGGGGTCAATCATCATATCATCATTTGTTCAATCTTTATATGCTGCTATTAGTTAATATGCAGCAATGATGCGTCCTTGATGTACTTCTTAAAGCAGCAATGCATCATTTTCTGGTGAGGGGATGTGGGACCCTATCTGCATTAGAGATCTCCATTGAGATAGAAAGTTTTATTTTAATCTATTATTTGGATGAAAACTATAATTGTTCAATCAGAATATACTGAATCTCCTATTAAATTACATTTTGACAGTGAGTATTTCATTGGCCTTTAACATTGACTTGAGAAACCCGGAAGTCTATGATGGAAGTGCAAATGATTTCTTTGGATTCAAAGTGCTACAGGTTGGGTCCAAAAGCAACAAAGGGTAAGTCTTTCCTTCTGTTGTGAAATAATGTTTTCTTTTCAATAATAAGTGATATTTCTTGGATTGGATTATAACTCATAACCACTGTGTGCTGTGGTCCAACGCAAGAAAAACATTATTTAAAAAAAAAAAAAAAAAAAAAAGCTTTTGTACATCGGCCATCTGAGTGTGCTATGCATTTTTTCATTTTTGTCTTGCTGCTCCTTTCATTTGCACCTATACAAGAATTTTGGTGTGCGTTTTCTGTTTCTTTTGATATAGCTCATAACTGACATAATTCTTTCCTCAGTATTAACTGTTGCTCCTCCACAGAATCATAGTGACTGCCCCTCTGTATATGAATGGATCTGGTGCAGTTTACCTCCGCAGGAAAAACACCGCGCCACCCCCATTTACACCAAAAGGTAAAGTTATTTAGTGCTGTCATGCGATTAAAAAAATTGAGAGATGAATTAATTATGATCTGTAATTAATTAATCTAATTAATCTAATTTTAATCTCACCTAAAAATTGCTGAGAAAAGCCTTCAATTTGAGGTATTTTCATTTAAATTCATTATTACATTATTGTGGCAGATCAAAAGACTGATATAGATTAAAAATAGTGACTTTATAAAGTCATTTATTGTTTAACAAATCTCTCCAATTTGGTTGTTGAGCCCAAGTCTCCATGAATAAGAAACTGTTTGCTGTAAAGTAGCAAAGACGAGGAAATCTGAACATAATAACTTTTGTCTACTTAAAGACAATAAAAAGTCCAGTCTTTCCTTAACCATATTAAAAATATTATTGATAGAGAAATGCTTTATATATGAGATCACTGGTTTCAATCCTTGTTTTAGTCCTGGTTTAGACCTGCTTTAATCCTAGTTTAGTCCTGGAATGGATAATCCTGTTTTAGTCCTGGTGTTAGTTCTGGTTTAGTCCTGGTTTAGACCTGGTTTTAGTTCTGGTTTTAGTTCTGGTTTAGTCCTGGTTTAGTCCTGGTTTAGTCCTGGTTTAGACCTGGTTTAGACCTGGTTTTAGTTCTGGTTTTAGTTCTGGTTTAGTCCTGGTTTAGTCGTGGACTGGATAAGTCCTGGTTTTAGTCTTGGTGTTAGTTCTGGTTTAGAGGCTCACAGGAGGAAGCGCGGTTTACGCCGCGTACGCGAGAAAACACGATCCACACGCGGCGCACGGGAGCACGTCTGTGTCCGCGCAGTAACTACGGAAGGAAACGTGGTCCGCGCGTTCTCAGGTTAATGACGATGATGAAGGTGTGTGTTTGTGTTTGTGTGTGTGTGTGTGTGTGTGTGTGTGTTTGTGTGCGTGTCCCCTCATGTGGCAGGTCACTATAGGACAGTAGTGCAGACATCATGAGCCTATGCAGGTTGTTTTCACCAGTGACATTTAAGTTGTAGGCGATTTTATATTTGTTATTTTCTTTTATATTTCACGTCGGGAGAAGAATTTCCAAGACACGAATGCGTTTTTACCTGTGCACTGCTGACTCTGTTCTACTGGCTCTTCGACCTCGTCCTGACGCCGCCAACGTTAACATGACGTTTACATCGCTGTTACTGCGCGCGTTTTGTGTGGGTTTCCGGCAATGAGTAGAATTACCCAAATAAAAAAAAATTATAAATGTGTTTTGTGTGTGTGTGTGTGTGTGTGTGTGTGTGTGTGTGTGTGTGTGTGTGTGTGTGTGTGTGTGTGCTGTTGTCCCAACATCACATAAAAACAGATTTTATAATAAAGCAACTCGCATACAGAAACAGTAAAGTTAGAGATTAAAAATGAGATTAACGCGATTAAAAAACATAACGCGCTAAATATGACTGTAATTAATTAATCGCAATTAACGCGATAATTTGACACCCCTAAAGTTATTACATACAACACTTGTTACTAGTTATTCAAACAATCTGGTAAAAGGTGTCAGGTTTGTACAATGAATGGCTCCCAAACAGACATAGAGTCAGGAAGGGGTTTTAAGCAGATTTAATAAGAACAAGGGAAAGGGGTCAGGTCCAAAAACAGGCATGGTCAAACACAGTAATACTTGTACGCTGATAAGTTGATCTCTCAACACAATTGACATCATTTTTCCAGCAAGAAACTTTCACTGCAGGCTACATGATGGGGTAAGTGGCGCGTCGTGTGTCCTGGCGGCTCTTTCCGTGGAGGATATTAAAGACATTTACCTATTCGGAACCATGATTAAAGGTTTTTTGCTGATTGGATTAGGCATGTTTCGATGTTTCGAAAAATTCAGATTACCAAGGTGGCTGTTCAGTGCCCTACTTGACTGTCCAAACTGAGTGAAATTGGAGGTAAAGCTGCAAACTCTCAAACTGTGACTATAAGCTATTTTATAGAAGGTTCTGCTGCCTCGCACTGCATTTCGGAAAACATCACGTAAAGACTAACAGTCATTGACTGGAGATTGGATGAGACTGTGGTCTTGAATCCCAGTACTGATAACATCTCAGAGAGTTGAAGCTTTACAAAGAGGAATGAGCAGACCTTGAGATCAACAGAGACAATCAGAGTAGTTGTGGAAATTGGAATTGCAGCTGCATGACCCAAACCCAAACAAGTCGAATTTTATTTTATTGGCCTTCCCCAGACAGCACCAGTCTTGGCCAGGGCCGGGTGGAATCAACTCGTCCTGGAGATTAGAGCAGGGAGGTGGCTCTCCTCACTGTCCCCTCCAACACACCTTCACAGCTTTGTACCCCTGGCGTGGAGGTTGGGTCTGTTCAATCCCGTGGTTGCAGGATCCAGATGGCTGCTTGCCTACGTCGATTAACTCCACTCCTGTACATTCCCCGGTTGCAAGTCTAGTCGTAATCTTTGTACTGTGTTTTGAGTATGTACTGATGTCGCGGAGGTGGTTTTTTGTGCACAGGTCCCATATCATGCCCTGATAGGAGCATGGTCTGGGGGCTGTTCTCTTTTTTTAGGAAGGCAAAATGAGCAACAGAAACAAGGTACCTGATAAAAACAAAATAAAAAGGGTAGCAAAACAGAACTTGATGAAACATGACAAAAGTGCACTATGTAATTTGAATACATTAAAACTAAAATCATCATAAAAAGGATTCCCTTTAGAATATTTCTTGAACTTATCTACTCTGTAATCCTTGTTGAAGTGGTTCACCATATTTGCATTTTCAGATGTATTATGTTCTGTTTTTGTCACTTTGTGCTAATAAAAATGTATTTATAACATTTATAAAATACATTTATAACAGAGCTATTATTACAGATTTCATTTACAGATCCATTTAATTTGCTAGAACCTAACATGAAACTAACTTTTTATTTTTTTTGTTCAGCTCTTACTGTTGGAGAGGAGAAGGTACAAGTCAGGCACTTTGGGTTGTCTGTAGGAAAGGACCTCACACAACCTCAGCTAACTGTAAGCACCCATTAAAGGAGCATAGAATAACTGTTCTGATGGAGGGTCCAGCAAGTCCTTTGACTGGGATATTCCACAGTTTTGTATTAAAATTATATCCATCTCCAGAAACAAGCAGATGACTACACAAGTGATAGGTCACAGAGAGGCAAGTCTAGAAATAAAATATCATTAGTAAATGCTACATGGGTAAATGTAATGTCAAACTGTGGAACATTCCAGGTAAAGCAATAACAGTTCCATGGCGAAAAGCAGGTAATAAAAATAATAATACATAACACTTGTATAGCACTTTTCCGACTCTTCACCACAGTTCAGATAGATAGACTCTGGTGATCCTTCACCAGAGTGAGTTACATGTAGTTAAAATATATTTATATTGTTAAATAACAATAATTAAAAAATATATTCTTTCAGGTTTGTAGTCCCAGTGTGGTCATTAGATGTTATGAGAATTTCTACATGAACGGTGTGTGCTACAATCTCACAGAACAACTACAGGAGCAGTCTGTGTTCACTGCAGCTTTTCAAGGTTTTTCTCTTTTCACATAAAAACATTGTCTATATTCTATTAAATCTTAATTATTGTATCTTTATTATCTATCTCATTTAATATGCTTACTTAATCCGCAGAACGAGGTTTATTAATGTAAGATATTTTACTGCTTACCCAAATTACAAAAATATATTTTCAGCTTGCACTAAAAAGACAGTGGACCTTGCTTTTCTGTTTGATGGATCATTAAGTATGACAGCAGAAGAGTTTGAAACAAATAAGGTTTTCATTGAGGATATCATGTCGAACCTTAAAAACACTTCTATAAAGGTAATTATACATAACTAGCCTGGACATACCAAGTTTATTTCAAAAAGAAAAACTCACTGGCCAGGGTCTACAGCATCATGTTTTTTATGTAATCAATTTCCATACTTTTGATTTTTGCTCTTTAGTTTGCAGCAGTGCAGTTTTCATCTACAGTACAGACAGTTTTTACTTTTAATGACTACACAAACGGTACAGCCAGCAGTAAACTCAAGAAAGAACCACAATTAAGAGAGCTCACCAACACGTACAGAGCATTGAATTTTGTTCTGTGAGTTTGAGATCAACTTGAAGTTCTGATGATGATTTATTTACAACAAACCTATTTAGCCTTGTTGCCAACTTTTTTCCCCATTTCAGAACAAACCATTTAAACAATACTTCAAATGGAGGATCTTCTGATGCAACCAAAGTGCTGGTTTTAATCACAGATGGTAATCCAAGTGACTCGGACACAACCCATAAATCTATCATGAAGTATGACTCAATGAACATAATTCGATTTGTCATTGGGGTAAGTGGCAGAACTGTGTGTAACACTTCCTTAACTATGGTACTGCTGCTCCCTTAGAATTATTTAAAACTGTCTGATTATACTAAAATACTAATGCCTCACCTACAAGGGGTCAAACATCTTCTAAGTCCAACATTTTTGGGGAAGACAAATAAAACATCAAAAATAAATTAAAAAAATGTCCGTGGCTGGAGTAATTCTGTCCTTTTTTTTTTTAGGTGAAAGATGTGAATTTGGAAAAATTGAGAGTTATTGCTTCAGAGCCCAAGGACAATAACACATTTCACATTGAAAACTACAGCGGGCTGACAGGCGTGCTGGAAAACGTCCAGAAGAAGATCTTTCAAACTGAAGGTATTTTTAAAATTTCCCTCTGCACATAAAAAACAAACAAACTAGTGAGTCTATGGTTTATGTTTTATTATGATCAGGCACAACAGCAGCTCTGGCCAGAGACTTGAGAGAGGAAATGTCTCAGACTGGACTCAGTGCTGTCTATGGCAAAGTAAGCAGATCATTCAGGTTTATTTTTATGGAGACTCGCAATTAGCACATCACAAAGGTTGCAATTACTAAAGTGACCTGAGTAACCTATCAGTTCATAGTTTAGTCTTAAATCAAATGTTTATGCTCCCATATGTTTAAAGTGCATACTCTTAACAGAATAAGATAAGATAATCCCTTATTGGTTCCCATGGGACAGAGGGTCACATGCTTTAACACAGAAAAAAATATATTACTACAACATAACCCCATACAAACAACATCCACCACTGAACATGAATAAATAAGAGACTAAGAATAACCACAAATGATACAGTATGACTCACACATCACACTATGCAGGCAAGGCCTTCACTCTCTTATATTATATTGTTCTATTGGTAATTGCACATTCCCTTGGCCTATGTACAAGGGAATGTGCAATTAAAACTGCACATTGTTTTTTTTTTTTTTTCTTGATTTAAAAACTGCTAATGTATAATATAAAATGTAAATGTATTGTCAATAACAGTGCTTTTTAGGAAAAAAAGTTTAATTAAGATCATTTCTGTCAACAGGACGCTCTGCTCTTGGGCTCGGTGGGCTCACGGACGTGGAGAGGGTCTCTTCATGAACTCCGAGGGGAAACTGAGACTCAGATTCAGGATTCAGAGCAGGAGGAAGACTCTTACATGGGTATGGGCTCTTTAGACAAGAAGTCAGTTCAGTTATTTGACTAAAACTGCATTATAAGCCAGTGTACTATTGTACTAGCCCTGGATAGACCTTTACCACTACCACTTCATAAACTGTGGTTACACATTCAGCTTATGAAGTGTGAATTTATTTAGTGTTGCAATAAAGAAAGCACATCAGGTGTCAAACAATACAACATTTAAGGAACGAAGGTAAATTTGTGATGAGTTACAGATAGTTACTGTTGTATTTTGTGAGTATTTTTAGAGAAAAGGGATACAAGACTGCCTGTTGAGCCTCTGTCTGTTGTATTACTGTAGGTTACTCTGTGTCAGTGGGGGAAAAAAACAAGACTGCCCTGTATTTCACTGGTGCTCCAAGATACAAGCACATGGGACAAGTTGTGCTTTTTATATCCACAAGTGGCAAGTGGACTCCTGCTCAAAGGATCAGTGGAGAGCAGGTGGGTAGCTATTAAACTGCATGTAGGTGTATATCTTATTTGTGTTCTTCTGTGCACTAGGGATTGACAATATATCTTTGTTAGTACTGATCAATATTTCTTTGATATTCAGCAGTTAGCATAGATACTTTCTTTTTTTTAAAACAAATTAATTTGAAACGGAAATGCAAGGACAATGATTCATTAAAGAGATCAATGTTTATTAACAAAAATACAATGAATTATATTATAGCCCCTTTGTGGGACTTTGTGGGATTTTAAAATATTAGCACAGCATTGGCAAATATTGGTTTGTTCTTTATCGTCCAGTGTACTATAAAAATGTTGAGCATAAATGATGTTAACCCTTTTCAGTATTTCAGCACATTTTCTAACTCGTAGGTGTGTGTGTCTTTATCCGTGTAATAATACTTGAGGAGGTGCACACACTTTGTGGTTACAACACAGAAACCAGAGAGCTTCCTTTTTCTGGCATTTACTTTAGCAGTGAAATGAAATAAGAAAAAATCTCCTCATCACATGTGTACAGAATTAACAGTATATTAATGTCTTTATGTCCAGCATGCCTCGTACTTTGGTGCAGAGTTGTGCTCTGTGGATGTGGACTCTGATGGAAACACTGACTTCCTGTTTGTGGGAGCTCCTCTGTTTTACCAGACGCATCAGGCTGCTGAGGGAAAGATCTACATCTACAGACTGACTGATGAGGTGACAATTATAGTAATGCATTAGCAGGCTAACATTGCTTTGAAATTTCATGCATCATTCATTCACTCTTCATTCTCGAGGTCCAGGCATAGATTGGTGAGGAGGAAGCTGTGTGTGTTTTCTCTCTGTTCAATCATTTACACACCATAGTCGTTCATGGGGAAACTGTGTCAAGTATCTTTCCCAATGGCAAAAATATGCTTTGGACAGTTAGGATTAAATCAGCAAACAATTACAAACAACTGAGATACCCTGACTACATGTCATACATTTTATATGACACTGAATCATGATTTCTTTTGTTTCACAGTTGAAGCTGGTAAAACTATCTGACATCACTGCACATGTCATGGGGCGGTTTGGCACGACTATCGCCAGTGTGGCTGATGTGAACGGGGATGGACTCCGAGACGCTGTTGTCGGGGCCCCACTGGAAAACCAGAACAGAGGAGCAGTGTATCTGTACCTCGGGGACAGGAGCAGTGGCATACGGAGCACACACAGCCAGGTGTGTAAAATACAGGTGTAATAGGTTACTCAAAATGATGCCTTAAAATTTGACAAACCACTGTTTTTGCAGAGGATCCTGGGGGAGAATGTGAATTCTAGACTGCAGTTCTTTGGTCAGTCCATAGATGGTAGCAATGATGTTGGGAATGATGGTCTGCCTGATATTGTTGTTGGTTCTCGTGGATCTGCAGTCGTTTTAAAGTTTGTAAATCCTACTAAGAACACAAAACACCATTTAAACATGTGCTGATTGATATTTTCTTGTTGCAGATCCAAGCCAGTGTTCAACGTTACGACTCGTTTTACATTTGAACCTCATGAAATCAATATTGACCAAATCCAATGTCCTAGCGATAGTGATGACTTTACACCTCTGGTCACTTTAACAATCTGTTTTGAGATGCTTGAGGCAACTAAGAGCTCTGCAGGTACAGCCATTATGCTATACATGCAGTTCAAAGGTACAATGTAACTTTTCTGGTGGAGGGTCACCCCTGACAGTCCGGAATTTTGGACATAGGACCTCACTTCCTAGTGTTGGAATGTTGTAGAGGTGTGGAGACACATTTTATAATATTCCATCCAGTTTCTGTATTTGCAGAGGTTGCTGGTGCTAGGGTTAGTGCATGTCAATGGCCATAGTTAGCCTGCCACTAAAAACAGTCTTACCCACTCCACAAAACACCTAGCGACCTCTGCAAATACAGAAACTGGATGGAATATTTAAAAAAGTGTCTCCACACATCTCCAACACTTTGGCTCACCAGGAAATTAGGTCCTATGTCCAAAATTCTGGACTGTCCCTTTAACGTATCACCATGGAGTCAAGCTAGGCCAGTTTACAGAATTAGAAAAAGCTTTACTGCAGCTGTCAGTAGTTTGCATTTTTACACTACAGCACGAAGGTTACCTGTTCAACTTCTCAGCTTTCCTCAGCTGCCGCAGGTGCTCATTTGAGGTCCTGGGTGATGGTGGTGCAGAAGAAAGAACGGAAAGAGTCCAGTGGTGGTGGGGTTCAGGATGAGGGAGGAGGCAGGGGGCTGTGACTTTCCTGAAGTCCACAATCATTTCCACTGTCTGGGCATTGAGCCCTAGGCTGTTGCTATTGCATCAGGTCACCAGCCAGTCCACCTCGTTCCTCTCGGTAGATTCATCGCTGTTGAAGATAAGCCCAGTAAGCGTGCTGTTGTACGCAAATTTGATCAGTTTTTTGGACTCGTGGCTTAAGGTGCAGCAGTAGGTGTAAAGAGAGAAGAGTGGGGGTACACAGTTGTCTGGGATCTGGGTGTTGGAGAAGGAGGGCGAGGCTTGATCAAGGAATGAAAGGCATTTGCAGAGACTCAGATCTGTATAGGTGACCATGCTAACATGCATAAGAAGGCATGCTTTTCAACTGAAGAATAATATCTCCATGGAGACAAGGTAGCAGACACCCCACCATAAAAGCTACACAGTACACACTGACTATCTTAACCCCTGTGCAGGAGCTGTGAAAACGGGACTGAACATTTCATATTCTCTGGATGTCGACCCAATGAGACAAATGTTTAGAGGTTTTTTTAATTCAACCAAATCAAAAAGGAGAAATCTAACTGAAACTTATGAACTGAGAGATAGAGAAACCTGCTTCAACCACTCTGTTTATAAGCCGGTCAGTAGACATTTATTATATACATTCTTATATTATGCAAAATTGATTGTTGAGTTTTGAGCCATGTTATAATGGTGTTATTTCCTCAACAACTTAAGTTCAGTAGATATTTGCATATCCATGGGCTGAAATTATCAAAATTATTAAGTGTTCTGTTTGAGAGAAAAACTCAACCTAAATATGCAGGGTTTGTGTGTTAAATGTGTGAATGAAACAAAACACAACTCCAAGTATGTTTTTGATATGGAAACAACATTATAACATAGATCAGAAAATACCCTAATATGGGCTCTTTAAACTATAAAACATTGTCCAGACCCAGGCATTAATCATGATTTTGTTTTTCAGAAATGTATAACTGACACATTGTCACCGATCAAAATTAACATGAACTTTTCACAAGTGGAGAGTGAGAAAGCAGATGTCGCCCTCAACACTGACAGTGATAAGGAAGCAACTGTGGAGGTATAAACATGCCCTTGTCTTAATGTTCTTGTGAGAAAGTCTAGCAGGATCTCCAAAGGGTATTATAAACACTGAAAATCATTAAAAAAATGTTGCTGAAATCTATAGTTATGATATTCATGCAGCTATTTTTGTAAATCCAAATTTGAATACTATAACTCAGACTAAACTTGCTTCCAAGATGAATCAAAAATATAAAACCATACCACTTTATTTGTATAGCAGCACATTTGTTGAAGCAAAGCTAAAGAAACAAATAAAATAAATTCTAAAAATATATATTATTATGAGTATTATTACCAGTAAAATTGTATATAAAGCAGGTTTACAAGGTCCACTATGTCTCATTTTGATTGTAATTCCACAGAGTAATCAAATAGCTCATTTATGATGTAACACATTAAACATCATGTTTTTTTTTGTTTGTTTTTTTTTTTTTTTTTTACATGTGTCGATGGCATTAAATTCATTTGCATTAAAACACATCATATTTGGCCTGCTGATATTGTCATAAACTCTGTCTGAATGTTTTTTAAAATAATTCTTTGCTTTAACAGGTTCCCTTTGAAAACAGATGTCACAATGACACCTGCAGAGCTGAAATTGAAGTGGATTTTGACTTCATGTACATAATTATGACAATTTGCATTGAATATTCAGTTCAATTGAATGAACTGAATTTAGCAAATGTAAATCCTAAATCCTATTCCTTCTCCAATTTCAGGACTCCATCTTTACTGGTGGCAGATCATAACTACTTCAATATGAGCGTGACTTTGTTCAATCGCGGTGAAGACTCCTACAACACCAGTCTCACTATACACCACCCTCCAGGACTGTCCTTCTCCAAGATGACTCTGGCTCTGGTGAATGTTTTGAGCCCGTAGACTTTATTAGAGTGGTGAAGAGTGGGAGACATTTTGGAAATTGTTGACGATATTTACTTTACAACTATTTACTATTTATTTATTTTACATTTATAAAATATAATACCATCTGAGAAAGGAACACCCACACATCCTACTCTATATTATGAGTGTATCATACATATCCAGGTTTTGGTCCTGGTTTTAGTTCTGATGTTCTGATCCTATCTAGTCCATTTTAATCCTGGACAAGTCCAGATCAGGTTACTGTTCACTAATCTAAACCACAGTTTTGCATTAGCTGTAGGTATATTTGGTCAGTTATATTTAAAGCTGTTTAAATGGATTTCCTTAAAATTGCGATGTATAATTTTTTACCAGTATTTTTTATTTCTTTTGAAAGGATTCAAAGTCAAGAACACTTTACAGTTGTCATGACTATGAAGATAGAACAGTGTGTGGTGTCAGTCTTCCTGTTTATCGCAGTCAATCACAGGTGAAAAAAAACAGTAGTTTCAAAATGAGCTATAAATTCTGACTCAAAATAATGTGTACTTTTTCTGTTAAGGCCAAGTTCATGACTGTTTTCCATGTAATAAGAGACTATGAGTGGAAGGAGTCCTTAACAGTGAATATCACAGGACACAGGTACGAACATCAGTTTTATTTAGAAAATGTTATTTTAACTGCTAATAAAAACCCACAGTGATAATCAAAACTCAAGTAAAGGCTCTCTGATCAAAGTCATCCCAGTTCAGTTTGAAATTAAAATGGTACTTTTGGAGTAAGTATAATATTATTATCATCTCATATTTTACCATTACTTCAACTTTATCTAATTAGTACTACGTATATGTTTTAGAGGAGAAGACAGCATTACCTATATGAATTTTACCACTGATGATCCTGCCCCAAAAAGACTGCTTACTAAATATACAGTAAGAAATGTATTAATTGCCTATGTTTATACATTTCATACATTATTAGTGGTATAACTGTTTTTAGTAAATGCCAAACATGTTCTGCAGTAGACTGTAAAAGATATCTTGAATTTCAATGTGCAAAGTTGCCAATAGATGGCACAAAAATGCTTTTGAATTTTCATGTGCACCTGTGTACTCAGATCACTAAATGTCATTAGAAAAGTACATTGTCAGCGAATACTGATGTGATTTGACTTGTTATAGGTAGATAATTACGGGGAGAGGTATTTTCCTGTGAATGTGACCCTTGTTTTCCCCACAAAACTTAAGCACAATCTTGAAATGAGCAACTATCAAGTCCTACTTGAGCAGGTAAACTCATCAACTGTCTAAATTAATATGTATTAGTATTAATAAATATAGTATATATATGTGCTTGTGTGTGTGTACACATGTAAAATGAATAAAATGTACATATAAAATAGTTACTAAGCCTAAATCATATTTAATAATATTATAAATTAAGTATTTTATTATACACGCAATTTAAAGTATAGTTATTATACTGTAACAGATTTTTTTTTTCTTTTTCAAGAATACAACCCAATGCAGAGAAAGTGACACTGAATCCTCTTCATCTGGAAATAATGTTACCGTAAGATGATTCTTATTTTAATTGTAACCTTTAATTTTAATGTGATATTGATATTATTAACATTATCTGAACAGTACTGCACCCCAGAGCGAGAATGCAAATACATAGTTTGTGAACCTTTTCTATTGACCAATGAATCTGTGGAGTTTGAATTGTCTGGAGAAGTGCAGTTTAAAGACTTCACTCAAGATGTAAAGAACCACAAGTATTTTATTTTTTGTTGAACTAATAAATAATAGTAATAGTTGTAATAACAGCAGTAAATGTCCGTTTTGTGCAGAATGTACCTTTCCTGAAGCGATACACTGGTGATGGTGACCGGATTGTGTTTGAAAGTTTTCTATTTGTTGCTTATGACAAAAAGAAGTATTCACTTGACTCTTACAATCAAAAGGTGTGTTACAAGAGGACAGTTTATTCATTTAAACTATGTGACTACATATTACATGTGAAAATTATTTATTTTTTGACAGATAAAAAGGGAGGGTCCAGATGACAACAGCTTCTGGGAGGACTTTGATCCATCAATGAAATCGGTACATTCATTTAGTGACCGTTAGAGCCAAAAGTGTGTTGTTGGTAATACAAATTTTTCTTGTATTTTCTGGCAATGGAATAACCATGGGAGAAAAGTTAAATAGTGTACCTTTTAAGGACTCATTACATTATTTTCTAATCGATGTTATAATGTTGTTTCCTCTTCAAAAACATACTTGAGTTGTGTTTTGTTTCATTCATACATGTTTAATACTCAAACCCTGCATATTTAGGCTTAGTTTTTCTGTCATATGGAAAACACTCCACTGTGTTTCTACACTCCATACACCTTCACTAGAGTAATTTGGATGATTTAAATCATAGAATTGCCAATATACTGATCTAAAGATAAAAGGTAGCTGTTATTTAAATTGAAAACACAAAATGGAAGGGTTATACAAACATGTATGAATGAAACAAAACACAACTCCCGTTATGTTTTGATGAGGTAACAACAATATGACGTGGCTTGAAGCTCATAAGAATACATTTTTGGTAATATGCAACCTTTACGTTAAACTACAGGAAATTCTACTACAGTAGCCAGAATACCAAAGAGTATAAAAGTGCATATGACAAGTTAGTACTCATTTCACCAAAGTTAACAACATTTATAAGTTTGGAGTGATATTAAACTATAATAAATAGGCTCTATTCTCTGATTAGAAAACACAAACAAGTATACAAAACTGTCATACGCATAAAAAACATGACTATGTAAAAATTCAGTTTTTTTCTCCACCAGAGTGAGGTCCTCATTGAGCTGATTGTTTTGCCTGACAAAATGCTCATTATTATGACTGGAGCTGGAGGGGGGCTGTTTCTGGTAATTCTCATCACAGTCATCATAGTTAAGGTAGTTTGTTTAAAAAATGTAAATCCTTTATTTAAATGTTAGTTAATGGATTCCACAAATAAACGTCTTGTCAACAGACATGTTCAACTTCGAGAACTGAAGGCCAGTATTCACTTGACACAGCAAGAGACAAGATGGAGCCGCATATCATCGCAGAGACTTCGAAGTTCACTCTTTGTGATGGACTTGTCTCCCTGGAATCTAAAGATGATGAACTTGACTTGATTGATCTAGGGGACCAATCAAGAAGGAACAATCTAATTTTTGAGGGGATCTGTGAACTTACTCCAGAGAGATTGGAGGACACTGCAATCCTAATTCAGCACATCATATCTGATAAATTGAAAATTGATTCAACAGCTATTAATATAGAAAGAGCTCACAGAGTGGAAAAAATAGACAATAGTGAAAATTGTCCAAGATCTATTATAGTGACGTTCTCAAATAATAAAGATAGGGAGCTGGTTTGGAAGAGTAGAAAAATGTTGAGGAAGACAGCACTAGAAGTTTCTATACATGAGGATGTCTCAGAGGTGGTTAGGCAGAAGAAGAAGAAGGGAGCTCCTAATTAATGTAATACATTTTGAATAATTTTACACTTAATTATAAGCCACTAAACATTATGTTCAAAATACACAAAAACTGTAATTTTCTGCTGATAGTAACAGTACTCTTTATTCTTCTTGAATATTTTGTGGAGACAGGTTTGTGGAGATACAAGCACAGTAAGGAGTCACATTTTTCAGTGCAATAAAAACATTTTAACTGAAAAACATGCTTTTATTTCAGTCTATTTTTTGGTTAAAAATGTACACTTGTGGGTCTTAAATGTCATATGTCTTTTTGGATGGCTATGCTAATCACTTACGAGAAGTTGTGTATAACCACCTCTTCTTCCCTTTATATTTGTCACTTACTTTGTTCTGTTTCCAATTTAAATGCACCAAAGTAAATCTGTATTTTATTTTTGTTTTATTTGATATTTGAAAGTAAAGTAAAGTCATCTTTAATGTAAGAGCACTTTGCATTAATAGCTACTCATTAACAAACATTTCAACATTTCAACACTACATTTGAAGACTGAGAACAAGAACTATGAACAAAAATAATCTCACATGTTTTAAAAGTCCTATATTACACAAAATTTACTCTTGTGAGCTTTAGTCATGTTATAATGTTTTCATCTCATCAGAAACAAACCTGGAGTTGTGTTTTATTTCATTCACATTTGTTTGAGTAAATCTTTATTATTAGTTTGTTTCAATTTCAAAGCTCAAAATGCTATTATGCTCCACCTTGTGATGTCACAAAGTGGTAGTTTTCAAGTTAATAGTTACTGTATATCTATTTCATTTTTTGATCTCCATAAAGGTCAGTACTTTCAGGGCTAAAATTATCCATTTGTGTGAAGGTGTATAGAGTTTAATATAAATATAATATAAATAATATAAATAAACACAGTGGTGCATGTCCTGTATCACCACATGACATTACAAGGTAGAACAGAGTGTTTTTATCTTTTAGTTTGTGTGTGTAAATGACACAAAACTGCAGGTATGTTTTTGATGACGAAACATTGTTATGGCCTCAAGCCTGCAGTTCTTTGAGTTGTATTTTAATTCCTTTCCTGTCCCCGTGACTTCCTGCTGTGGGAGCCCTGTTCCATGACTGGTGGAGTAGTTCTACACCTGGCCAATGCTGCCTCACCTCCTGCCTCCTCGCCCTTATTGAAGGAGATTGCAAGCACCTGTTCGGGGCTGCAGGCCTTGGTGGCGAGTCTGCCATTTGGTGTTTGTGTGTGTGTCTAGTTCTGTAGTTTAGTTCTGTTTTGTGCCTTTTTAAAATTTGGTCACTAGATTCTGTTTGTGGACTTAGGTGGTTTAAGTTTGTGTAAGCAGGTGTGACCCATTTTGTGCACAGAACTCATTTTCTGTTAATTCTGTTGTTTTGTTTCTTAGTTTAGGTTATTTTCTGTATATATTTGAGTATGTTTTGTTAATTTACCTGTACAACCCTTGTTTTTTTGTTACTTCCCGAGCTTTTTGTTACTTGCGCGAGCTGCATCGAAACAACATACATTATAACATAGATCAAAAAGTAGTTTAGCTCAATATGGGCTTTTTAAGTGTATTTGAAAACATTACAGCAGCTTATTGTGCAACGTTTAGCTTCTCTGAGATTTGAGGGAAGTGTGAACTGCCCTCTGTACAGTCATATATACAGACATTAGGAAACATTTACAGTGAACTCAAAATTGCAACTATGCTCTTTGTTTAAGTAGGCCTAGACCAATCTATGACATATGGCCTACTAAACATATTTTAGTAGGCTACTTTTCTACAAAATGAAAAAAAATCTTACTGTTTTGATTAAAAGTAAAATATGCAACACAGTGTTTAAAGTACTCACGTTACTACACTATTAGGCCTAACTTCCTTTGTGGATCAACACAGTTTGTCCAAGTTAATATTAAATAATGAATTAGATCTAAACCTATAATGTAATGGAAACATGTGTAACCATTGCATTAGGCCTACACTTTTGTTAAGCTGATGCTGTTTATATATATATATATATATATATATATATATATATATATATATATATATATATATATATATATATATATACATTCATTAGATATGAATTTTACTTATTGAATTATATTAAATAGCTTGTAGCACATTGTGATCCACTATTTTAGATTAGCCAACTAGGCCTATATAATGCTGAAAATCACCAATAGGCTACTTGATCAGCCAAACTCTGCCGTCTGCTCTAACAGGAGCTGAATGTTAGACAAATTCAACAAACAGCTTAAGATGATCTGGTTCGTACCCTGGAAAGTATACGGTAAACATTTCTGTGGAGACGAGGAGTGGCACGTTGTCAAAACCACATGTCAGAAAAGGAAGCGCGAGAAAGCGACTTGGGTCATCCTCCCAGAAAGAGGAAGCTGGCGACGTGTTTTCAGTGAGAGCATCTTATGAGAAAATGTCACACCACCTGTAATAAAAACGCCCAAGAACACAGGAAACGCGAGCCACACGATAAAAGCGGGTACAGATGAGGACAGCTGGCTCCAATATGCATCAAAAACGCAAAATCCTCCTTCTTCTATACATGTGTGCAACAGGTAAGAATATTTATGTACTAGTATTTATAGACAGTTCAGTAGCAGATTTAGGAAAAATGTATAATTGAGAATTTTCTGACAAGCATTGCGATTGCGATTAGATTAGAGATTTGTTTTATTAATATCAGTCTGTTCAGAGTTCACATTTAAAACATGTCCAGGAGAATTTACAGAAAAGGTGATATGAAGTGATAAACTTCGTGTTTCAAAACGTGTTGGTACAGATGTAGCTACAGGGTTAGCAGTTTTTAGTTTGTGGAGGAAATTAGGAGGCCTACTTAAAAATAAATAAATAAATACATAAAATAAAATAAAATTCATATTGCATTTTTGATTCGATTGCGATTAATTGCAGCTTATCTCTTGTAGCTTTTGATAGCTTTCTGATCTTCTAATTCAGACAGTACAGGAAATGAAATGCTCACTTGTCTGATACTAACATGAAACCACAAAAAAGTGTTTGCAAAATGGCAACCTGCTTCTATGCACCACCTATGGTTGCTACTTTGATGAAATCTGTGTTATGTGTCAAATAATAAATATTTTGTCACTATTACTATATCACAAAAAAGATCTAAAAACCTAATTTGACATAAAATTCACAGTGTTAACAAATGACAAAGAAAGGCAATAATGTGACCAATGAAAAAAAAGGAAATAATTATCTTGTATTATAAGTATTTCTCCTTTCTGTTTAAGTACATCTAATTTGTCTGAGGGCTATTTTTTGTCAACCGCATGTCTGATATTAAAATGCTGTGTCAGTAGATGAGCCTATGATGAAAAGTTGCTGAACCTTCAAGTGCATGTCACTGTTTCCTTTCAAAACATTGACTGCTGCAATACTATAAAAGCATAGCATACCAAACTTTCTCTTGAAGAAGCAGATTCAGTCAAACTAAGTTTGTTGCGTTGTTTGTTCAACCCCAATATAAATGTGACCAATAAATTTCATTCTAGCAGTCTCCTTGGCCTTTAACATTGATTTGAGGGACCCTGAAGTTTACAATGGAAGTGCAAATGATTTCTTTGGATTCAAAGTGCTACAAGTTGGGTCCAAGAGCAGCAAAGGGTGAGCATCCTTTATTCCTTTTGCAAAATAATACTTTTTATTTTTTTCAGTAATATGTGACATTTCTATGATCAAACTATGTATAGCAGAATTGTTGTTTCCTCTGCATTCCCTTTTAAATGTTACTCCTCCACAGAATCATAGTAACTGCTCCTCTGTATAAGAATGGATCTGGTGGAGTTTATCTCCAAAAGCAAAACCGCATCCCTCTTCAGTTCACAGCAAAAGGTAACCAGTTGTCCTATTGAAATATAGTGCTTAAAGAAGCACTATTTATCTTTTCTTATTAGGGTCAGTCATCTGCTTGTTTCCATGGACATGTTATTTGCTTTGCATGAAATGTTTCACAATATGGCATTAAACTGTGTTGCATTTCATTAATTACAAGTTTTTTTCATTACTGTGACCAAGTGCTTTGTGTTTAACGCAGCTCCATGTTCAAACACACATATACCATTTACTTTTCTCCCCACTCCTCTTCATGTTTTATGTGAGTGATTTGCTGAAACTTGAGTGAGTCGATTTAACCAGTGACATGTGAACTTTCAAAAGAAGCTCACAGTTCATTGCTTCATAAACATATTGAAACAAAATTGTACAAGATTTCGTGATAACAGTACGATCTAACTTCAGTATCGTTAAAGGTACACGTTTGTTTTACTTTGCCTGAAATGTGCCACAGTATGGCATTCAACTTTTCCTGCATTTATTCAAGTACAAGTATACTTGCAACTAGAGCCGACCGATATATCGGCTGGCCGATATTATCGGTCGATATGAGCACCTGGAGGCATATCGGCTATCGGCCGATGTGCTTGCTGATAGGGGCCGATATTTCACTGCGGCATGTTATACCTCGTTAGAAATCTTAGACTCTCTACATTATGTTCATTTAATCCAATTTACAGACAGATAAATGACTGCGGAGTCATTTGTCAGTGTGTGTGTGTCCGTACTGTCCCTGAACACACCCCCAGAGTCACGTGTGTTTGTTTACACCCGCAGACAGATCCATGCGTGCAACACTGAGATTATATTCTTTTTACGGACAATCGTTTGAGTCTGGATTAAAAGGACTTTTATTAGTGCAGACTTGTGATGTGAGGAGGAGAGTGTGTGAGCGGTGAGTGTTGATAATATGTCGACTTCGAAGCTAGCTGATTAGTTAGCGATTAGCTGCTGTAGCTCTCACACATAAACAGGCTGTTTTCTATTGGCCTATTGTAAAGTGACTATATTGGCCGTATATTTGTTACTGGATCTGTATTGATATGTAAATGAGCTGTGAATAGACGTGTGAATGATGAAATTTGCGCATATAATTAATTACTGCGGCACGCAGCATTTACGGCTAAAGACTAATAGCGATTGTTTATTTACTCGCTAGTAGTGATGCGAACGGAGCGGCTCTTAGAGCCGGCTCTTTGAAGCGAACGACGGGATCCTGATCCTTATTGGGATTGGGAGTCCTGTTTTCTCTTTCTCTCACTTTTTTTCTCTTCACGTGGCGGGCAGACTCTTGGCAGTTTGACAGCGGCGGCGGCTAAAAACTAAACTTTCAAAAATATGCGTGTGCATAGGGTAAAAAAAAACGTGCATAAATATATTCAGCATAAAATAAATAAACCAGGACTAATCTTGGGGTCGAGAGAGGGCGAGAGATAGAGATCGAGTCCCGACACTCAGTCCTGGTTAAGTTCTGGTTTAGTCCTGTTTTACACATAGTTTAGATCTGTTTTAGTCCTTTTTCAGTCCTAGTTTAGTCCTGGTTCAGTTCTGGTTTAGTCCTGCTTTAGACCTGCTTTAGTCCTATGACATATCATGTAAAGAGGCAGAATAACAATAAATGTTGCCTATATAGACCCAGTTTAAAATCCACCAGAGCCAGACATAAGTTTTTATTTTTTTAAATAATTCAAGATTTACAGTTAATTTTTACATCACTAAATATATCGGTGATTATATCGGCAGTGCCAACTCCCATTATATCAGTATCATATCGGCCACAACAAAATCCATATCAGTCGGGCTCTACTTGCAACTTGACCTGGTTCTGTCATGTACTTCTATCCATGGAGATGGATATGTTTCATGTCATACTATGGACCATTCCAGCAAAAGCAATAACATTTATTATTATTTTATCATGAATAGCACTCATTTCCGTGGAGAGATGCAGTTGGCAGCCCCCCATACCAAGTTACATAGTGAAGCTTTAATTTGTCCAGATCTATAAACCAGTTTTCATATGACTCCCATAGGCCCACAATACAACAGTATCTGCATTTTCATAATCTTTTCAGACCTTTAGTTCATATCATATCAATTCTAACTAGGCAGTTGTTGCATTTTTTATTTGTTTATTGATGTTTACTTGGCCTTTGAATTTATTCAAATACATAATTAACTGATTATTTATTGATATTTTGTTCTAGCTGTCACTGTCAGAGAGGAAGAAATCCCTGTTAAGCACTTAGGGTTGTCAGTAGCAAAGGATCTTATACAAAATCAACTAACTGTAAGTCCTCAGTAATTAAAATATATACAGATTTTTTTTATTACTTTAAATAATTATATAAACTAATCTTTCAGGTTTGCAGTCCCAATATTGTTACTAGGTGTAATGAAAACTCCTACATGAATAGTGTGTGCTACAATCTGACTGAACAACTACTGGAACAGTCAGTCTTTAAACCTGCTTTTCAAGGTGAGAATTCAAATTCAAATTACAGTAAAGCATTGCCAATATTATGATATTGTAATTAGTATTAGAGGTTTATTAATGTAAGATAATTTTCGTTTGATGTCAATCCAAATCCAAAAATATATTTTCAGCTTGCACCAAAAAGACAGTGGACCTTGCTTTTCTGTTTGATGGATCATTAAGTATGACAGCAGAAGAGTTTGAAACAAATAAGGTTTTCATTGAGGATATCATGTCGAACCTTAAAAACACTTCTATAAAGGTAATTATACATAACTAGCCTGGACATACCAAGTTTATTTCAAGAAGAAAGACTCACTGGCCAGGGTCTACAGCATCATGATTTTTATTTAATCAATTTCCATACTTTTGATTTTTGCTCTTTAGTTTGCAGCAGTGCAGTTTTCATCTACAGTACAGACAGTTTTTACTTTTAATGACTACACAAACGGTACAGCCAGCAGTAAACTCAAGAAAGAACCACAATTAAGAGAGCTCACCAACACGTACAGAGCATTGAATTTTGTTCTGTGAGTTTGAGATCAACTTGAAGTTCTGATGATGATTTATTTACAACAAACCTATTTAGCCTTGTTGCCAACTTTTTTCCCCATTTCAGAACAAACCATTTAAACAATACTTCAAATGGAGGATCTTCTGATGCAACCAAAGTGCTGGTTTTAATCACAGATGGTAATCCAAGTGACTCGGACACAATCCATAAATCTATCATGAAGTATGACTCAATGAACATAATTCGATTTGTCATTGGGGTAAGTGGCAGAACTGTGTGTAACACTTCCTTAACTATGGTACTGCTGCTCCCTTAGAATTATTTAAAACTGTCTGATTATACTAAAATACTAATGCCTCACCTACAAGGGGTCAAACATCTTCTAAGTCCAACATTTTTGGGGAAGACAAATAAAACATCAAAAATAAATTTAAAAAATGTCCGTGGCTGGAGTAATTCTGTCCTTTTTTTTTTTTAGGTGAAAGATGTGAATTTGGAAAAATTGAGAGTTATTGCTTCAGAGCCCAAGGACAATAACACATTTCACATTGAAAACTACAGCGGGCTGACAGGCGTGCTGGAAAACTTCCAGAAGAAGATCTTTCAAACTGAAGGTATTTTTAAAATTTCCCTCTGCACATAAAAAACAAACAAACTAGTGAGTCTATGGTTTGTTTTATTATGATCAGGCACAACAGCAGCTCTGGCCGGAGACTTGAGAGAGGAAATGTCTCAGACTGGACTCAGTGCTGTCTATGGCAAAGTAAGCAGATCATTCAGGTTTATTTTTATGGAGACTCGCAATTAGCACATCACAAAGGTTGCAATTACTAAAGTGACCTGAGTAACCTATCAGTTCATAGTTTAGTCTTAAATCAAATGTTTATGCTCCCATATGTTTAAAGTGCATACTCTTAACAGAATAAGATAAGATAATCCCTTATTGGTTCCCATGGGACAGAGGGTCACATGCTTTAACACAGAAAAAAAGATATTACTACAACATAACCCCATACAAACAACATCCACCACTGAACATGAATAAATAAGAGACTAAGAATAACCACAAATGATACAGTATGACTCACACATCACACTGTGCAGGCAAGGCCTTCACTCTCTTATATTATATTGACCTATGTACAAGGGAATGTGTAATTAAAACTGCACATAGGGTTTTTAATCTTAATTTAAAAACTGCTAATGTATAATGAAAAATATAAATGTATTGTCAATAACAGTGCTTTTTAGGAAAAAAAGTTTAATTAAGATAATTTCTCTGTCAACAGGACGCTCTGCTCTTGGGCTCGGTGGGCTCACGGACATGGAGAGGGTCTCTTCATGAACTCCGAGGGGAAACTGAGACTCAGATTCAGGATTCAGAGCAGGAGGAAGACTCTTACATGGGTATGGGCTCCTTAGAGAAGAAGACAGTTCAGTTATTTGACTAAAACTGCATTATAAGTCAGTGTACTATTGTACTAGCCCTGGATATACCATTACCACTACCACTTCATTAACTGCGGCTGCACTTTCAGCATATGAAGTGTGAATTTATTTAGTGTTGCAATAAAGAAAGCACATCAGGTGTACAACAATATAACATTTAAGGAACTAAGGTAAATTTGTGATGAGTTACAGATAGTTACTGTTGTATTTTGTGAGTATTTTTAGAGAAAAGGGATACAAGACTGCCTGTTGAGCCTCTGTCTGTTGTATTACTGTAGGTTACTCTGTGTCAGTGGGGGAAAAAAACAAGACTGCCCTGTATTTCACTGGTGCTCCAAGATACAAGCACATGGGACAAGTTGTGCTTTTTATATCCACAAGTGGCAAGTGGACTCCTGCTCAAAGGATCAGCGGAGAGCAGGTGGGTAGCTATTAAACTGCATGTAGGTGTATAGCTTATTTGTGTTCTTCTGTGCACTAGGGATTGACAATATATCTTTGTTAGTATTGATCAATATTTGATCAATATTTAAAAAACAAAAAACAAAAAAAAACATTCAGACTAAAATGAAAATGCAAGGGCAATGATTAGTTAAAGAGATCAATTACAAAAATACAATGAATTATATTATAGCCCCTTTGTGGGTTTTACTACAAATTTTAACATCTTAGCACAACATTGGCAAATATTAGTTATTGGCTATATCGTCCAGTGCACTATAAAAATCTTGCGCATAAATTATGTGAAACTTTTTCAGTATTTCAGCAGACTTTTTACTCGTGGGTGTGCGTGTCTTTACCCTTGTAATAATTACTTGAGGAGGCGTATATACACTTTCTGTGGTTACAATAGAGAAACCGGCTTCCTTTTCTTGGCATTTACTTTAGCAGTGAAATCTAGATATTGCTAACACTGATATTAGTCAATATTTCCATGATCTTGGGCAATTAGTATGTATTTGTTTATTTGTTTATTTTTTAGGATCCCCATTAGCTGTACCAGAGGGTCAGCCAGTCTTCCTTCTCTTTAAAATCACTGAAAACTAAAAATAAATAAATCTTAAATATGCAGTGGCCATTTCATCCTTACATAATTAGATAATTTTTATGTAATTATCCAATCTAAAATTCAAGTAAAATTAATAGGTATTTCACATCCATAATTATCTAAAGAAGACATGCAAGAGATATGTAGAGGAGAGCACAGCAAATTTCATTTATACCAATTTAAATTTCATGTCTAAACATTTACCAAATACAATTTACGCAGATGCATTTTGGTTTGTTTCTTAAAAGCTGAAACTTGTTTGATCATGGCTATAGTTATGGGCAGATTGTTCCAAGCTCTTAAGATGAGAAACCAACCTGAAGTTACCCGTCTGAGTCTGAATTCTGTATTAGTTGGTCGTACATGAATTTAGGGTTCCCTTTAGTGTAAGTTTGCTGTCTTTCACGTTCAGTAGGTCTGAATTTGCTCAAATACTGCATTCTGCCTCCACTGAAAGATGCCTTCTTGGCAATGGTAAAACCTTAGCTTCTTTCCAGTACTGAGAAAATATTGATTTCTTGATGCCGTTGTTTAAAATACGACTATGAATATATTTTGCAGAAAGTTGTGTCAGTTTATCATCCATGCTGGGCTGGATGTTTCTTAATCCTCTTTTCTCAGCAATCTTTGCATGCTGTAATGGAGTTGAATAGTCTTGTTTCCTTTTCTTTTAGCTTGATAAAATAGCATCTCACAATCTTTCATGTAACCACTATTTTGATCTGCCTTTTTACTTCATTTCTTTCCTTCATATATGTCTTCAGTTCATTATCAATCCAAGGAGCTCTATTAATCCTAGCTGTCCATTTTTGATAGGTGCGTGCAGGCTGAAATGTATTTAAAAACATTTCCAGTGCAACGTCCAGATCCTCCTCATGTAACACATCACCACAGTTTAATTTCTGAATGTCACTGATAAAGGCTTAATTTGAGAAAAGTTTATAGCATCTTCTGTGTATAATTCTAGGGTGTGCTTTGGTGCATTCACTTTTTACCAATGGCTCAATGTTGTGGTCACTGCATTCTGTGGGTATAGGCCGCTTTGGTGTATAGATTAGGTTCAGATACAACTATGATCAATGCAGGTTGACATGTCCGTGTGTCCAATCTGGAAGGGTTTTTGTCTTGTTTCAACTTATATATATATAGGTAATTGTAGTGAACTTTCCTTTAAGAGGGCATTTTTACTGATATTAAGATACCTATCTACAAACACTGTTTACAGCTTAGTTTCACATACTTTGTCATGATACCAATATTGTTTAAGTAGGCATAGCTTGAATTTGAGGGCCTGTAACAGCATTTCACTAAGAAAGTTTTATGTGAGAGAACTTTTATTTCTTTACACACCAGGTCTGGTCTTAACTTCACTGAGATATTGTTTTGGACAGCTACACCTCCCACTTATTTATTATTTAAATTTAGACTCATGAGTTAAATTGATTAATCTAAGAGAAATGAAGAAAATGAAGAAAAGATGAAGTGATTGCTGTTTATCACGAAAAATACAATGAATTATACTAACCCCCTTTCTAAGCCATACTACCTTTTTAAAAATAAATATTGGCTATACCTACAATGCACCATAAAGTTTCCTACTGCTGTCTTTCTTGTTGTAATAATGTCTTAAGAGGAGGCACACCACTTTCTGTGGTTACAGCACGGAAACCAGAGAGCTTCCTTTTACTGGCATCTACTTTGGCATGAAATAAGAAATGAAACAAATAAATGAAATAAGAAATCTCCTTCCCACAGTTAAACAATATGTACAATATATGTGTGTGTCTTTATGTCCAGCATGGCTCGTACTTTGGTGCAGAGGTGTGCTCCGTGGATGTGGACTCTGATGGAAACACTGACTTCCTGTTTGTGGGAGCTCCTCTGTTTTACCAGACGCATCAGGCTGCTGAGGGCAAGATCTACATCTACAGACTGACTGATGAGGTGACAGTTACAGTATAGTACTCATTAGGGCTGCTGATATGATGATAAAAATCTATCCCTGTGACGGTCTTCTGTTTTTGTGATTTTATCACATCATGATTATGTGATCCTCTTTTTAATGCTGTTTTAACATGGTATTAAATGTTTCATGTACTTTCCCAGCTCATTAACATAGACACTTTCTCCAACCCACTCCTCCTACTGGCCAGACTCTGCCATGCTCTGAGTGAGTGGCAGGGGAATTTATCCAGTGACAAAAAGTTGTTTTAAAATTTCATGCATTATTATTCATTCTTAACATTTTATGGCCATGGATTGATTGAAGGGAAGCTGTGACTGTAGCCCCTTTGATCACCACCAATCAGTTTTACACCCTATTCATAGGAATGGTCAGGTATGTCAAGTGTCTTGTCCAATGACACAACATCAGTATACTTTAGCCATAGTTGGGATCAAAACATCAACCTTCAGATTGGTAGGCAAACACTTGAGCCACAGACACAAAGCTGCCCTAACAACATAGTTACATTTATGATTTTTGTTTCACAGTTGAAGCTGGTAAAACTATCTGACATCACTGCACATGTCATGGGGCGGTTTGGCACGACTATCGCCAGTGTGGCTGATGTGAACGGGGATGGACTCCGAGACGCTGCTGTCGGGGCCCCACTGGAAAACCAGAACAGAGGAGCAGTGTATCTGTACCTCGGGGACAGGAGCAGTGGCATACGGAGCACACACAGCCAGGTATGTAAAATACAGGTGTAATAGGTTACTCAAAATGATGCCTAAAATTTGACAAACCACTGTTTTTGCAGAGGATCCTGGGGGAGAATGTGAATTCTAGACTGCAGTTCTTTGGTCAGTCCATAGATGGCAGCAATGATGTTGGGAATGATGGTCTGCCTGATATTGTTGTTGGTTCTCGTGGATCTGCAGTCGTTTTAAAGTTTGTAAATCCTACTAAGAACACAAAACACCATTTAAACATGTGCTGATTGATATTTTCTTGTTGCAGATCCAAGCCAGTGTTCAACGTTACGACTCGTTTTACATTTGAACCTCATGAAATCAATATTGATAAAATCAAATGCCCAAGTAAAAGTGATGACTTTATACCTCTGGTCACTTTGACAATCTGCTTTGAAATGGTCGAGGCAACAAAGAGCTCTGCAGGTGCAACAATCAAGAAATTATTTACAATACAATGCAATAAGAGTGATTTCACATCTTAAACTCTTCTGTGCAGGAGCTGTGAAACCTGGAATGAACGTTTCCTATTCTCTTCATGTCGACCCAATGAGACAAACATTTAGAGGTTTTTTTAATTCAACTACAAAAAGGAGAAATCTAACTGAAACTTATGAACTGAGAGATAGAGAAACCTGCTTCAACCGCTCTGTTTACATGCCGGTCAGAAGACATTTATAGTATACATTTAAAATATAAAACGCTGTCCACATCCAAATCTTAATCACAATTTTGTTTTTCAGAAATGTATAACTGACACATTGTCACCAATCAAAATTAACATGAACTTTTCACAAGTGGAGAGTGGAAAAGCAGATGTCACCCTCAACACTGACAGTGATATGGAAGCATCTGTGGAGGTATAAACATGCCCTTGTCTTAATGTGTTCACTGCAGATTAGCACAGTCTCAGCATATTGTGAAAAATTTATTTAAAACCCAAACCAAAATATATGTACAGCATTTAGTCTGCATTTGATCAAACTCTTTAACCTAAAAGATCAACTCATTGTCTAAAGAGCTTCTAAGATTTATGGCAAATAGTCTTCTTAAATGTACTGATTAATCATTTCACAGTCTTATCATAATGTTTATGCATTTATTAATCTAAAAGAAAGGTTGAGTTGTGGTTGTAGTGGCAAAACATTTTTGATTTAAATCATTAAATCTGACTTGCAATCATGTGCACAATCCTGACTAAACTACTGATGAAATAAAGCTGTAGATTTGACTAAATATTTATCAAATTTTACAGGTTCCCTTTGAAAAAAGATGTCGCAATTACACCTGCATAGCTGAAATTGAAGTGGATTTTGACTTTATGTACGTAACTATGACAATATATATTGAATATTTGATTAAACCAAATTAGACTCTAATTCCTTCTCCACTTTCAGGACTCCATCTTTACTGGTGGCAGATCATAACTACTTCAATATGAGCGTGACTTTGTTCAATCGCGGTGAAGACTCCTACAACACCAGTCTCACTATACACCACCCTCCAGGACTGTCCTTCTCCAGGATGACTCTGGCTCTGGTGATGTTAACACTTTTTTGTCTCCTCTACTGGACATTGTATAGAACAGGGGGTGAAGAGTGGGGTGACACATTTGGTGAACTAATGCACACTTTTAAATTTCCAATACTACACATTATACAGACTTCTTCCAGTATTATTAACCTTAGTAACCTTGTAAAATATAATACAAAATAAGATAAAAAAGAGACATTCATTACTTTAAAGGGGATATTTTATTGTAATTGTAATTGTTGCAATGTCAAAGTACAGTAGTGGTAGATTCAAATTAAAATTGTGATTCAAATTAAAATCTACAATTGTGATACTATATAATTTTTACCTGTATTTTTTTATTCCTTTGAAATAAAACAGGATTCAAAGTCCAAACCACTTTACAGTTGTCTTGACTCTGAAGATAATACAGACTGTTATGTCAGTCTTCCTGTTTATCGCAGTCAATCACAGGTAAAAAAAAAAAAAGTAGTTTCAAAATGAGCTATAAATTCTGACTTAAAATAATGTGTACTTTTTCTGTTAAGGCCAAGTTCATGACTCTTTTCCATGTAATAAGAGACTACGAGTGGAAGGAGTCCTTAACAGTGAATATCACAGGACACAGGTAAAAATAATTAAAATAAAAAAATAAAAAAAAAGTTTTTTTTTATTCTAATTTCAAAATAACTTAAAATGTAAAAAATCCACAGTGATAATCAAAACTCAAGTAAAGGCTCTATGGTCAAAGTGATCCCAGTTCAATTTGAAATTAAAATGATGCTTTTAGTGTAAGTACAACATCATTATCTTTAAGTTTTTTACCATTATTTCAACATTATATAAAAAGTACTTTGTATATGTTTTAAGGGGAGAAGACAGCATCACTTATATGAATTTTACCACTGAGGATCCTGCCCCAAGAAGACTGGTTACCAAATATAAAGTAAGGAGTTTGTTGTCACATGTTTCACAGATTACATCCATTGGTAGTTTTATAACTAAATGCCATAACATTTTGTTACAAAAAAGACAGACCACAGGTTAATGTTAGAATAGAACTGGATGTTTGGAATAGAATAGATAGAACTAAAATCTATCAGTGTTATTTAAAAACAGGACAGTTTGCCATTACTGATATGTTTGTCCATTTAATTTGCTATAATAATCAAATAATCAATGTGATCTTATGTCTATTTTTAGGTAGATAATTACGGGTGGATGCATTTTCCTGTGAATGTGACTTTCGTTTTTCCCACAAAACTTGAACACAAATTTGAAATGAACAATTATCAAGTCCTGCCCGAGCAGGTAAATTGTCCAAAAACAAGTTGACTTAAAAAAAAAATATTTTTTTAAATCTATATATTATTATTATTATTATTTTTTTTTTTTTTTAAAGAATATAACTCACTGCAGAGAAAGTGACCGGAACGCTTCATCATCTCAAAATGTTAAAGTGAGTCATGATTAATCAATTTTTACATTTTATTTTAATATTATTATTACAATACAATATTTTGTTTACAGTACTGCACCCCAGAGCGAGAATGCAAGTACATAGTTTGTGACCCTTTTCTATTGACCAATGAATCTGTGGAGTTTGAATTGTCTGGAGAAGTGCAGTTTAAAGATCTCAGTCAAGATGTAACGAACCACAAATATTTATTAGTCCAACAAAAAATATATATATATAATAGTAATATTTGTAATAACAGCATTAAATGTCCGTTTGTCACAGAATGTACCTTTCCTGAAGCGATACACTGGTGATGGTAACCGGATTGTGTTTGAAAGTTTTTTATTTGTTGCTTATGACACAAAGAAATATTCACTGGACTCTTACAATCAAAAGGTGTGTTACAAGAGTTTAATTTACAATGTATTCATTCAGACTATTGTGACATCAAGTTATTACAGAGAGTTATTACATTTCAATATGATGTTTTTTGGCAGAGAAAAAGGGAGAGTCCAGATGACAACAGCTCCTGGGAGGATGTTGGGCCATCAGTGAAATCGGTATGTTGTATGTTGTATGTTGATACATTTGTTAGTTTAAAGATGCATTGTGTAACTTCTCTGGAGTCCTGTGGAGTAACAATGCATTTTGGTAAAAACACATGGAATGAAATAAATGCAAAATTAGGTATGTTTAATACCATACTATGGAACATTCCAGACAAGACAATAACCATGGAGAACAGCATGGAGCACAGTTCCTCCACCAGAAAAGTGCACCTTTATGTTAAACTGTTTTTAAGAAGCATTTAGCTGGACATATGTAGTACTGTTTTTGACTCAAAGCGTCTTGCTAAAAATGCTGCAGAAGTGCAAATGCAATACAGGATACTTGCAATGGAGCTTTGTGCAATATGAATCGATGCATTTTAGACAATACAAACAAAACAAATAACTGCAGAGATCCATTTAAAAATGTAAAAAAGGTGCAGTTGTGATTATAAATGTTAAGCATAAGTATTCCCTTATGAATACATTGTATACAGTGTTTATTGTAATTCATTGTTTTTCTATAATTAAAAAAATATTTCTAAATGTCTGTCACTCTCTGGTTACTGATAAATGTCTGTACTAACATGCCACAGTAACCACTGTTCTGGTCTTTGAATGTATCAAAGCGTACAAATAATGCACTGTATAGAACATTTATAATTTTCATCCCTAAACTCAAAAAATATGTATGTTTTTTTCCCAACAGAGTGAGGTCCTTATTGAGTTGATGGTTTTGCCTGACAAAATGCTCATCATTGTGACTGGAGCTGGTGGGGGCTGTTTCTATTAATTCTCATCACAGTCATCATGTTTAAGGTAAGAAAAATCCTATTTACTAAATGTTTCCACTGGTCATCATATTTCAAACATTTATCTTATTCTTTGATCAAGAGATAAGCTATACATTTTTAAAGTGTAGATGGATGTTGATTATTATGTAGAACAGTGTAGCTATGTGTGTGCAAGAACATTTTCTTGCTTAGAATGAATCTATATGCACTGCTTATTTTGCACTTTTGTTCCATCCATACTGTTTATTTTTGTATTTATATTTAGTCAAAGTCTATTTTTATTTTACCTTTTTGTGCATGACTTTATTTTATCTTATATTTTACCATGATTAGTCATAGTTTTGTGTTGCACCATACCGCCAAAGCAACTTTCTAGTTTGTGAATTCTGTTCACTGAAATCGCAATAATACCTTTTCTAATTCTGATCTGTAGTTGGGATGCTTTAAGAGGAAAATGCACGACATGGTCCAAGAAGAGGATGACGCTGAGGAGGCAGAAGTTACAAATGGAATGGCCAATCATTCATCCGACAAAGACGACAAAGAAGACAAACTTGAAGAAGACAAGACTGAAGAAGATGAACCTGAAGATGAGCCTGAACAAAAGGTGCTTTTGGAAAAACAGGAGATGTCCTCGATCCCAACTGATGTGAACAACTGATGTGTAGAGACTTGAGGGGAGTGTGACAAACAACTTGGGAAGAAAATCAATTTTGTACATGCTTTTGCCTCAAACAAGGTTACGACAGCAATTCGAGTGTCAACAAAGCTGACCACTGCAGTGCAAAGTTCTGAATAATAAAAAAAAAAAAATGTGTAGAAATATAATATCCAAATCCTATGGTACGATATTTCTTGCAATATTTTGGAGAGTTTAAAAAGATGGCAGTAATTATAGCATCAAAGATTTGTCAAAGCATGTTGTCTGCACTGAAATGGAGTAAATCATGGTCTATGCAGTTAATTTAGTTTTTTGTTTACTTGCTTACTTACTTTACTTTTATTTTTGCCTGACTTGACGAGAAGATATTGTTACATCCTTTCTGCCTTACCTGAAGTTTGTTAATGTTATTATGCATGACTTTTCTTATTACTGTCGTTATATTTTATTATATATTATTATTCATTGTTTTATACACTTTTTATATAACTTATTCAATTCAATGAGGGCCAGGGGTACTCCCGTTAACCCATTAACAATAAAAGCAGGTAAAAACTGGCCCCTTTAGTGGATTTATGAATTGTTATTAATTAGTTTTAAGTTGTAATGTATTGTATATTCTTTACAGTTTAGATTTTATTTGAAAACATTTAATGGATCATTTAATGGATGCATTTTGATAAATGTCTATGTTGAGACAAAGTTCGAACATAGTTTTAAGTATTAAAACCCTTTGTTGGCTGGTGTAACTGTACAAGTTTAATGCAAAATAAAGTGGATACAATTTATTTTTTCACAAATGTATTCATCTAAAAATATCTACAATACAAAATTTATACAGAAGTTTACTTTAATGACAGAAAATCTGGAGTTAGCCTGGACGGATACTGCCTTTTATACAGACTTGATGTTCTTGCTGCTCATATGGTCTCAGCTGCTGAAAAAGTGTCCTCAATATTGAACTGGGAGGTCCTGTACAAGCAAAAGACATAAGACATACTTTAATACCTGTCATTTATGTAATTTATGCAGAGGTGGGTAGAGTAGTCAGAAATTGTACTACCCATTAAGTATAAAGTAGTGGCCCTAGAAATGAAAAAACTTCAAAGCATGTACTGTCATAAGTCATTTTACACAAGACAATATTAAATAATGTTCAAAATCACAAAAGGAGAAAACGAAATCAAAACTGAAGGAATTAAAATTTTCAAAATAATTTAATTTTGACAATATAAAGCTTTTGTGGCTTATGGCTAACTCACAGTGGGAAGAAAGATAAGATCTTTACTCAAATACTATTAAAGCACCTTTAAATATATAACTCGGCTAAAAGTTAAAAGTATGGTGCCTGTAAAGTAGTAAATATAAAAAATACCCTACCCACCTCTAGATTTATGTTTACATTTACAAACATGTCTACCAAAAACTTACCATTGTTTGTTTGTTGGGGCCTTGCTGATGCTGTATTAAGCACATTGGATGAGTTAGTTGCAGATTTCTTTCTAGGTTCATTTTTACTTTCTTCAATCCGTTTATTTTCAGTATAAGATGCAAGGGAGTGTTTATTATGTGATAGTTTACCACCCATACACTGGGCTCGATTGGGCAAACAAGGCATCTTTGAGTCATTTGTTGCTGAAGATTCACCAAGAGGGGCTGCAAAAATGTTGTTAAATGATTTGGCACTTTCAGTCTCTTGGTTTTCTCCTTTTGACATGGCAGGAGAGGAGACTGGCTTCTGACAATTATTATTTAAAGTTTCTGTCCTTGCTGCTACAGCGTGGCTACTGCTACTGCTGCTTTTGGGTGTACTTTCACTATATTGACTTTGCTTTGTGGCTTGACTTGCATCACATTTAACCTTCGGACTATCAAAGATGGATTTTTCAACTTTTTGAGATTGAACAGTAGATGTCGGATCCACTTCTAGAAGATTTTGAAATGACTTGGCATGGGGAGTCTTAGTGCTGTCGGGGTAATCTTTTTTGTTTTTACTTTGTAAATTGGACGTTGCAGATGAGGAAATCAACTTTTGACCCTTAGTTTTTGTGCTTTCAGTTACCAAGCCCACTTCATCATAAGTGCTACAACTGTCATTATATGTGCTTTCTGATGAATTCTCAGTGAATTGACTTTGCTTTGCAGACTTGGCTTGATTTGAATCACTGTTGTCTTTTTGACATTTGGATTTTTCAACATTGTGGGCACAAATATCTAGTTTGTCACCGACACTTTTTGTAACAGTTGGGGTAAGACTTGCAAAAAGACTTTGAAATAACTTGGCAGAAGCAGTTTTGGCAGTTTCGGTGTCTTCTTTCTTCAAGGATTTTAAATTGGTTGTTGCAGAGATCAACCTTTCACTATGATTACTACTATTATGCATACTTTCTAACATGTTACCAGGACATTGACTTTGCTTTGTTGCTTGATTTGAACCACAATTAATCTTTTCACTGGTGCAAATAGATTGATAAACTTTTTGGGCATTTGGTACAGTTGTTTTTTTGCTAAAATTATTGCCAGCTGTTGTTTGGTCTGAATCTGAAGTGAGACTTGCAAAAAGACTTTGATGAAATTTCTTTTCATTTTTCTTGTTTGTAACTTTAAATTCTGATCTTGCAGAAGAGGTGACCAACCCTTCACTGTTGTTACTTGGAGTTTCAGTACTTGCCTCAACTTGCATATGGTTACTACTGCTACTATTATTTGGGCTTTCTGATGTATTCCCAGTGCACTGACTTGGTTTTAAAGCTTGATTTGAATCACAGTTAACCTTTTGACAATCACAAATTGAGTTCTTGACTTTTTGGGCACTTGAGACAGCTGGTTTGTGACCAACACTATTAATAACAGTTGATGTCCGATCAGAGTCTGGTGTGAGACTTGCAAAAAGACTTTGAAATGGTTTTGCAGGAAGACTCTTAGTACTTTCCATGTCCTCCTCTTTAGTTGAACATTTGAAATTGGCTGTCACAGAAGTGGAGGCCAACATTTTACTATGATAATCTGTTTTACTATTTGTACTTATTGGAGTATTGTCAGTAAATCGACCTGGCTGTGTTTCTTTATTTGAACCACAAGTGCTCTTTTTACTAGCTGAAACTGATTTCCCACATTTTGGGGCAATTCGTACAGCTGGTTTCTCACTGGTGCCATTGCTAACAGTTGGTGTTCGATCGGAGTCTGGAGTGAGACTTGCAAAAAGAGCATGAAATTTCTTGGCAGGAGGACTTGTATCACTTTCAATTCCCTTTTGCTTGGTTTTACTACTGCTAACCTTTTGATTGCCACAGTCAGATTCAAATCTTTGGGAACTTTGGACAGTTGTGGTGCCACTAACACTATTCTTAACCGTTGAAGTCGGATCCATATCTGGAGTAAGACTTGCAAAAAGACTATTTAATCTTGATGTTGTTTTGTTACAGGAAGAAGCCACATTTTCTTGCCTATTTTCTGCAACATTTTTAATGGTACTTGATAGGGCATTCAGGCTTGTTTCACTGTTGGTTTCCTTCAGGCTTTGTTGAATGGGTGTCATCTCCTTTTTAAATAAAGAATTGCTAAAGGATTTGTCCTTATTTTTCAGAGATAGTGCAGGTTTATCTTTAAAATATGACTGATTTGAACCACATTCGTATTCACCAAATTTGTCTTTTGAATGTGAGGCGTCAGATATTTTTGAGATGGGCAATTACTTCCCATTAGAGTAATATATTGGCTATTACAGTCTGTTGCAACCTTCTTACCCTTAAGTATTGAGTTTGGTGCATTAGATCCTACTCTCAATTCTCCTTTTGCATTAAAAGGTTCACACTCAATTTTTGCACCACAAAAAGCTAGTTTTGAATCAGGTTTTTTATATTGTTTATTGTGATATCCAGATGTGGCTAAGTCCTGACTAGGTTTCTTGAACATTTTCTCCTTTATGCTTGATGACACATTGTATTTATCATTGAATATTAAGTTACTTTCCTTATTTGACTGACATGATGCTACTATTGCTGGGGCTATGGGTGGAGTAGGTAGGAGTCTTGAAGTTGGAGCAGATTTTGTGTTAAGAATACTGGCGACAGCAAAAGAAGTTTTGATAAGATTTGAAGAGCAGTTATCTGTTGTTTTTGGATCAAACAGTGCTGCTTCTTGACTTTTTGGGGCAGTATAGCAGCATGGTTTGAAAAGTTTGGGTCCAAGCATGGCTTCCACAGAATAGCACACAGGTCCTGCTTGGTCCAAAGCAGAGGGTAAAGACTCTTCAGGCTCTAGATTATTTTCAGTTTGTAACGTATTGTCATCCTCCGTTATATCAGCTGTCTGTTCCGACTCTGGTATCAAAGTGCCCTCATCAACAGGTGTTTCTGTACTATGATAAAAATTTTGCCTAAAATAAACATGGAAAATACTGTTAATACAGTTTTGTGTAAATAAGTCAGGCAAATGTAGCATGAAATATACATATGAATAATGAATTTACATAAAAACACAAAATCTAAAACATTTTCACTTCAGACAGGCTTTGAATAAATCTCAATAATAAAGGTTGAACAAAAAGAATAAAAACACAAATGGGAAAGTAAAAATAAGTAAAGTAAGTAAGTAAGTAAAAACTCCATCAGCAATGTTGGCCAATAAAATATGTAAATTAAGTTTGTCATCGCCATGCTAACATACCTAATCAAACAAAGCTCACAAAAGCAGGTTAGATATAGATTCTTTAGATTACTATTTTAATAACTTAATCTGTACAGTATATGAAATAATAAAAACTGCAATATGTAGTTGTAACCTCTATCCTTACCTGGCAGATGGTATGACAACGTCCATAGTTGTGTTTTCTTCAACTGCTTCACATACATTTTCAGTTTGATTTAAAGCCTCTTCTTCTGCTTTCTTTTTGAGTTGATTTTGCTGTTGTATTAACTATAATGCCACAAATCCAAAAGCTATTAATTAACTCTGTTATGTCAATTTTGTGAAAACATACATCCTTGGATAGTATAATAAAATGTTACTCACATCTTTCAAAAGCTTTCTTGTGAAGTCAGTCAGTGGATCGTGAGAAACGTGCAGGGGTCTCGTCTGCAGTAGCCTTTTGTGTGAAAAAACTTACAAGGAAAAGTCTGTAAAACTCAAATTAAGGAGTGGTCTAATTGTAGTAATTCTAGCAGTAATAATAATCATATAGTAATAATAATAAAAATGTCTCCTGTTTGTCTTTACAAGCATGGCAAAACACTTCAGATGTGCAACACTGCAGTCACTATTCATTCACTCCATAACTGTTGGTAGTAATCTACTTTTGTAGCCACAGTTGCCCCGGGGTAGACCGACAGAAGCGAAGCTGTCAATCTGTGCTATAGGCCCATCCAAACACCACCAATCATTCACTTACACACACGTGCGCGCGCACACGCACACACACACACACACACTCTTATGTGGGCAAAATAAGTGAAATGTCTTCAGAGACACAATGCCAGTGAGCACTGCACAAAGGGTTGTAACTAATGTAGTAGCAGAAGCAACAGTGCTAGTAATAGTGGTAGTAGTAGTAGTAATAACAGTAATGATAGTATATAGTAGTAGGAACAGTTAGTAACAGTAGTAATTGTAGTTCAAGTAATTGTAAGAGCAGTAGTAATAATTGTGAAACCCATGAATATGTTGTAGTAGTAGGTAGGTAGTAGTAGTAGTAGTAGTTGTAGTAGCAGCAGCAGCAGGAGTAGTAGTAGTAGCATATATCAAACAATTGATCAAAGGATATCATGCAGGTACGGACACATCTTCCCTTTTAAGCAACATCCTTGGATATAAAATTTACAGGCTTCTTTAATTAGACCATTGTATACTTCAATATGCTCAAATTGGCACTCTTCTCCCTAATGTTTTGAAAACACAAATCATGCTTTATTTAAAAGTTATTATTGCATTTAATTATGTGTCTATTTTATGTATCTTTATGATTTTACCTTGATGCATCTCCCTCGAATGAAATGAATACAAAGCAGATGTCCATCCACCTCCAGAGAATGTTGCTCCTTAAAATCTTGGGACATGAAGGGTTGACGAGGCTGAAAAGAAACACCACACACAGATTACCTTAACCCCTCAACTACAATAATAGGCACAGTTTAGGTCCATTTTGTTTGATTCAGTGCCAAGTAATACTAGAGCCAGTATTGCAATGTCTTTCTGATTGCATTATATCAATGAGTTTCGTATAAGACACATTGAAATGCCTCTGCTTTAATGAAATTTTCCCTTGGCCTATAAAGGCTCTCTTTATGTCATTTACTGTGGCATAAAGACTGAGTATTGATATTTTCTGCATGATGATTAATACCTTGTACTTCTCAGTAATAATATTTTTTAACAATTGTCAGTAATAATATTTTTCAACAATATTAGTGTTGATCCACCCATAACAAATTTTTAATTGCATTGTTCTTTATATCAAATAAACTTCCTGTTCACTTCTTGTAGAGCCATGAAGTGTTTGCATCTAATAACCCTCACCCTCATCTCAGGGTCACATTGACCTGAAGAAATTTTTTTTTTCCTTCCCGTTCTCAAAAATACATTTTTGTGTCTGATTGACCCGCCCCAAGAGAGCGAGAAGGAAAAAAAATTCTACGGGTCAATGTGACCCCGAGGAGAACGTGAGGGTTAAATTAAGTAGTAGCAGAAACCTAGCTTGTAAGCATTTGCCCTTTGACCAAATGGTTGCCTGTTGAAATCCCCCATGGAAACAATAGTGTCCCTGGGTAAGACAAACACTGCAAGCTCCAGTCACAGAAATGAATGAGTGGAAGGTCGTCTGACTGAAAATGCACTCTTCTTAAATTAAACACAGTTAGTAACTTACCTGTGTGCGGTCTTTATTTTGTTGATCTTTCTGAGCATTCTTGTATCTTTGCCCATTTTCACTCACCCTCTCTGTCTTTTTCTTCCTTTTGTTTTTAATTGTCTTCTTTTTCTGAGTGGTTGCATTGCTAGTGTTTCCTCTATTGTTGTCATCACTTGAGAAAGTCCTTTGGTTGTTCCTATAAAATGCATTTCTGGAGACACTGGATCTTGGGTTGTTATTGGCCCTGTTAAATCTATGGGCTTCATATGTTTTGGGTTCCTCATTTTGCTCTGCATTGGATGTACCTGCTGCATAAGGCTCAGGACACTGCCTCTGTGTAAAAGAAATAGTGTTATTGCTACAAAAATATCTAGACAAAAATAACTATATTTTTCAGTCTGTTGGGTAGTGTTGTCACAATACTAAAATTACAAATTATAAACTTGAAATCGGTACTAAACAGAAATCGATGTAATTTTCAACACAAAATAATACTGTCCTTAATATGGTCTGCCGCTTGGCTGCTTTTGTGGCTACCTGGCTCACATGCTGAGCAATGTTTGAAACTTTTTGTTTTTGAGCTCAGTTTTTAACATCATATCATGGGATTTTAACCAACTAAGAAGTAAGGGAAGTAAAGGACTGTTGAATTTTGTGAAATGAGCTGAGTTTGTTTCTCCCATACCCATGGAGATAGCAGGAATTAGCTAAGGAGCTAGCTATGAATATTTGAGATGCTACAGGCTTTTTATAGCATATGCAGCAGCAAATGTGTCAGAAGACTTTACAGAGGACACATTCTGAGGGCATAAACAAGGCCTATCCTGTTGTGTTTATCTGGGTCCCCCTGGATACTGCTGTGATACTTGGGCTGCAGTGTCTATTGCTACTGTCTACTACTGTCTCTCTCACTAGTTCTGATATAGATATAGTATGAAATTGGTGTGTGTGTGAGGGATGGTGGTGGTCGGAGGGGCTGATGGAGCAGATTGGCAGCCTCGCTTCCGTCAGTCTGGTAAAGCCTGACGAGCTATGGTCAATAGCTTTAGTGGATACTAGTTGTAATTCTAGTGTTTTTCTAAATCTATTAATATATATTTTGTAAGGTAAATTACACTGACTTAAATAATGAAAAACTAACCTTCACATAGGGGCCACTCTGCGTGGTGTGTAGTTTCCTCTTTGAGCTGCCCTCTTGTCCATTGATAGTGTTATTCCTAAAGCAACATTAAACAATAACGTTAAATATTTAAGAGCTCAAATGAATAATTTTTTGTAAAATGTGAAATGTACAATCTATTCAACTAACAATACCTGTGGTTAGGATCCTTTACTTCTTCGTCGACATTATGAAGCTTGGTAAAAAGATTAGAAAAGGCCATTGTCCATCACTAGGTGTTTGTTGTTACAGGTGAAAAGGCAACACTGTACAGTTATTGTCCCGAGAATAAAACTAAACAAAACTAAATATTTTAAAGAGAAAAGTTTAAGATTCACAGCTGTACAAGACTGTTTACATGTGCAGCGCTGCTGCCGGTTTACGTTTGGCTGTCGACTTCCGCGTTTGTCAAATGCGTCACTGGCTACAACCAAAAAAGGAAGAATGGGCGTGGTAAGCCCGGGACAAATACTGACATTTAGTGGCAAAACAGAGCAATGCCACAAAAGTTAAACCCGTGTGTTATTTCAAGGATGATGCTGATGAAGAAAATAAAGTATTGTCATGGCAGACATTGGGGTATGGGAACACGATAAATAATATCACAATATAAAAACTATTGGGATAACAAGTCTGTATTAAAATATATATAATATAGACTCAAGTTTTATAATATTATCTAAAACATATGATATATGGACAGTATTGAAACACAAAATAAAACATCCATAATCCTTCCATAGGACTACTTATATCAAATATGATTACAATGCAGATTTATTTATTTGTTTAAACATGTCTTTTCGGATCTAACGCAATTTCCTGGAAATTATATACAACATGAAATATAAATGCCTATTTAATAATGATTTTGGTGATGAACTTACACTGCAATAGTGTATTTTTTCCCCAACATCTTCTCTTATTAATCAGCACTGACGATGACATCAGTTGTTGCAGTGATAGAAGCTGAACTTTGGTCTTCCACATATTAGTCCGCCCCGTCTCTGGCTCAAAGTCCAGGTCAGTTTCAGTATTCCCTTCTGTGTCATTTGTGTTTTTATTACCCTTGTTTCTCTCTAAGCTGCTGCAAGATGGTGCGGTGGGCTTCTTTTCTGCTGGTTTTGGGTCTTCTCTGCGCCCCTTCCACACTGGGACAGGAGGCAGAGGGACAGGGCACAGACCAGGCATCAGGACAGGCTGGTGGAGCTGGTGGGGCTGGTGCTGGAGGGGCTGAAGTGGAGAATGAGGAGTGGGGTTTGAATTCCATCAGAGGAAGCTTTGAGGCAGTCAGTGGATACTTTGACTCAATGCTGGAGTTTATGGGTGGAAAAGATGGGGTCTGCCAATACCGCTGTCGCTATGGTGAGATGTTTTTAGTGGACGTTTTTGCCTATTACATCTTAAAGGTGAACTATGTAGCTTTTCATGTGAAGGATCTGCCACCTGCTTGTCTCCATTGAGATGTAACTGCTTTGCATGAAATGTTCATGGATCTATTAAAATAAATGAAATGTTACTTAAAGTTATTTGTCTTCATGGAGCAAGCAGGTGACACCACCAAACTGAGTCAAAGGTTAGATCTTCAAAGAGGAGAAAATTATGTAACTACCAGCAAAAGTTAGATCACCTTTAAGAAGTTATGAAACTACAATATTTTTTACAAGTTGATATGGTAAAATGTTATAAACAAATGTCAGGTGCATAAAAATACATTATAAAGCTTTTTATTTTTTGTGAAAGAACAATTGAGACTTGTTTCAACTGTTGAAGTGTCTTGCCCAAGGACACAACAATATATACTAGGCCTGAGAGGGAATGTACCAGCCAATCTTTTTACCAAACTGACCTGAGATAACCTCTTGAACATTATTATTGAAACTTCAATAAATTAAATAATTTTAAGATGGGGAATATTAAACTGATAACGTACCCTTTTTTACTGTAGTGTATTTCAAAGAGGTTTAACTGAAAATCTATCTGGGTATGCTCATAAAATGCTCATAAAAAACGGGTATGCCATGAAATACTTTCATGATAAGAGGGGCATCTGGCATAAAACATTTGACAAATTATCAACCACTGCATAATTTAAATCGAATAGATGGAAATAATGATACAACAATATCTGCTAGTAATTCCAAGAAAGCTAGATAGCTTTACAACTACAGTGATAGTAGGTCAAATATTGCATCAAAATTAGGCCACCATTAAAGACATTCAAAGTAAATATGTGATAATGGTGCATTATTTAAAAATCATTGGGTTGGGCTGATATGAGGCATTTCTTCACTCATTTGAACTAATGTTATCATATGGAAGAGAGGGCCTGCACCTGGACTGTGCCCTCAAACTGATACAAGAGATATGCTTTGTGTCAGTGTAGCCTCAAAATGCCTTGTGTTTTAAATGAAAAGTCATATTCATTTATTAGGCACTAGATACAGTCCAATCAGAAGGTAAATCATTTTTCAAAGGAGGTAGCTGCGGTAAAAAATGTTTAATTATTGGCATAGCATTTTATGGTGGTTGTTATAATTTTCATGTGATGTTGTGTTTTTAGGTAAAGAGCCTATCCCCCGCCCTGAGTTTAAAATGCCTGAGCCTGATGGATGCTCCTCTTATTTCTTTGGTCTTCCTGTCCCAGATGGGGTATGTATCTATATGTATGAGTATATGAGAGGTTCTGGGTTTCTATTTGCTCTAATTTACTTTATTACGCTTTAAGATAATGCCAAAACCTCTTCAAAATGCGTGCTTTCAGCACAAATTTGGAATTATCTTAATCTATATCTGAACTAGTATGAAACAGCATATTAATGTATTAATATTAAAGGTGGACTACATAACTTTACTGGTGCAATGTCTGCCACCTGCTTGTCTCCATGGAGATGTAATGCTTTGTCTGGAATGCTCCACATTATAGCAATAAAACTTACTTGCATGGAGTCAAGCAGGTGATACAGATTCAAAATTTTAGTATGTTTACAAGGTGGGAGTCACCTATGTTTGTGGTATGTGTTGTTCAGATGGACGTGGGGATCCCGGCCATGACTAAATGCTGTAACCAGTTGGATATGTGCTATGACACCTGCGGCTCAAACAAGTATCGCTGCGACTCCAAGTTTCGCTGGTGCCTCCATAGCATCTGCTCAGACCTCAAGAAGAGCCTGGGATTTGTGTCCAAAGTCGAAGGTTAGAATTCAACAAAGAACTGTAAAGACATGTTAAGATATTATATAGACAAATGAAATCCCAAAAATGTAAGGTAGAGGCATTCAAAAACATTTACATAATTAATAAAACACAGTAACATAATTTGAATAGATTATATATAAATGGCCCTAAACAATATTATATTCAGACAGCATGTGTATGAAATATCTGAATACACCCTGGTCATTGTCAATAAAGCACAAAAATAAATAAATAAACAAATTAAGGCTAATGTAGGCACTTTACACTATACAGTCCCTGACAAAAGTCTTGTCGCTTATCCATTTTGTAGAAACAAAAGCTTATAACCTGACTTTAAATTAATCAATTTGTTTTAGAAATGTCTCATATGAAAGCTAAAACCCTCCCAAATTATGCTCAATATACTAAAATAAATTTGCTTCACTGAAGAAAGATTGATCATTTAATGAACACAGAAAGGTCAGATTTTGGCAAGACAAAAGTTTTGTCGCCTACAGAAAATTGAACAAATAATTTACTTCAAATACAAAAATATGTTGCATAACGTCAGTGAATTAAGTAGGGGTGCTGTGACTTTTGTCAGGGACTGTACATTTTATTTTTTGACTGTGAGCAGCCTGGTTTCTCCACAGGTTTGACTGGTAACTTTGGCTGATGGTGTCACCCACTTGTTTGATCAAATATTGTGGAGTATTTCAAGCTAAGCAATAACATCTCTATGGAAATAAACAAGTCACACATCTTCTACCAGAAAGTTACATAGACACTTTTAAATTGGGCCAAGTCAAAAAATGTATCTTGAATAAACACATTCAGTGACAGATGTAGACATTACCTCATAACTGACTTGTTTCTCCCCTGCAGCATGTGAGACGGTGGCAGACACTCTGTTCAACACTGTGTGGACTCTTGGTTGCAGACCCTACATGAACAGCCAAAGGGCAGCGTGCTACTGTCCCGGAGAGGAGAGGGATGAACTGTGAATTGACTAATGGACAAAACAAACCTGTCTGACTGTACTACTACTTTTACTTGAGTAATTTATTTCATGGTTTTGTTGTGGTTTTGATGACAATAAAAGTTATATATATATATATATATATATATATACACATACATATCAACTCTTTTTTTTTTTGAGTAAATTACCAGTTACAGTCATGTTTTAGTACTAGTTAAAGGTGCACCATGTACATTTTCAGGTGAGATGTCCAGATCTCCATCACCTGCTTGTCTTCATGAAAATGCACCTGCTTCTCCATAGGGATAGATTTAATGTCATACTAGGGAACATTTCAGGCAACATATTAATATCTTCATGGTGATGGTAAGGTGGCAAACCAGGTAACCACATAAGTTACAAAATGGACCTTTAAATATATAATAATAAATAAATAATAATATTATGGATAATAAAAAAAGATCACTGCCTTGAAAAAATTGTGCCTACACTATACCCCATTAGGGTTTAAATTTGTTTAATTAATAAGTTTCCAAGGCTAAACACATAGTATTAATGTTTTTAATATTATTTACATAAAAATATATATAAGAATAAAAATATAATTTTACAAGAAAGCAATATTTTATACAAACAAGAAGTCTATTATTATTGCACTAGACAAGTCAAAAACAGGAGACTAAAACAAATATATTCTCAAAGCTCAAATTTCATCTTCCACCTAAAAACAAATGAAAAAGAAAATGAATATTCATTATTTTCCTTTGAAATATTTTATGGGGAAAAACAAACTTTACTCACTTTTATATTTTGTCGCATCAAAAGCTGTGCTGGTTGTATGGGATTTTTCTTTATTCTGCTGTTAAAGGCTTCAAGCTAAAAAAAAAAAAAAGAAAAGAAAAGTTGTAATTAGCAATTTCCAAAATACATTATTTGGGTACAAATATGTTAACTAAAACCAATAAAATATTCAGTATTCCAGTGGACATTTATACAATCTGCTAACCCCTAGTGTACTGTAGTCAAAATGTTTTGAAATGTATGTGAATGTGATTCTTGTATTAGTTTAACAGTTCATGTTTCAGTCTGCTCTCTAACTGTAATGCTCATGGACCTGTAAAATAGTGCACTTAAACTGAATCTTAATGTAAAAGAAAATTTTAAAATTAACCATATTTAAAAAACAAACAAACAAACATTTCTACACCAAAAGGTTCACAAGTGCCACAAAAAGTTTAAACTAAAATGATTATAAAAATTATTTTGTCATGTATTAAGCAAGTGTATTCATGTTTTGTCGTACTTTGGATTCATCATTAGTATTACCTTATCCATGATTTAGTCTAATTTTAGAGTATGTGTAACCTTAACTTAAGTCTGGTTTGGATCTGCACTATAAAGCCAAATATTATCTAAGATGGTATTTTTTCGTTTGCATTAAAGAAAAGCAAGACACAGACCTTTAACTTCAAGTTGGCTTTGATCTCCTCCTCTGTGAGCACTGGTTTCTCTTTTTCCTCCTCCTCCTCCTTCACTTTTTTAGGTTCAATCTCTCCTTCAACTGTCATTTTCACTGACACATTTAAAGGAAGGTGTGTTAAAGGGACTTCTACATCGTTTATATCCACCAGTTCTAAACCAGATTCTGCTAATTTAGCTGGATTTTTTACAGCAAGTACTCTGGTCACTGGCCCTGGTCTATCTCTGAGCAACTTCTCCATCTGTTCATTTCTTTCAATAAAAACGTGTTTCTTTTTCTTCTTCTTCTTCTTTTTCTTCTTTGCTCCTGTAATGCCTGGAGCTCCACTCATCCCAGCTGTTTCAAAAATATTTGGATAATTTTCTTGTTTAATAACAGCTATAACTTCATTTATTTCTTTGGTCCAGTCTTGAGCATTTTTCACATTTGGGTCAACTGATTGAATCATTTGTGCTCCAACTGCTCCCCTGCACCTCTTTCTTGTCCTAGCTTTCGTTTCCTGTTTTGGTATTGCATTCTGGTACTTAGACATACATTTACGAGTTTCAGATAAACACATTTTCTTTATGGTCACTAGACAGCGAGTTGTTTGTTTGACAGTATTTGACGTATTTGGCAAGTTGTCCTTTTCTGAAATTGATTCATTGCTAGTGGATTCACTGTCTTCAGGAGGGGGTTCAAGAAGGCTGCTATTGCTAGTGTGTGGTTCAGTTTGTTGATGTGGGAGTAAAGGTGGAATATTTTGGTGGTAGTATGCCCAGTAGTTATAATAGGCCGTGTATTGTGAATAAGGATCAGGATACATTTGGGGTGGAAAATGTGGGTTGAAATATTTGGACTGTGGATATGGGTAAGGCTGCGATGGAGCTTGAAGTTGGAGTGGGTCCCTGCGGTCCCTTGGGTGGGGGCTTTGGAGTTTAGATGGTGAATGTGAATCTTGTCTTCTATAGGGTGAGTTTGAATTTCTTCGTGTGTACGGAGATCTGGATCTTCTATAGTGATGAGGGAAGCTAGAAGGACTTATGTTACTACATGGCGACCTTGGACTCCTCTGTCTGTAAGGGGAGACCGATCGTCTCCGTCTACAAGAACTTCGACTTCTCCGTCGACGAGAAGAACTTCGACTTCTCCGTCGACGAGAAGAACTTCGACTTCTCCGTCGACGAGAAGAACTTCGACTTCTCCGTCGACGAGAAGAACTTCGACTTCTCCGTCGACGAGAAGAACTTCGACTTCTCCGTCTACGAGAAGAACTTCGACTTCTCCGTCTACGAGAAGAACTTCGACTTCTCCGTTTACGAGAAGAACTTCGACTTCTCCGTCTCCCTATCAGGCTTTGCTTACTGGGTGTTTTGCTTACTGGGCTTGATGACAAACTAGAAGTCGAGCTGGAGGAGGAGGATCTAGTATAATGCGCTGGTGAATATTTCTCTTCTCCTTCTGTCTGTTGAGGCTCATCCTCTTTTTTGTCTTCTTCCTCTTTCTTTTGCCTTTTTCCATACAATCGTTCGTGTGTGCGATCAGCGAGTTTGCTAATCTCATCTGTGCCTAAACTTAAACCAAGAGACTCCAAAATGTTTTGGAGGTGCTTCTGCTGTTCATCAGGATTTGGTAGTGGTTGTTCTTCTTTCCACTGCCTCTTTTTTTCTGGAGGAGAGCTAAAAGTGCTCATCTCACCATGCATTTTTCCCACATTTTGATTCTTGCTTTCTGGAGGAAAGCTAAAAGTGTTCATCTCACCATGCATTTTTCCCACATTTTGACTCTTGCTTTCTGGAGGAAAGCTAAAAGTGCTCGTCTCACCATGCATTTCTCCCCCATTTTGACTCTTGTGCGGTTGCTGTGTAAAGTAGTCTGTGTCATCAATGACCACTTCCTTGAGTCTATCAATGTCCACTCCTTTGTTGAGAATATTTAGGAAGCGCATGAAGCCCTGGTTGCCCTTCTCGCCTTCCTCTGCAGGTGAGGAGTCGATTTGGGAAGGACGTGGAGCACTGAAAAATGGTATCTCCTGTAGAACACAAAAGAAAAGGTTAATTTGGTTAAATATAACACTCTACTACTATTAAATTAGTCTTTCAAATCAAATACATACGAAAACTTTCACAGAACAAAAAGTATGTAAAAATATATATAATGTAAAATGTATTTTTAATATACATGCTATTCAGTGTTCAGTGCTTCCCTTTGTAATATCTAAATACTGTATGATATTAACAGAACGTTTATATGTCCCAAAATAGGAAAATTTTTGTGTTTGAACACCAAGTATAAGAACAGCAGGAAAACAGAACACATGAAATCAAAAACAAAACATGCAAAATGGTTAACTTGGTTATTAGAATATACTTTAGATAAGATATAAAAGGTAGCAAATTGTATTTTATAGATGTAGAGTATATTTTGTTTGTTATTTTAAAGCAAAGTTACAGACCTCTAAGTGTTGTGTCTTCACAGGGAGACCAATCACAAATCTCTGTTCCAGAGCCACTTTAACTCTGTGCTTAAGAGGATGATCATGTTGAATATTGATAGAGTTTTGTCTGGTTTTTGCTACTGGACTCTGAGGAATAGAAAAATAAACTACATGACTTTAAATACAACATCACCAAGAAAAATTAACCCAAAATAAATGAAAACACACCTTTGATCTGATGACACGATTCCGTTGCATGAGAATAAGTTTAACTCTGCCTTGTAGCGTTTCAGTTGATTCTGTTGGTCTTACTTCTTCACTGAAAAGTCCTGGGTTTACAGTTTCAAAATCTATAGTTTTTAGAGCAAGGAAAGCTCTTTTTTGCATGATCTGCTCTTGTATCTCTTGAAGTTCTTTTCGTTTCCTTGCCAGCTCTGGGTCCTCTTTATCTGACTCATATAACTGTCCATCTAGATCATCGTCATCCTCTTGTTCTTCCTTATGACAGTTCTGAGAAGAGCCACCAGGTCTGTGCCATGCAGAACTTGCCCCAGTGGTACTTCTGTTGCCAGGCGATGGGATGAGGTACTCTGAATATTGAGGGTATCTATCCCACTCAAATTGGGACCTTTCTCTACCAACACTAGCTGCACTCGGACAGAGGCTGTGTCCCCTAAAATTATTCATTGTTTAATGTGCATCTAAGTCCATTCAAAACAAAATCAAATCATTATCTGCAAGGCAAAAAAAAAAATAAAAACAAATAATAATATATATATATATATATATATATATATATATATATATATATATATATATATATATATAGATTAGTTACTCCAAAATGTTTACATTACATAGGCTAACACCATTACTGTTATGTCAATTAGAAGTGACCTACTAATTAAACATTCAAGAGATAGTGATTCCCAAACTATTAAAATTCACTCAACATGCAAAAATATATAAAATTATTAAATTAATTATCACAATATATGCTAATATATGCTGTCTGAAGCTAAAACGAGACGTGTTTTAAAGCTATTTTGAAACGTTAGCAAGACAGCTAGCTGATTGTTTACCTTTTTCGGTTTGTAAAAAATGCAATTTTTCTGCCACATAATGTGGAAAAATTGTCTTTGGAGATGAGCTATTCTTTACTGAGAAGTGCACAAATAGTAACACTTCAAAATACTAAGTTATAAAGACGTGGTAGTAAAAAAAAATGTAGTAGCTTCGGATCGTGCTAAGCTCCTCAAGCAGAACTCGACACTATAGAAAACAGTGCAGCCTGGTGGATAGGGGGTCCAACATGACTGCAAAATCTATAACAAAATCATACTATTTGGAACAAACATCACATATTGTAGCTTTTATGGACGTTATTAAGTCCCAAGAACCTTTAGTTTCAATAGACGGGAAATTAAACTAGAAAAAAAAATCTATTATAGCCAAAATCTATTCATTTAATATGTATCTAGCTATTTGCATAAAGAAACAAAACAAAACAAAAAAATCCTTTCAAACAGGGCTGTGAGATATGACCAAAAAAAAAATATTTTTTTTCTTATATTGATAGACCTTGATATAATAAATAAAATCAGATACTAATAACTAATACACTTTCCTGAACATAAACGACGCAGGCTTTTAAATCGCTTCCATTTGACACACACACACACGCACGCACACACTTTACTCTAAAGTCAAACCACATGCTAAACACTACTTTCAAATACACTGTAATAAAGTAAAATCTCACAACTGTAAATCTTTTTATTGTTGGTTAATTCAAATATAATATTTACAAAATATTTTTTTCTGTGTACACAATCAATATATAGATCAACCTGAAACCTTGAGCATATTCTCAGGAGGACTATGAACTATAATGCTACTTAATTTGTAAGAAGGCCCATATATGACAAATTATATAAGCAGTGTTCAAAAAAACACACTTGCATGCAAAGAAAACTACTTATACGTTATTAAAACTTTGAGCGTCATAGGGTGGTTGAAAAATTGAGTAGTAGTAACAATGTTGTACCAACAATTTAGTGATACCAATCAAGTTTGCAAATCAATATTTTGTTCTAACATTAGGTGTACTGTAAATAAAGTGGCTCATCAGTACTAAAAATTGTCTTTTTAGTCCTTAGTATATTACATTTACTTTTTGGTTGAAATCACCTGTAAACAGCGAGGCCTTTGCAGATTTTTGCTGTTTGCTTTCTGTGCATTTGTCTCCATGGGTAGGTGCTTATGCGGAATGAAAAGGTTGGGGAGAAAGGGATGAGGCATTGGGGGTGGTGGGACTGAAGCATTTGGAGGTACAAATGGGGGGAACATATTCGGGGGAGGGAAAGGAGGGAGAGGAGGTGGTTGGGGGTATGATGAGTGATACTGGGGTATAAACACAGATGATGCAGGTGGGTAGTTAGGTGTTGGAGTATAGGAAGGAGTGATAACAGGAGCTGGGGGAAGTTCAGCGTTTGGTACGCTATAAGAAGTTGGAGGGACCATCTGAACATTGTGTTTTGTTGCGCTAGGCTGTGTACTGCGTTTGTCTGTGTAATAAGAGTAGTCTGTTTCTTCTTTTTGAGAGCTGTATGAGGGATTTTTCTTGTAGTCCTTAAATGAACCCAAACTGGAGTCACTTGAAGATCGACTGCGACATTTTGGAATATATGCACGTCTCTTCCTCTCTCTCTCAAGCTCCTCTTTTTGAACCAGAGCATGCTCAGTTTGTTTCTTTCCATACAAACGTTCCTGTATCCGGCTAGACATTTGACCAAGTTCCTCAAACTCTAAATTGATCCCAATGGCTTGTAAAACATCGTGCATTTGCTTACGTTTGTTGTCCTCTTCGAAACTTGAATTTTTGTTTGTTGGAGATGCAGATCTATTTTCGGGAAATTTTCTCTCAAACTGGCGGCTTTCCACAACTCTTTCTTCAGACAAAGTTTTTCCATTGGAGCTGTATGACCTGGACAAGGAAGAAAAAGGTGGTTTTGAACTTCTCTCAGTCTCGGGCCAGAACTGCTGTCTTAGATTTGGTTCATCAGTCCATGGCCTATTGGTGTGTAGAGGAGGGGATGAGGGTTGCCGGACATTCACATCTGGAGAGCCCTGATTCACGATCTTGGTTAAAGTCTCCACATTTACGCCCATATTGAGGACATCAAGGAAACGCTGAAAACCTTTAGACATTTTCTTCTCCACGGGAGGAGGAGGAGGAGGAATAGGAGGAGGACTCAAACGGTGATGACCAAGTTCAGTCTGAAAGGCAAATGAACACATGAAAAGTTTAGAATAAATACAATAATACATATCTAATAATAATGAATAAACCATGCATGTACTGTGCATTAAAACATACCTGCCGACTTGAGCCATTCAGAGGATACATCGTCCTACTGGGACTATGGTCTTCATGGTCCCTGGAATAGCTGCCACTCCTCAGTCTTGGTGGAGAATAACTCTGTTTAAAAAATACTCGCGTTATAATCTATACTCTGTATGTGCCCAATTTCAGAAGGCTGGACCCTGGTCTGCTATGAATGATCTGAACTAACTATCCATGGGTTTCTGAATAGTGAGAAATTAGAACAATTAACAATACAGGTTATGCACTGACATTTTATTTCACAAATGCCCCCTTCTGTCCCCTTCAGTGGTTTTGTCCATGGAACAATTTCATAGCTCATAATATGGTAATACATTTTATTTACATGGCATTTTTCTAAATACTCAAAAACGCTGCTCAATGCTTTATACAGCAAAATGTAGCAAACTAGTTTTTCTCTGTTGCTGTGACTGAACAGATCTTAGTCAGCTAATAATAGGGCGAGATAAAGGACACTTTACCTCAGCCAACAACAATTAATCTCCTCAACACATAAACTCAGAAACATTATTTAAGGAGAGAAACGTTCAAGTTCAACTGTGTCTGATCCCAAAGGCTGTATTAGTGATAAATGTGTGTGTAGTCTGCAGTGCCCCTGTTTAACTGTTCACTGGTTTTAACTACTGTTTACTTGATTTTCTAGTTTTAAAAGTTGCACTGTGCATCTTTTCTGGTAGAGGATCCGCTACCTGCTTATCTTCATGGAAATGTTATAGCTGTGTAGTTACAGCACTATGCCACATTACAATTTAGATCTGCAGAGAGGCGCCCCATATTCACAGAAGGAATTATGGATTTTTTGGGCAAAAGAAACACCCGTAATGAATAAATGATAGATGGATATGTTTAATGTCATACCATGAAACATTTCATGAAAAGCAATAACATCTCCATGGACACAAACAGATATCAGATCCTCCACCAGGAAAGTTATGCAGTGCACCTTTAAAGTCAGTCACAAAGTTAATATTTACCAGAATTGTACACCTTTATATTTATTATCAGACTGTAACAGGTCTTTCACATTTTGGATGTGTTTTGAACTTTTACAGACAAAAATGTCTGAATGAATTGTTCCCTTTAGGGATGCATCGATCCAGGTCTTTCAGTTCCGATACTGATGCAGGTACTGTGGTTTTAAGTTATCTCCTGACATCTGATATCAACCATAAAAGCTGATGGGCCAACATTGGGTGTCTTATTACACCAGTTTATAAACCAAAATGGGAAACTGACTGAGCCAATATGTTGAAGGTCGACATCCGATTCATCAAAATTTCCAGTATCCTCTGTGCACAGAAGCACGTTTGTTAGTTCACTGCATCTCATAGCTGTCACTTTTATTAAAATCATAAAACATAAATAAACATATTAAAATAAAAATTTATTAAAATACAGTCTACCCAATTATTTTTATATGTAGAGTAGGTTGCTTGTAGCGTTGTTGTAATATTTATTATGCCTCAATATTAGAATTAGCGTTAGCATGTCGGCACTCATCTCTTTCTTAACCCATAAGTGTCTTCTGCCGAAATATTAATTTTATTTATGTACTTTTTAACATGTTGTCAGTGACATCCACCCACAGCTCCCTGTTCAATGCCTTATCTTTAAATACGGTAGAGGTTAGAGAGATTAAATTGGACAGGAAGTAGTGACGCCAACAGTGAGGTTGCTGGGCGCCATAGTGCACAGAGCCTATACCAGTACCATATTGATGCATCCCTAGTTCCCACCGACATTCATATAATGTTGTCATTCATTCTAAAAATTACAAATGTTGTGATGTCAGCTGCAATACCTCTATTCAAAACTTGTGTCTTTTGAATGTGAAAAAGTCCTCATAATTGCCAAATCAAACAAAGTAGCATATTTTACACACTATATTGTAGTGTTGTCATTATTATTTTGTATTATTACTTGTTTATCTAGTTGGGACAGTCCAGATAAGGCATTCTCAAGGTGTTATGTAGTACACATGTAGAATATCTTGTAGTTTCCATGCATGGGTCAAATAGGCAATATAGTAGCATAAAAAGTAGATGTGAACTTTTGAATTTGTTACATGTTACCAACCTTTTCAAAGACATCCCTTGAGTGCGTCCTATCTTGTGACCAGCTCCTTTCTCGACTGTCTTGGTCCTTGTAGTACTCAGTCGCTGATTTATTGTGTGACTCTTCTTTATATTGACTGTAGTGAAACTCCTCTTGTCTCTGGCCGTACCGGCTTAGCTCCTCTGGTGTTATGTTATGGCTATAACCCTCATCCACTGTTTCATTTCTTTGACCATGTGAATAGTGCTCTGGGGACTGCCTGTATGAGTCTGCATATTCAGCTTGGTATCTGCGCTGGTCCTTATCTCCAAATGTCCTTAGTTTTTTCTCAGAGACAGTTCTTTCTGTTGACAATGGCCGCTTTCTTCTCCAGTCTTTATCTGAAGTATGCTCACTTGAATATGTTTTACCGTGGCCTCTACTGCCCACTCTCTCTGCTCTACTATGTCCATCCTCACTGTATTTAATATAGTTGTTATAAGCATCTTGCAGTGAATTTCTTGCAGGTTCTGACCACTCTTCTCTCTTTGCTGCTTCTTCCCAGGGCCTGGACTCTCTGCTGTTGTTGGGAGGTCTCTGCCCGTAGTCATAGTCAGATTTATTTGAATACATGTTCTCCAAAAATGATAGCTATCAAGCATGAACTCAGACAAAAACACTTGGCCCTGAGGGATAAAACAGACAAAAACATATTACAAATTTAGAATTTAACATTTCTTTTCTGAACATAGAAAATACATTAAAATAGTACAAATGTATGGTCTTATGTGACGTGCTGCCAGGTTTGTAAAAGTAATTGTTAGGATAAATGCAATGTACGACTACTGTATTTGTCTAAAAGGCTGATTTATTATTCCAATATCAAATCAGCGAAGCTGTCCCGCAAAGCTCCCTGATCACCTGACAGGCAATCAGAAAGCTGGGACAAAAAGTTAGTAAATGCTGAATTTCCGCTAAACACAAGGGCCGTGAAGCTTAGTTTAAAGTCCAGCGTCAAGCCCCGCTCAGCTGAGAGCTGATGTCCTAACACACACCTGAACCATACAAGCTCCTGCATTGTGAGAATACAGTTTTTGTCAAGACAATAAAGAATCACATTAGGCTCAAATACAGACATTTCTCTCCCAAACATGAGCTCTGTTTTGAGCTCTTTTTAATCAGTTGTCTATATAGCCTTTGTGCACAAGCTTTACCCATCCCAGATTGTGCCTAATCTTAACCAGGCACAGAGCCTATATGGTCCATATTATGTAAAATCAACTTTTTTGAGCTTCAGGCCATGTTAGAATGTTGTTACCTTATCAAAACAAACCTGGAATTATATATTATTACATTCACACATGCTAACCCTTTGTTATTAATCATCTCCAAGGCTCGAATGCGCTGTTCCACCTAGTGGTGTCATAAAGCAGTAGTTTTCAAGTTAACAGCTCCCTTTTACATTTAGTTCAGTAGAGCTGGGCAATTCCAGGGTAGAAATCATCCAAATAATTGTGACACACAGTGGAACACTTCCTGTATAATCAGATGATATCAAAAGGTGGATTATTCACAGTCTGAGAGAAGAACTGAGCCTAAATATGCAAGGTTTATGTGCTAAATATATAAGAATGAAACAAAACACAATTCTGTGAGTATGTTTTTGATGAGGAAACAACATTATAACACATCAGACAATGTGGAATATGGATCCTTTAATTTCAAACAAAATTAATTCTAACTTCTTTGAAATGCTTTGTTCAAAACTATTTGAAATTACCTTTAATGACCACCAACTGAACTTGTAACAAGTGAACTTGTAACTAAGTCGTTTATAAAGTAAACTAATACAAACGGTAAGGAACATGTTGGTGGAGATACTTCTGTCCACCTGCTGTGAACCTGCTCCTGCAGCCATTGACCCTTATGCTTGGTTATGCTTGGTTATGCTTGGTTATGCTAAACATTACTCCGAGTTCCGACCTCTGGGCATACATAGAAGGGAAAGCAGCAATACCAGCCTTCAGCAGAAAGTAATAAAGACGAGAGGTAAGGGCTGACTTCAACATAACTTGTCTCTCGGGATGTGTCAGATCACAAGTATATTCGATATAACGGTATGTCATCTATTAAAGCATCAATAATAAAATATTTATTTCACATTTAATAGATTTATTCCATTATCTGTACAATCTAAAATGAGCATAAGCGCCTTGAAAACGGTAGCAAGCAACGGTTAGCCACATGCGACTGAAGCAAAACTAAGAAAAATCTGCTTACCTTTTCAACTGGAAGGCTTCAAATTCTTTAGGAAACAAATTGAATTTTTATTCAATCATGTGAAAGCCTCTGCATGCTTTTGATCCACCAAATGGTGCCAAAACACGTCTTCGTGTTTGGAAAAGCAAACCGGAAATCTAGCTCAGGGGTTAAAAAAAAGAAAAGAAAAAAGTCTGCTGGCTGAAGCATATTGTAGCGCCACTGTGTGAGTGGAGGATGCACAGCAGGTAATCTATTAAACTTGATGACACCAGAGAATTTTGGAAAAAAACATATGTCCTTACTATTGTTGTGTTGTGTTTATTGTAGTACAACTGACTGAGAATGAAATAAGTGATCTTGAAAATAATTGACTTTGCGGTTACAATTGTCTTTGTAATTATTTGCAAAAGGGGACAACACAGAAGGAACAATGGTGGTTCAGTCATGCCCTGAGTGGGGCACCCCCAGACCACTTTTCATTCTCACTCAGTTCTAACATTAATTCCACAACACCATCTCCTGACTATATGGCCACCAGGAAGGTCTCCTCCTGATTGTTTCCATGGTATTGTTGTTCCTTTGCCTGATATGTATATCATATGGCACAAAACTCTACTAGTATAGTTTTAATTTTCTGTTTCCATAGAATCATGCAGGTGATGTGCCACCTCCAGAAAGTTACAAACTTCAAACTTAACTTCATTGTCTTTGATCTGACCAAGTTGGCAAGCAACTGAAAGGTTTAATGTGTGGCACATTCTAGGCAAACCAGTAACTACCAATAATTTTATGGAGACAAGCAATAGAAAAGCTACATCGTAAACAGGATCTTACTGTGAATATTCAATGTCAAGCATAGTAAAAAACATAATAGAACCAAAGATGAGACACCTAGTAATCTAGTACAGTTTATAGAGTAGTCTAAACGTGACTTCTAAGACAAATACCACTAGTTGTAGTTGACTATGAACTTTATTAGATCTTTCAAAATAATCAGTCAATGCCAAGTCATTCATCAGTAAAACATAATCTACAGTGCAGTACAATGCAACTTCTTCACATTTCTAGTAGGCCTATCTCTCCTGTGCCATCTATGTCTCTATGTCAGCCATGGTGATTTTGATGATAATATGCTTCAATCACACGTGCGTTTAGTCAGTGTTAAAGATGGTATGAGAATAGAGTGAGTGAAGCTGAGGCCATTAGAGTAACAAGTCTTCAGGGCCATCTCCTGCTGCGATCACTTAGTGCATCCACCTGGGGGCGCTGTAACAGAGCACAATGAACACAAGTGTTAAAGTGAGATATTTTTATACCACTGAAGTTTTAATTGTATACAGTCAGAAGGTGCTTTCCCAGTGTAAGTCATAATTGAATGTATGGAAAAGGAAAATCTCACATGTTTCTTTAGATTTGTGCATTGCCTTAAGCTACAGAGATTCTTCTAAACCTACTTGACAGCAAATGGGAAATTAGGGCAAAAGATGGAAAATTACATTCAAATGCATAACATTTTAACCAAAACTATAAAAGGATTTTTAATCATTTTGGATTTTCTTATTGCACTGGAAAACCTCTCCATGGAGAATGCTTCATATAGTTTTGTCCAAATAATTTCCCTTGTGGATCAATTAGCTTTGTCTAAGTCTAAGTTTAACTTTCTATTTCTATGGAATCATTCAGGTGATGTGCCACCTCTAGAAAGTTAAGCAGTGTTGCTTTCTTTCAACAGTCATGAATTAATATTTTTTAATGTATTTTATTATCATAGTTACAACTATGTATTTCGCACCTGCATACTTCTCCAATCTATTTATTTATTTATAATTTTATTATTTATTTATTTATTTATTTTGATTGACCCACCTGGCCCTGGTCACTGGTAGAACTTGATTTCTGTGTCCACACAGTCAAAGAACAGGTCTCCAAGCTCGTCTCCAGGGATCTCTCCATTCAGCATCGCCGAAATCTCACTCAGACACTGTGACTCCAGCTCACGCAAAATCTCATAAATTACTAACCCCTCGTCCTGCCATCACAAAAAGGGGTAAGTTAAAATTGTAACTTGTAAAACAAAATTGTAAATCAGGTACACTTAGCTACATACTTATGTGACAAGTTGAAATTGCACTTTTAAGACAATATATTTTCTTCTTCAAGCAATGTTTGAGATCAGTGCTCTTGGCATAGTAAAAAAAAAAAAAAATCTTTTATGTGCAAATCTACAAGTGACAAAAGATTTATTTTGACAATATAGATTTTTATTCATCCAATCTAGCAACCATTTTTTCTGGGATAATTTAGAATTTTGTCCCACTTTTATTTTGCACTGTGTTGAAATTGCCATGAAGTGTGCTACAAAGAGGAAGTCATTTGTAAAGGTATTTTAATTCATGTGACTATTGTGTGACTGTAAACACAGAAAAATTTTCAAGTGTGTGGCCGTGCTGTCTAGACTTTAGACTACAAGTCGTAATGATAATTACATCGCAAAAACTGCTGGTTCTTAGGAAGACAAAAGGACATAATTAACTCATTAACGATTAAATAAAGCTGAAAATTTGATCATGTACTTATAATAGAAAGTTGAAGTTCAGTGAAACTTTGTAATTAAGTTGTACCTAAAAACTATTAATACATTTAGAGAGTATTCTATTTCAATATTTTAACTACAATTGTTCATCAGTGCTTACTGGGTTGGTCTCCATAGTGTTAAGTGCCACCTGGTGGGCCTTGTACAGGTCATGTCTGCGGTCCACTTTGCTCTGAAAACGTGGCTGTTTTCTGACTGGGTCATCTGGACCAAACTGTGGGGAGATGACCCTCAGCACTGGAGCAGTACAATCCGAAAAGACAAAAGGCTTGAAGACAGACCTAACCAGGCAAAGAGAAGATGGAGGAGGGAAAGGAAGAGAGAAAGACATCACAGACTCAGAAATACCCACTGACCCCAAAGACTAAAAAATGTTAAAGGTGTATTATATAACTTTTTGGTTGGGGTCCATTACCTGTTTGCTCCTATGGATATGTCATTGCTCTACCTGGAATGTTCCACAGTGTGACAGCTCTACCTTACATTTATTAAATTTCAGGTGGATTTATAGCTCAGAAATACACAGAAAAACAGGCATTCTGACTGTGAGTGGGGTTGCCTCTCCACAGATCTGACCTGTAACTTGGTCTGTTGTCCATTAAGATTTGACGGACCCTCCACTAAAAAAGTTACACAATGTGCCTTTAGTGAAAGGAAAATGTTTAACTTGCAGTGTTTATGGTTGGAACCTGTAGCAATGTCATTTACAGAAATGTGGAACACAAACTTTACCACAAATTGCACATTTGTGAAATACTAATACAATTTGAGGCTAGGCTTTTGTAGCAGAAAAGCTAACAAATTAATGTGTCTACCCTAGATGTTTTTAATCTAAAGATTTAAAACCTTTAACATTTAGAATTATCAGTTAATAATTGAAAATACTTCAATTCTACTTCTTTTATCCTCCAGTTGCCTACATTCAGAAATGTTGACCATTCTGATATCATGGCATTTTAAAGAACACTGATATAAAATCAAAATTAACATCATGACAAACCTGGATGGGTCTGGGGTGGCAGTGAAGAAGTGTACACAGGGCAGGCTGGGGTCTCTGGGTAGCAGCGAGACCATGCTCCCAGTGGTCCTGAAGCCTCCAGAGTCCATACATATACCACTTGGTTTGTCTCTCAATATGGACATCATCACCTCTGCTGTGACTGAACCTAAGATCAGAGAAAAGAGCACAGTCCATTCTTATTATACTCAAAACAGATGTACAGCTTTACGTAATAAACCTTAAATTAATATGGGTGCTTAAATTGGCTTAACATTTTGTGCCCTAAAATATACTAAATTTATGTAATGAGAAATCAGAAATCTGAACTTGTATTGAACTTTTGTAAGCTAATGTCATATAAATTTATTTTGAAATAATTAAAGCTTAGAAAAAGTATTTGATCCATGGAGGATATTACATTATCACAGTAGTGCAATAGTACAACAAAAATAAAAATGTTTGTAAAAAAAATCTAAAAATAAAAAACAGACACATAGTACCAAACCATTACAACCTAGCTAATCCACTCTTCTCTATCAACTTACAATAGTTGCAATTCATTGAATAGAAATGTAACAACTTCCAAATCGATTTTTTGTATACAACCAAAGTCCAGCCCGGTTCTGAATGAAGTATTTTGCCCCAAAACTGATAAACTGTATTGTACATCACTGCTTACCATCATGTTGCTGCAGCAGCTCGGTGCCCCCTCTGTAGCGCTTTTTGGCCAGCTCCATGCGGGCAGGGGGCTGCTCAGGGGTGAACACCTGAGAGAAGCTGAAGTCGCCCTGACCGTCCCACCAGCCCTGGGCCTGAGCCACGGCCCGCAGCTCTGGGTGCTCCACAGAGATCTCCGTGGAGATGGTCAGCTGGTTTGAGATGTTCTTTACTCCCTCTGAAACAAGAAGGGATTAGGGTTGTGAAACAAAACCCAGATATCTGTAGATACTAAACTATTCTCCCATTCTGTCCATTCCTGAATAGTTAGATATATCAGAACTAGTATAATACACCTAATGCACAAAACCTGTAAAATTTGGGGTTGAAAATGACATTGTATTGTCTAAAAAAAAAAGTGTTAATATTATTATTGTAGTATTGAAAGCAGTAAATTACTGGGCATTTTAGAAATTTTAGTTTTGTGATGACACAAAAAGGCCATTAATGCAAAGATTAGAGAGCAAATCTATGTTATTTGTTGATATCTGGTTGTTTCAATGTTTCATGTGTGTAGATTATTTTATTTTAGATATAGATATATAGATAAAAGTAACTTATGTATCATATACAAATACAAGAAACAGAATAAATCAATACTTCACATCAATATACTCTTGCTTTTATATGGTATTGATTTTACACTGTTTTTCTGTTTGCAATGAATATTTTGCTCCTCACCTGTGATCTTCTGAGCCACCCAGAGCCTGCCCGCTGTCTCCAGGACCCAGGCCTCAGAGCGGTCCAGGAGGAAGGTGTTATGATAGGAGAAGGGTTCGGGGTCTTCTCTGCACTGGCCTCCCTGTCCGTGCTGCTGCAGTAACTCAGTGATGACAGAGAGGGCGCTCCACGCAGTGTCCCCACGCTCCAGACCCAAACTACCGGACACAGGAACAGTAACTACAGGCTGGCATACACAGCTTTAGTGTACTGTTAATTTATAATACGTAACATTCAAATGTATAGTATATTTATATATGTAGATTATATGTTGGAATTTGGTAACTTGTTTACTTATTTTATTTCTAAGTAATCATGTAATTTAAAGTGAAGTCACAAAAAGAAGTTAAAATACTCTCACAGAGAAAGTAAGAACTACAATCACAAAAGAAGCTGCCAGACTAGTATTAGTTGTTACTAATACTAATACTAATACTAATACTAATAGTAATACTACAGTTTAGTTTACTTACAGTAATACTGTAAGTAAAGAGGTAAGAAACAAAAACTTTGTGATGTATTATGATGGAAAGGCTTACTCTAATTTATTATTTTGACAATTTATTCTTTTAAATTTGTATGCAACAAATCATTTATTTAGTGCATTTCAAGACATCCAAAGAGCAACTGTGTTTATAGAGCTAGTTATACATTTATTTTTTTTAATTATAACTGAAGATACTTAAATTCCGTTTACATAGGCAATATAGTCCCAAATGCCTCAAATATCAGACAATCTCTTGTTTATATGATTTGAAGAAAAGATAAGTGTAACGCTTTAGTGCAGTTGAACCTCCTGTTGTGACACGCTTTTGGCAATCACCACACTTAAATGATCAAAGCGCAAACTTCCACTAAAACACAAGGCAAACCTGTGCCAACATAATTCTTCCTTTTTTCATTGACAAAAAGATAAATAAATAACTTTGGTAAAATAAGAGATACAATTTTGTGATATCGTTGGACAGCATGATCTTGTGACTTCTTCATTGGCCGCTATGCAATACTGCCTTATATGAATGTAGTTTCAAGGCTGGATAAAATACCAATCAGAATAATAAAATGTGTCGGTACAACAACTATCATTACAGAAGTTAGAGTTGTCAAAAAATCATTAACCAAATACAAATCAATAATTAAATTAGAACTATAGATGCTCGTTTGAGTATCAATACTGAAAAATAACATTAGCATAGTTTTACAATGTCTATCTGGATCTACATCGGAACTAGAAAAACAACATAGTATAGGAAAAAGAGGGCACAGATATCGGGGTAGGTGAAAACAAGAATTTCTGAGCACACAAGCTTCAAATGCAGGACAATACAGGATTACTCAAACAACCATGCATACAACTTTGATTCACCTTATGACAAGGGAACACTGTTATTACAATATTAATAACTCATTAAAGTTGAATAACATATCTACTTGGATAAACTACTATTAGTTTTTTTCTGGGAAATTACATTATACTGTATAAAAACTATGGTTTCTTAGTATCAAAATCAAGTTTGAAATTTTAGCATTGTGACAGGTTGTTGCATTCTCACTTGACCTGGTTTAGGCCCAGTTTAGATCCTAATGTACATTTGGTACCATCCCAGTCCGATTTAGTCCTGTTCTAGTTTAAGTTTAGTCCCATTTAAATCCCAGTTTACATGCTCTTAGGCCTTTCATGGTAATTATTAAATTGACTCATTGTTCTCTATATTGCAGATGAAACAGTTATTTTTCGTTTCATTTTGATATTTATTTATTATTTTTAGATAATTAATTAATCATAAATATTTTTAAGTTATTTGTCAGTTGCAAAAATGACTTATTATTATTCAGTATTATCGTCTATTATCTACATTTTCATCAGCAACATACCAAATCTCAAAATGTGTTATCGTGACAGGCCTATGTGGTTTATGTGCATGTATGAACTCATCCTTAGTTGATGTGATTCAGTTAAAAGCTCTAACCGTAGCAGGTCCATGCCAAGCAAAGCCTCTCCAGGGTTCACCTCCTCTTTGGTCCACACTGCCTCGTTCCCGATGCACACACCCTGATCATTCGCCCCCATCTCCGCCCCCCACATCCAGGCAGGTTTACTCAGCACCACCGCATGAGTTCGCTCCACCTGAGGAATCTGGATATACGTGCACTGGCAAAAAAGAATTTAAAATAAATTATCACACAAGCAATTGTGTTGGTTGGTTTTACACTTATATGGGTTGCCAACTTGAAATTATAATAACAATAAGCATCTGATTTATAGCCTACTTAATCCAATTAAAAAAGGAAACAAAATTAATATGTGCTATAATAACATGTACTATGCAAGAACTTGCACCTTCTAATTACAGTTCACTTCCATACTACTCAGGATTTATAACTTACTAATGATAATAAAATCCTCTATTGGCAATGCCACTGCCTTGACCTGTTAATGTGTATTCATAGTGACCTTTAGGCCTTTCTTTCAACCATTAACAGGCCTTTTACTTTTACAAAGAAAGAAAAATACTAACAGTCAATATTTGCAGTTACATTTTTGTTACATATTTATCTTGTAGCATCTAGTACCAAGCCTTCTTTTGCAGTCAAATTTACCTCCAGTACTGAGCCTGGTGGATGAGTTGCTGCAGGGTAGTACGTCACCTCTTGGACCTCATCGCGGGGTCGGTCTGAGTTTTTCCCAAAAATCACTTGGTTGTGTTTGGATCCAGGAGGCAAGGATACAAAACAGTCACATGACCTGGGACCCTCTGCCATCCTGCAACTGTCACATTATTTAGAGTTCGCACTGATGAGAGGGTAGAGCACGAACACAATTTGCTCCCAACAGTCATGCATCTTTCCATGTAAAGCACTATGCATTTCAGGAGCTATTATTATTAATTAATGAACTGGATGTGTTATGAATAAGAAAATATCCTATTGACAGAAGAACATATACTTAAATGTACTCAAATTTATAAAGCACTTTTTGGACACTCAAACATTATATTGCAATTTGCCTTATCTCTAAAACTATAACAACATCATAAATGATCAGATACAAATATAAGGTAAGATATTTATTTAAAATAACTCAGTTGTAGCTACTTGTATTGTGTTATAAACTAAATTACAATGCTATTAATGAGACCTAAGAGGTTTAAGTAATATTTGTCCATTTGTGTTTCTTCTCAGGTCATAAAGCATTTTCACATATCCTGTTGATCTACAGACTATTCTGAATGACATTTGAACACTGGTGACATAAGGCCTATGTTCTACACAATAGCCTACTTAAATACCCACCCAAGTAATTCATTCACTGGATAACTAGTTTTACTTCCAGTTGAGTAGAGCTGTATTATCTAGTAAGCACGCTGTAAATAGGCTTTATTGGAGGCTTATTCGCAACTGTTGATATCAAGCATAAATCGTCCACGCCCTTTTGACCATTCTATGAATGAATAAAGAAAGCTCATAGCCTGTTACGCTCGAACTGCACAGTGCCATCCTGGTACACTGCCCATCCCTTTCACACACATAGGATTAGAAAGCAGAGCACTTTACTGTCTATAATCTTCACAAATCCGCACGTTAACTATTATTGGTCTACTCTCAAATTTGCGACAATGAAATGCGTTGGGTCCGTGTATTATGTGGTAAACGCGCATAGTCGTATTGCGTGTGGCAGTGTGGTTGTGGAGCTCCAGGGGTATGGGAATAAGCAGTGTTCCTTCCCCGAAAAAAGGCCCGACACAGCGGCTTGCCTTTCCACTGTCAGCCCGCTGTCGCTTCACACTTTTCCCGTGGAGCTGCCAACCACGACTCGCGCAGTACATGCCATTGCACATTATTTACGGGGCTTGGACAACATAAGGTGGAGTAGAGGGCTAGCAGGGTGCAAACTACAGCTAAAGTGCAAAATGTTTACCTTGGATCATTCGTGAGAACAGACGACACACCGGCTGCCGCGAGGAGCAGGTTGGAGATGTGTGTCACGTGACCGAGAAATCCGAAGGTCCGTACTTAAAGGTCTCGCCTCGTATGGACGCGTAGTGTCTGGTCCAGAACCAGTGCGCGGGCAGCTGTAGAGAACCAGGGGGTGCAGACAGGATCAACAGTGGCTAAAAGCTAATCAAAGGCTGCTTAACATGGATAATCATAAACTTTATATAGTCAGTCAACAATCAAATCGATTTGGCTATTGTCCATGCGTAATAAACAAGCTTGATGAACTCAGGCATTTCTGATAAACTGTTTGCTGAGTGATGTGTGACATAGGCTATAGATTAGGTGAAGCAGCTCAATGCTCAAACACTTTCCCTACTAACTCACGCCTCCTATTGGTCAGCCTCTGTCATGTTCTGAGCGAGCTACAGGGGATTTAACCAATTACAGTGAAGTGTTAACTGTCAGAAGAAGCAGATACCTTTATGTCTGCCTCTTAAAGAGTACAATAAAGCTAAATTAAGTAACATAAAATTTTAATTATAGGTTCTAAATGGTAATATAATACTTTGGCATATTGCCCACTCCTATATTTGAAAGGGAAATAGAGTCTACTCTACTGTAGCTTATTTTAATTACATGAACAGTTACAAAGCCAGACTTACCTGCAAAAGAAAGTTACCACTTAATCATATATAGGCCTTTTTTCTTAGGTTAGATTTTATGGTGACTTCAAAAGGTTTGTATGTTTGTTTCTTTCATATCAAAACTTTTCATGACAACCTGGACAAACTTGACTTGAGCGATGAACGACAGTTACAGCACACAAAAACAAGGCAGGCAATTTAACGGTTTGCGTCACCTTGTTATTAAAAATAGATTTCTTGAGCTGCGGTTAGGCATGCATAAAACAAATTATGTAAACCGGATTTGTGACATAGCATCATGTTAGCATGTTTGGTATGTTAGTTTTGTGTCTAAAGACGAGTGCACATTCATTCTTTCAACTGATTTATGGATCATCTCTGTCAAGAGTCAGTGATGCAATTAGCTTTATGGCAATAGTTCACACGGAAAGGGCAGAGTAATTAACTGCAAAGGAAATATTGACAGTGTTTTGAAGATGTTTTTAAACAGTGGAGTTTAGTTACAGAATTCTTTGATGTTGGAGAACAAGATTTTGAAAGGTCTAAATGTGTTTGATCTACATAATTTTCAAAACTAAGTTAATAATGCAGAAAAAGTGTGTGTGCATTTTACCACTGGTCTATTTACACAGAGAAACATCTCAAGATTAAATTGAATTGATTGAAACTGATAAAAAAATAATAAAAAATCTTACTCATGTATTATTTTGGTTGGGGTTTTTTTTGAAAGAGGGGTCACTGGTTTATAATAATTATAACAAACACAAATAGTACTGTATATAATGTATTTTTTCTATAATATTAATCTCAAATTAATGAAAATATGTATAGTTTTAAGTTTTTTAAATCAGAATTGGATTATCTTACTAAAAAACAACTAAGAACAATACTTCACTACCATACTGTAAAGGAACTATACAAAATGTGACCCTAGAGTACTACACCACTACTATTACAATGTATAATAATAATGTTCATCTTCAGTAGTAGTACCGGGACTATTGATATTTTCATTATATCTTGCAGCACCTGGAGGCCACTCTGCTTTCATCTGATCGTCTCACTTGTACAATGTGTTGAATATTCTTTTAAGGTCCAATGAGTTTTTGTCATGACTTCACTGTATGCGCTGTGGGCTTCATGGACTGACGAGGTTCCTTTTGCTGTGAGATTTTTGACAACCTGTTAGCTGCTACAATACCTCATCCACACCCTCCCCAGAAGCTTTCATCTCCTCCTGTGTGCTGACAACATTTGCACATCCTGTCTGTTTTACCCCCAACACAAGTCAGCTAACAACTGCGTGAAGCAAGAGGAGAGGCCCCCACCTGAGCCAACGGACACACCCAGGAAACGTGCAGCGTACAGTTAAATGCACTCACAAATGGCTCTCAAACATGCACAGACAGAGATGAGAAAATGTAAACGCTAAATGTACACTTCAACTGTTGACTCTGAAAAAATCATTTAGACACTGAGTTTAAGTAAAGGTTTTTGCATGAATAGTATATCAGAAAATGTATTGGATTTAATTTATTTAATGGTCGAATTATTAATAATATAATATTACATAAAATTGATTCTTGTGAGCTTTTAGCCCTGTTATCATGTTGTTACCTCACCTTACACTTGAGTAATCCTGAATTTACAGGCTGTCTGCATCCACAAAGCTAAAAATGCTCTGTTCCAACTTGTGGTGTCATGCAGCGGTAGAGGTGGACAATTCAAGGCCTTAAATTATCCAAATGATTCTAGTGAAGACGTATGGAGTAGGTGGAGGAGGAGCACTTCCTGTATTACCACATGACATCACCAGGTGGAACAGAGTGTTGAGAGAAGAACTCAGCCTAAATATGCAGGGTTTGTGAGTTAAACATGCATGAATGAACCAAAACACAACTCCAGGTATGTTTTTGATGAGAAAACAGCATTATAACATAAATCGGAAAATAGTGTAATATGGGCCCTTTAATCATAAAATGTAAAAATAACTGTATTGAAATCTATATTTTAAAACTAAGATTTTTAATCCCATGTGAAGGGAATATATTATCTACATTTGATGCTTATTATGTAGAATAGGCAAAATCCACAGGGTGGGTTGATGGGGGAAACTGGTTTGCACGGAGGAAACCCAAGTTGGTCTGGGAGATCCTAAATTATTCCATTTCCAGGTCATGCATTTTTATGACTAGATCATTTTCCTGTCAAAGAAGAAATAAACCAATTGCATATCATACAATTTTTTTGTTTGTGTGTATGTAAAGTAGAGCAAAGAAGCCAGGGGCCAGATCCACTTTGACACAAACAGTGACAAAATATAGCTGAGCATTTGTGATTCAGCAAAACTAAATTTACACTGCTTTACTGGCGCCAAACTTGTGTAATTACAGATTCAAGAGTCCAAAAGATACATACAAACAAACAAAATATATATATATATATATGACATTTTTTACAATAATATACAATGTTGAGCTAGCAGTTCTGCATATCACCACAGTCAAGTTACACTTTCAATTATTTATTTATTTTATGTATTAATTTCTTAACTTATTGGATGTAAAGTTGCCCCATGCATTAGCAGATCATTTCAAACTATTATTGTAAAAAGAATTATAAATATCTTAAAATCCATGTTGAAGCCATAATGATCATGATTAAATCCATTCTAACCGATGTAATGTAATATATTTTTGCAGTGGGTAGCAGTTGCCCAGTGAGTAGGCTGCTGTCTGCCTGTGACTCACACTTGTAGTAGGAGCAAATACGCAGTGTACCATCAACTTCTCAACACTTAGTCTGAGCTGAATGATATTTAAAGCTCTATGGACACACAAACATGCATGAGACAACTTTAAACTTAGTCCTAGACCAGACCAGATCCAGACCAGGGCGGACGGTCAGGCGGTTTGAGCAAAGCTGTTGTCTGTAGCCCCCCTTGTGAAATGGGATGTCCCGTTGAAGATGAGGGGTGTTAGGGACGGAAACAGCTGTGAGGACCTTGTGCGTATTAATCTAAAGGGGAGACAGGATAGAGCAGGGGCCTAATAAAGCATGGTATTATGGCTAAAGGTGTGTGTGCGTCTGACTACCTGTCTTCCTGGGGGATTATAAACAAGCTGTGCGTTGTTGATGGTGTCTAGGCTATGTTCACACTGTAGGTCTTGATGCTTGATGCTTTTTTTTTTAACAAGAAGAAAAAGCAGTTCACATTACAAATAAAATGTGACTCATATCAGTTTTTGTGTGTTAAACCAATGTCAAAAAAACACAGGGCAAAACCAGAAACTGTGAGACGTTATGAGCAAGCATTTATCAGTAGATAAATAAATTATCTTTATCTTATCAAAAAAAGTTTTTAACAAATTCATGTCAGCTTTTATATAGTAGGAGATAGCCTATATATCTTTGTCATTCACATTAATAGGCGAACATTGATATTTTGCCTTTGTAAGACTTTCTTTACCACAATATCAATTATGTTTTATACTTCTCACACATGCATTTTGCTAGTTTCACAGCTGTAGTCAGGCAGCCATTTTATAGTTTCATTGTGTGACATTTCTGCTTTTTCCAGTTTAAATGTGGCAGCTGTAGCATTTCTGTGACGTAGAAATCTAATTAATGTGACATGCGTGTGTAGACTGCAGTCACTTTTAACACCACATAAATGGCCTGAGTCACATTCGAAGGATTCTGAGTCACATTTGAAGGATTCTGATTTGAGCTGCAGTTATAAGCTCACCTACATCTGATGAATATCTGATTTCTAAACCTTTAAAATGTCTTGGAAAGGACATGCAAACTGCACGATTTAGTAATAGAGACCATATCCACAGAAAAATACAATGATTTTGCAGTCTACGTGTAATTTTAATAATCTTTATTCTAAAAAAATATGATAAAAATCTGAATTTGAGTATGAATATAGCCACAGTTTTTTTTTAAATCTGATTCCGCCAGGTAATTAAGAGACTGGAGACTGTAATATTACAATGGTGCAGAACGAAACTAAATGGTGGCATCTATCAGAGGCACAAAATGATGGAAAATGCCATAGGTGATTTTTTTCTTTTTTTTTTTTTGTAATATCTTCTGTGTGCTCTGTAATGTTATTTGTCTATTGTCTATTGGATTTTATGTTTAATGTCAGGTGTGTGTCTGTTGTTGTCTTATTGAATGTTTAAGGTGTTTTACTTGCCTTAGGACAGTGGACAGAATGTAGCTATTGTGCTAATTTGGGCATATTTATATTGAAGCAGCTCTGTGGCACACTGATTAAAGGGTCTGTACCTGATTTTCACATGTTTAGAGCAAAATGGGTAAAAAATGGGCTGTGGTTTATTGCGTGCATCTAATTAAAAAACATTTTATTGTCCGATAATCAGGAAGTGTGCATTAGCATCCTAGTTGTTGTTAGCTTTACTGTCACGGCAAATCTCCACTCTGAACCCTTTGAAAGTTGTGAAAAGCATACACTCATACACTCAAACTCATTAAGGTAAATAAGAAATAACTTCCGACTATGTTTTAAACTTCTAACATATGCACTTTAATTTCACAGCTGTAGTCAGGCAGCCGCTTTATTGTTTCATTGTGTTAAATTTCCTGTTGAATTTCAGTGATGTAGAAGTTAAATCAATGTGACTTGCATGTGTAGACTGCTGTCACTTTTAACATAAATGGCCTGAGTCACATTCAGAGGAATCTGATTTGGGCTGGTAACACTGGCTGCAGTAACAAGCTCACCTAAATCTGATTAATATCTGATTTCGCGACCATGATCACAGAGAAATGCAATGATTTTGCTGTTTACTTGTAATTTTAATAATCTTTCATCTTAAAAAATGTGATAATAAACAGATTTTGAGTGTGGATATAAACTCTACTCTGGTCTCTGAATTTTGTGAAAAGCTCTTGTAAACTTATTGCAGAGAATAATTAAATCCTTCAAATGCATAAGGGAAGTGAGGGATAACTTAGGACCACTGCAAACTGTTTAAAATAAACAAGTTCCGATTTTCATGTTTATAAAAATCAAATATGTACTCTCCTAATTTAAATAAATAAATA